ATAAATTCTAAACAAAATAAATTTTACATTTAGATCACGCGATTCTTGGTGAAAATGAACAGAAAATAATAATCCACATAACGGATTCAAAATACAAAAAAAAAAGTTTGATAATATTATTAATTTCAGTGATGCGTATATAAAACGCAAAGACGATCCGTAATAAGATAAAAATCAAAATTAGATCTAATTCAGCCGAAAAGGCTAGTATCTGACGAGGTATTAACGTTTGAGTTTTTGTTGAAACAAACATTTATTAAGTCATTGAGTAATGATTTTTCTATACAACTATTTCTCCCTTAACATTCGTATTTTTATATCAATTTAGAATAAAAGAACCGAAGAAATAAGATACAATACATTGAATAATAGACTGATACATAAAGCCTAATACCAACACTTACCCTTTAAATCCTGATTTCTTTTCCTTCCGCGCCGATTCTTGCAGACTCCTTCCTCATGGACACATCACAACACGCACTTTTCACTTTAAACCCGAAATCAAATTATTTTTAACAGAAAGAAACCACTTATTAAACAAACTAAATTACCCACCGCACACGCCATCAACACAGTTAAAACCGATAGAACTATGTATTTCGAGTACCACGAACAATGAACAAAAAATTCTCGCTGAAACCTTATCAGTTCAGGCATTTTTTGCAGAGTTTTTATTCATCGATGCATCGCACAATAAATGAATCGTATTAAGTAAAATACTGCAACATTATTCATTAGCAGTACATAATTTTTGCAGTGTGTGGATGAATAAGAAATTACGAATTTTACATACAATTCGCCAAAAACAAATTAGAAAACACGCTTTAAATACGTCTTTCGAAAATATTTTATTTTTTAACAGTTAATGATACAGCACAGAATTAACATTTTTCACCATTTCTGCTAAAATACTCATGTAAAGTAGCTTCATATGGGGTGTTCCAATTGTCAAAGGGCGCAAAATTAAACATTCGCTGTAGACTGCAGAAAAAATCTAATAGAGCTATAATTTAAAAGTATTTTCAAACATATAGAGTGTTCCGTTTAGCGTATACAACAAAAGCTGTAGGCTTACTTACTTTCTTTTTTTTTATTCTAAATATGTACAAGTTTCTTTCAACACCATGTTTAAAAACATATTTTTTCCAATTTCTATAAGCACGGTAAATTTTTCATCAAAATACAGGGTGTAAAAAAATGGTGCACCAACTTTATGACACGCTTAGCAGCAGCAGAGGAAAAATAATTTAAAAAGTCTTTTTGCCCTTCAGAGTTTATTTTTTCTCGAACCACCAGATCCTAATACTTTCTGTTGCCTTTTTGGAGGCATCTTTCTTATTTGTATTAAGTCATTTTATATCATTACAAAAAACTTATTTAAGATGAAGTGGCTAAATTTTCACATTTTCTCAGTTTTGAGGCGAATATTGATTTAGTTCGTGAACCATTGCAATACTAAAAAAAATAAAAAAATTGCAACGACATGGGCAACATCGCAGAGGAATTAAAAAACTATGCTGATCAAACCTAGAAAGAGGTTAAGGAGAACATGTAAAAATATATAGAGTGTTCCATAAGAAAAACTAAGTTGTATGCTATGCCGGGCTATTCCTGTTTTCTCTAAATTTTTTGGAAATGGAATGGTCCACAAAAAATCACTCTTAGGGTTATTTTTAAAGTCTGTCTTACAATATTTTCTGAAAGAATGCAGAAGGGTACGCGCTTTGTTGTGGTAGTAACCAAATCAAATTTCATATACGAAGTGTTTATAAAAAAATCTAAAACTTAACAATTTTCAAATGGAACACCACGCCCGCTATTTTTTTGAGAGAGTATATCATTTGCTAAAATCAGTCTTATCTTAACAAGTACTAGCCCCGCCCACCCGCCCTTTATTTTCTTGGAGTGTATGTAATTTGCAAAAATCAGTCCTATCTTAGCGAAGTATTAGCCCCGCCCACCCACCCTCTGTTTCCTAGAGGGTACATCATCCGCCAAAACCAGTCTTATCTTATTAAATACTAGCCCCGCCCACACGCCCTTTATTTTCTTAGAGGATATTTCATTTGCCATAATCAGTCTTATGTTGGTTCTCAAATTTCTAATATGTCGATGTGTCTCTTAAAAGAGTAAAAATTCGCAGCAACTATCAACTTCAAATATAGAAAATACTAAATAAAAAGAAAGAGCGAAAAATGAAAATTGTAATAATTAAAACATTTTTTATAAACACTCTGTATATGGAAATTCAATCTCATTAATTTATACCACAAGAAAATTGGAATAACGTGGCAACGTCGCATTGTAATTTCAATAATAAACTGTGATTGTAAAGCTTAGGAAGAGGTCAATCAAAACACGTAAAGATATATAGAGTTTTTCATTTAAAACAACTAAATTGTGTGTTAACGCTTAGAAACAAAACACTCCGTATAGTTGGAAATTATTTTAGAATATAGTTCTTGAAGAACCACACAACTTTGGTATTTGACTTTTTTTCCATTTCTAATAATAATTATGAGATATCGAGGAACGCGCATTTAATGTCTCACCTTGTATATGTCACGTGGTACACAAATTTCCACTTACAGCATGCAAGCAAATACTAGCCCCGCCCACCCGCCTTTTATTTTCTTAGAGGGTATTTAATTTGCCAAAATCAGTCCTATCTTAGCAAGTACTAGCCCTGTCCACCCACCCTCTATTCTCTTAGGGGATATGTCATTCGCCAAAACCAGTCTTATCTTAGCGAATTATTGGCTAAGTTCTTGTAAAGAAATAAGGATTTTGCAATTGAACTGCGCCCCCGGGCTCATAAGGAATTAATATCATTACAACTGAGATGGCAGTGGGTAGGCGGGGCTTAAATTTTGCCTTTTTTGTAGATACATATATGTAATGATCTTTTGTTTCTGTTTTAGGATACATCGATTTTACAATCAAGCTCCGCCCCTCCGTCTCACAACGAATAAAAAATTCGTCACATTTGAGATTCGGGTAGGTGGGCGGGGCTTAATTTTTACCTTCTTTTTTTCTTGACATTTATAGTTTTCTTTCAAGAACATGAAGCCTTAAAAACATGTTTTATATGGTAGTTTCTTGTAGAGAAATAAGGATTTTGCAATTAAACTCCGCCTCTCGGCTCACGACGAATAAAAACAGTTATCACAACTGAGAAAGGGCCGGAGCGGCGGCGTTTGTATTATGCTTTCTTTTTTTAAATGTGTACAAAGTTTTCTTTTCACGACAATAAATTGAAAATATGTTTAAAAGGGTAAATTTCTAAAAAAGAAGTGTGGGCGATAAAATTTACCATTTTAAACATGTTTCAGTGTTTTGTTGTGGAGGGAAGACTATGTATATTAAGAAAAAAAAATGCAAAATATAAAGCCCGCCCACCCACCCTATCTCATTTGTAACGATTTTTTTTATTCATCGTGAGCCAAGAGGGCGGAGCGTTGCAAAATCTATATTTCTCTACAAAAAATTACCATGTGAAACATCTTTTGTTGCTGTTGACACAGTAGGGGAGAAAAGGTTACACAGTCTCCTTTTTCTCAAAATGATATATGTATGTATTTTGAACAATATGATTATTGTACTTAAAATATGTTTTAATTAAAAATTCACCATAACTGAGATAAGAGTGAGTGGGTGGGGCTTTCTTTTTGCTTTCTTTTTTTTATTCTAAATATATACAGATTTCTTTCAACACCATACTTAAAACATGTTTTAGATGATAAGTTCTTGTAAAGAATTAAAGATTTTGTAATTAAACTCCGCCCCCAGGCACATAAGGAATAACATCATTACAACTGAAATAGAGGTGGATAGGCGGGGCTTAAATTTTTTTAGTTATATGCAATGATCTTTTCACCACAATATATGTATTTAAAACGTTTAATATGGTAAATTTTCGTTTTGGGAAATATCGATTTTACAATACTCTGTCTGACAACGAATGAAAAATTCATCAGATTTGAGATTTGGGTGGGTGGGCGGGGCGACTTTTTTTTCCTTTACATATGTATAGTTTTCTTTCAACAACATGATGCTTAAAAAGATGTTTCACATGGTAGTTTCTTGTAGAGAAATAAGGATTTTGCAATTAAGCTCCGCCTCTCCGCTCACAACGAATAAAAACAGTTATCACAACTGAGAAATGCCGGGAGGGCGGGGTTTGTATTATGCTTTCTTTTTTTTAATATGTGTACATAGTTTTCTTTCCACGACAATAAATTGAAAACATGTTTAAAAGGGTAAATTTCTAGAGCAGTGTGGGGGATAAAATTTACCATTTTAAACATTCAGTTTTTTTATTGTGAGGGGACGATTACGTATATTAAGAAAAAAATATGCAAAATATAAACCCCGCAAGTTAGAAAAGTATTGTAATAGAATCCATTTCTAATATACATAGCTACAAAATTTAACAACAATCGGTCTGATAGTTTTGGAGATTACGTGTCTAATAAAAATGGATAGGTACAGTCAGATAGACAGACAGATAGACAGACGAAAAGGGAAGACTTTTGTACTCTAGTTTAGTTGTATTTACTCGATCAATCGTACAAGAAATGTTGGAAGTGGTCCTCGCTCTTTACAAACACACTCTCACATTTGAGTTATCATTGACATTTGTGACAGCCGACGAGTAGTCATCAATCATTTGCAACAAGGCGGCAAAGGGTAAAATTTCGGTCAATCTTTCATAATTACGCTGTACATACTGTAACCACAAATGTTCAAAATTTACAAAATAGACACGGTGTTATAAATGACTGATTTACACTTAATAAATAAAAACATAACCTCAATTTAAATAACAAGTTTAAGTAAAATCTCTGTTATTGCTGCATTGATAATGACAAACAATACGTTCGTGTACACTACTCCCAAAGCCTATAATTAAAAAAGAATAAGAATTTTATCATTTACTTTGACAATATCTCAGTAATAGTTGAGTTTTCAAAAAGACTACGAATTCGAAAATTACTTACGCCGTGTGTGTACTCGTTGAGTTTTCTTTTTATAACCAACAATGACACTTTACTTTTACACTAGTGTTGGTTTTTCTAATAAGTATTATTAAATATCGTACGTCACATTTTAGAATTGACCCTGCTCTCCCCTACACAGTTATCAGCAAGATTATGCAACCAGCATTACACAGCCATCACAAGATTACCTTAGCAGCATCTCGTATTGCGAATGCCCGTTTAAGTATTAAAATGACACAATTTATCCAATTGAGGATTATAACAAATTAATTACAGCAAAAATTCACCAATTAAAACACACAGTCTTCGTAAACTGTATCCAAAAAACAATGGTGTCGAAAAAGATGTATTATTTTCACCATTTTCCGCTAATAAATACTCTTTGATTCTCAGTGGAATTTTTTGTTACTATGTACTTTGTTCGTATTTATGAAAAATTTAATATATTTTTTCTTTTGAAAATAATTTTACTGAACAACGACTGAATGGCTCTTTTTCTTCTAAATTTCAGAATTCGTGAAACTGAAACACGAAATTAATTTTCCAACCTGGGTGCTCGTCTCTTTTATAATAAATAAAAGCTAATTCAAATAACGAATTATTGTGGTGCACGTCGTGTTATCAGACGAGGCATTAGCCGATGTCGTCAACAATGTCTTAATGATGATTGCTTTTGATCTTTACAACATAAATAACGATCATTATTGAACAATTTCACCAGCATGTGTTTATCTTATCTGTCTAAATTTATTTCTGGCAAGCCTTTCACTTATTGCTTGTTAAATCATTCGATTATTTCAAGCTTTTCGGGGCACTCAGCACACATTACCTTGATATTTCCCCATTACATCACGATTTATTATTAAATAAACGTATAGTATTTTGGCGCGAAAATGTATCGGTCTGAGAACTCGGTTCGATATTTCAATATCGCATTGGTGGGGCTTGACAACTAGAGGTGGAGAGGATAGCAACAAGAGAAGCGCGCAGCGCAGATGTCCAAGATCAAGATGGCTGTGATGGCCGGCGCGCAGTACATCAGTGAACCTTTAATTTATAATTTACCTTGACAGACATTTCTTTAGTGTAGTATATTCATTGTTTTTAACACAAAAAAATACACAGGATAGAATGATATCATCAATAATATCCAGATTAGTCATGTAAGTATTTATTTTCTCGAATTAATCCTCCCCTGAAGTTCGACCTACGTTTAAAATTTGATCATCTGACAGCCCAAACAAAAGAGAGTGTTGACATTTAATAACGGATTTTGCAATATTCCCTTATCGGCGAATGTTTTTTTATCAGACGGTTTATTTGATTGTTTTTCGGGTGTTTTATTGTGTGTGTTATCGACGTACGTGGTAATTCAGGGGGCACTTCGATTAAGTGCTCATAACCTCACTTTTTGTTGTCACCTTTTGTTCAGACGTGATCCTGTCATTCCTTTGTTGACGGTGTCGACGACTGATCTCGTATAACAGAAAATTATGTAAATGATTAATGTAATTCACCTTCGTCGTTTGAATTCATTTTCCAAACATGTTCTCACTTCTGTCCATATTGGGTAGATCAAGAATTACCTTGAATTAACGACCCAGTTGTGTTGATTAAGAGAGGTTTGAAAATTCTTGAAAATTAATTTGTATATGGTGTGTAATAATATAACGGTTTGTGCACAAAACTGCCTATTGCTCATGCATAATAAAATGTGTATCGCAATATTGTGTATTAATAAAGCAGGTTTCACTAACAACGGGAGCCAGACAATTCGATTCGGTTGAACGCTTTGTGTAGGAGGAAGTTTTGGTAATGCGTTAGTCACATTTTGAATTATTTTGTCAATAATTGCATCTGAACTGGTTAGAACTGGTTGCAGAAATTATTGGAATTAACTATCAACCAACAATTGGCAATTGTGCGCATTTTCAGTACCTACATACATAATTTTAATCATTGGACTATTATTATTAATCGAACAAAAGACAAATGCCCATGTAAAAGTAGCACGTTTAATTGCCTATTATATTAAATTCGCATTGTCCAGAAAAGTAGGATATAACGCACTATATTTTCAAACCATCGAGCATAACGATATCATTTTAATTTTTACGTGTGTCGATGTGGACTACTTCGCTCAAATACATGTTAACCACCTACTAATGGAAACGAATTTCGCGAGTCTAACGACCTTCAACGTGTGTAATGATTAAAATAAACATGCAAATATTCTGACGAGCGAATGATTTTATTAGCTCGAGTTTCTTAAAACCGAATATTTCCAAACGCCGTGCCGTTAGTTATAAATAAATCTACATCGTCGGCTTGGATGGGTCGCAGATTTGGCATTACCCACGTCGGGTCTTAAAATATTCCTCTTCATTGTCGTCTCAAAATAGGCCTTGATTAGTCGAGTTCACGTTAACAACGCATCTTTACCATGTCCCAGAGGGAAAAGCCGGAAATTCGGTTCACAATATATTGGAATGGCCAAGTGATAGTGTTGTATTTATAATACAGGTATGAGATACGCAATTTTTTCGGCCGCCAAAACCACGCTCCGAACAACAAAGTTGCTGTCATATCCTTCGTAACTGTTTATTTTATGCGTTGGCTCTCTTTGGTGGTCGGTCATTTCCTGTGCGACGCGTGCATCGAAACCCCTCAGTACGAGTTAGTACCAGTCGGAGTCCTGCTGCCTGGCAGGAAACTGCTGGAAGACGCATCATGTTCAACATACAACATCACAACACGAATGCTCTGATTAGTAGTTTGCTGTCCGGTGTTAGACCTTCGTTAACACACGTCGGGTTGTTAACGTTAACCCTCGTCGCCTTCTGTCATAAAGCCCTGACTTATCTCCTCGTCTATCCTCTTTACAGATTGCTCTTCGGAACGCTGTACCCCGCTTATGCTTCTTACAAGGCTGTGAAAACGAAAAATGTTAAAGAATATGTAAGTAGACCGTTCGTTGCATGCTTGTGAGCCCCAGCACCCAACAGTCTGGAATTAACCCGGCTATTATTAGCCGCGACTGGAATTTACTTTGAGTTTGTTCTTTGTCCCGTTTTCCAGGTCAAATGGATGATGTATTGGATCGTATTTGCGCTTTTCACCTGCGCCGAAACATTCACCGATGTTTTTTTCAGTTGGTTACCTTTTTATTACGAAATTAAGATTATTTTAGTCATATGGTTGCTATCGCCTGCCACCAAAGGCTCCAGCATTTTGTATCGCAAGTTCGTTCATCCTGCTTTAAGCAGCAGGGAACAGGTGAGATCGCACTTGCTACCTACGTACTAACAACCAAAACCGATGAATTTTTCACAGGAAATTGACGAATACATCAGCAAAGCCAAAGAACAGAGCTACAAACAGTTCCTCGACTTGGGATCCAAGGGTGTGACGGCATTGATGCAAACAGCCATCAAGGTTTGTTTTTTTAACGTCGCTAGTTTAACAATCACCTAACACCCATCGCACTTTGTTCTTCCAATAAACAGAATTTTAACCCGATGCTTTCCTTGTCTGATACTACCATCACACAGAAAGATCAGGTTGATGTTGCTGTTAAATCACAATCCGCACAAGAATTTACAAACGAATTCTATTCCGCTGATGATGATGATGAGCTCGAGCTGGACTACGAAAGGCCGCAAACTAGAAGCGGAAGAGCCGCAAAGAATAAAGGAAAGGCTGCTAAAAAATCTAGGAAAAATAAAAAGAACGAGGAGATGAGCGACTGATTTTTCGTTTCCTTGAGTTTGTAGTAGTTTAATTTTTTATATTTTTAATCTGTTACTTATTATTTTTTATCGATTTTTTAGTGTGTATTGAACTGGTGCCTTAAACATTTACCTACTTTTAAATAAATATTGGTTAGATTCAAATTCATCAACGCCATGTGATTTTTGCCAATAAATATTTTCTAGTTTTATTCATTTTTTTCTTTTCGTTTTATCTTTATCTTTCAGCTGGTATAGTGGATTTTTAAAACGACTAAAAGTTACATCATCCATGCACTAACGAACACTTACTCAAGCACTTTGTCCCCTACGTAATGCATGCGCTTTAGTGTCTGCTAGGTGTCGAGACTTACTTAGGTCGTTGGTGAATTCTCGACGCGTTTCAGGGTGGCGGAGGACTGGTAAACCAATTGCGCAAGAGCTACAGTTTGAGCGACTTGAGCGACCCTACTCTCGACGCGAGCGACGGTCGTGACACCTCAGAAGTGGTAATCACTGACCCCCGTTTGCTCCGTCGTCGACGTAGCCCTAATCGACCAACATCCTCCACTGCTTCCTTATATTTCCCAGAAGTTGACGTTATTAGATCCGACAGGATCCAACATGTCCAGTCAGCTGAAGACATTAGCTCAGGTTACTCAAGTGGCGAAGGCTTATACCCAGGACAGCCACCCAAGCTGCAAGCCCGCGAAGGCTTAGTTCGAACGGGCTCTCTAAGCAGAGCTAGACCAACAAGAGTCACGAGGTCCACATCCGGGCTCAAGAAGTCGTCACTAAGCGAAGTAAGTATTCGATTGTTGTGACCGTTTTTGTAATGTGGAAATTTCTTTCTTTGATCGAACGTTGTACTTGAAGGACAGCGATGAAAGTGAAGTGTTTGACACAAACATCATTTTCGTGAATGACAAAGCTAGATCCATCGATGAGCTCGATCAGTCAAGTGAGGACGAGTTTCTGGATTCGGTTGAATCTTTGCATGATCGGTCGGTAGAAGAGAAAAGTAACAAAAGCACGAGTAGCGAACAATTAACAGCATGCCCCGACCCCACTGAGAAGGAAACAGTGGCCGAAGGTAAAAACATTACAGAAATTGAGTCTTTAGCACGCACCGATCCAACAGAACAAGCAGAAACCGAACCTTTAAAACAAACTAGTCGAGAAACCGAACCCGAAACGATATCGTTAAAAGAAAAAGAGACAGAACAGACCCGTGGTGGTAAATATCACAAAAAAGCGGCTCCGAAGCCCCCAAGCCCCGTCGAAAACGTTGCCGCGATAAAAGCGACCTTAGTTCTAAAACCAGGAGTCGTGAAACCGCTGGAGAACCCAGACTGCGAACGTAAGGAAATTTTTATACAGTCGCCTAAGTCGAAGCGTCGCACTCTAATTAACAAATCCCTGTCGTTCTCGAAGGGGAAACTTGACTCCTCTCTTTCCAAACTAATAAAATTCCCGAAAAAGATTAGAGATTCTCTAGAAAAGCGAGCTTCGTGGCACGAAATTGACTCAAAGCATTATCTGCAATTAGCAGAGAGTAAAGTACAGTCGAAAAGTGACAACGATCTGGTCGCAAGTGTAGGTAAAGTTGAGAAAAGTGCCAGCAGAATGTCGATTCAGTCACTGACGGAGTCGCCGCTGGCTCATCGAAGACTGAAAATAATACGCAGATATGTCGATGAAGATATTGATTAAAAAGCACCCCAGGCATGAATTGTGTGATGTGTTCGACAAGCCACTAACTAATTAGTTTGAGAATGGATTGATTAACTACGCGCTTGTTTGAATACTTATAGGTTTTTCGCCAAAACTGTACTGCTGTTCTGATTTAAAGTTTGGTTTCTTTTGGCGGGAAATTTCGCAAGATGGTAGTTTAGATTTGTTTGGATAGTAGAGTAGTGTATCGTGGCTGTTTATAAATGTATTTATAAACGGCTGCGAACGAAACGAAAGATTGTAACGAGTGCCTTGTTAAATTTCAATGTTTTAGGACATCCCAAGCGCGACCTTGCCTCGGACAAAGAGGGCCACTAAGAAGAAAACTGTTTAAAGACATTGAAAGCCACTCAAAACGCAATTGTGATTTGGTTTGTTATTTATTCTAGCCAGTTACACTTTTAAGTATATTTTATGTATGTTTTCTATAGCAAATCTTTTCTATTGTAAGACTTGCTTTATAGATAAATGATTTATTTATTTTTTAAATAAGTCGTAATAGGACTGAGAAGATGCTACTAATGCGTGCTGGTGATATACATCTACGACTAGGTTAGCTTATTTAAGTTATTTATTAAATTGTGCATGACTTTCTTAGCTCATTTTATATTAAGTTTACAATGAATACGTATATACATAAATGTTTGAAATAAAAAAAAAGTTACCGTTCTATGGTTTTTATTTGCAATATGTTAAGTCCAGAAGGGTCAATTATTTTGCCGCTGTGCGTATGTATGTTAATTTAATGGTTTTAATTGAAACTTTCACGCAATAGAGTCAGATCTGTTATACGTACCGAACACGACTGTAGAATAGAAAAAAAAATTATAGAACAAATCGATCAAATAAGGTCAACTTTGTTTCAGCAATATATTATATCTGTTATTGTGGAAAAAATAGTCGTTTGTACCACGTTCTTTGTTGTTATTGATTAACAATTTTAAATTAAAATTTATCCGAAACACGTTTGTTTTGTGAACTACTGTAAATTTTAAGTAGTTTTGACAAATCAACCGAACTGAAACACCCTGTATATGATTATCTGATTGATTGCTACGAAACGTTAGTCAAGGATTAAATTTTACAGGAAAGAAAACGTGTTTTATTTAATATGAATCATAAATTCAAGGAAGGGCTCGTTAAGAATATCGTCGACTTTGGAGACAAATATACTGTGTGACTGTCATTTCTGCTCAAATGGCAACATATTTCAAATTTTATGATGTCATACCTGATATCTAAGTCAAATTTTGACAACTGTGAACTGACATTAGTGCCAATAATTCAGAATTGCCAAACTATAAGTCATTAATAGTCACGCGGTATATCTCCAAATTTAGCCTTTTTGTCAAGATTTTAGAAATGCTTTTTGCATACTCCATGATATTTTTTCTAACAATTTCCCTGGGAGTTGGTAAATTCAAAACTTTCACAACTCTTGTTTTATGTTAAACCAAGCACTTTATTATGAAAAAGTGTTAACTTATTTCACTAATCAAATCATACTGTACCTTTGTGGTATAAATAAATAAGTTTTAATTAACTGTGGTAACCCAAATATACCCCGCTATAATTAGACATATGAAGAAAAATTTAAAACCCACGAAGGATTCAAAATTTGGCCTTGAACTGTGGTCATCAATAAAGTGGAACCCTACGTTGTGTTTTTTTTATGGCGTAATGCGTTCAAGTGTAAACCATAACGTTGGGAAAGTGCCCTTAATTCAAATAAAATATGGAGAGGAAATTGTTGATCCCTCCATTCTGAGGACAGAAAATCTGTTAAACTAGTTGCAAAAACCCTCTACATCTTCTAGAATTGAAATCAAACGTTAATATCATAAATTTATACAAAAAAAAGAGAAATCTCATTTTTAAACACTTGCATTCTTGAGGCCTATTTTCACTCCAGCAAAGAACGCAGCCAACTAAACTGCCTGATTTATTATGGTTGAAAATCGGATATTGCAGATAAACATTCACGTGAGAACAACAAAGAAAGAAAATCTCTACACTTGAATGTATATGGTATCACCATTCCCTCTCCGCCGGGCTTTAGGTACTGCATATTCTGCGCATTTAAGATAGGATTTTCAGCAAAATTTTGAAGTGACGTCATCAATTTTTTAGGGGGGGGATGAAGAAATACATTTTGACTAAAAATTTATCATGCCTATAATAACTTTAAAACATCTCTAATATTTCAAAGCATTCGGTTTTATAGTTCCTGATTAAATCAATAAAATAAATTCACGCATTCATTGATCTTTTAGAGTCACCCTGTATATGCAAATCTAAAAAATATGAACGAAATGATAAATCACAACTATAGATTCATCATATTTTGCACATTTAAGATAGCAGCAAAATTTTGAGGTGACGTCATCAATTTTTTGGAGGGGATAAGTAAATATACTTTGATTAAAAATTTATAATGCTTATCATAACTATAAACCATCTGCAAGATTTCAAAACATTCGGTTTTCAGATTCAAAAGTAAATTGAAAAATGTTTCATAATTTTGATTTTTTTTTCCAAAAATCTGGAAGTTTCGGGTAAAAACTCAATTCGGAGTCATAAACTATACAGGGTGTCTCAGAAATAAGTACATTAATTTTAACCAGTAACAGAACTCGTGAAACGGAACAACTTTTTTATCTAGCATTTTTTCGAAAACTCAAGTCGAATTTCGAATTTTCCCACCCATATATTCACGAGCCGTCTATGTTCACCTTAAATAATAACTTAAATAATAGCAACACTACAACAATGAAGAAGGTACCGTAGCAACCCTTTTGACGCTGACAATCATTTTTATGTCAATGTTTTTATTAAACGTCTCTTTAAAGTTTGTGTGGCACAGATTTCTAATTTATAGACGAAATGTGTTGAAATGGCTTTGTTTTCAAATTTGGAATGCACCGATATCGTTTTAACGTACGGTGAAGCTCGGGGATCGGCACTCGCGCCCAACGAATTTTTTCAGAAAACCTACCAAATCGTCGTCTGCCAAATGTGCGCACTTTTAAGAACGTTGCAGCATTTTCGAGATTACGGATCTTTTAAACCTGCACCTCAGGATCGGGGTAAGTTACGTAGTAATAGAATTGCTAATATTGAAGAGGCTGTTTTGAAGAGTGTTGAAGCTCGACCGAGCACTAGCACATATCACTGTCTAGTGTGATGTATCGGAGAGTAGTATTTGGAGGATACTCAGAGAACAAATGTACCCCTTTTAGGACCAGAAAGTTCAGTTATTGAAACTAACAGACTTACCACGTAGGCAAAACTTTTGTGAGAGAAAAGTAAACGAACAAGCAAATTTTGTATCTCTTATACCATCAACTGATGAGGTCGGTTACACGAGGGAAAGTGTTCAACATCCACATTTGGGCCGATGAAATTCCGTACGCCATTAGGGAGCAGGATTTTCAATTTCTCTCTAAATGTTTGTCACATTGACAAGATTAGGAAAATACGTATCCTAGTAACTGTTTTTGACCATAAATTATTAATTATAATAATTATTAGTGTCCATGGGTGACTGAGAATCCATGGGCGGGTAACCTTAATTGGGGTATAACTTTAACAATTTTTAACTTGATAATTAAAAAGTTCTTGACAAAACTCTACTAAAAAAAGTTGTTGAGTTCAATGAGCTCTATAACTGATTAAAATTAATGTACTTATTTCTGAGACACCCTGTATGTGTAGGACTATGTTATTTTATACAATTTGAAAGCCATTTACTATGCACAATTTTGAAGTGACGTCATCACATTAGTGGTGGGGATGATTAGACAAATTTTGGTTAGCGTTTTGCCATCTACATGATATTTCTAATGTAAGTGTAAAATTTCACAACAATCGTCTAATGTCTAATAAAAATCTGGGACGGCAGACAGACGGACAGACAGACGGAAACGAGAGACGTATTTTTTCGTCCTCTAGGGGTCATGAAAGATCGAGAAAGTAGAGAAAACGTAAAAGTAGAGAGTCGGCCGACGGACTCGATTACAATACTTCCTTTGCTTACGCTCGGGAAGTAAAAAGGAAAGAAGCAAAATTAAATTACGATAATCTGTATCAACAATTATGCGTTAATTCAAGTTAATGATTAAATTAAAATTAGTTAATCATCATGGACTCAACAAATTCACATAGCACATAAAACACATTTTGAGTCCAGGATAGTATTAATTCAACTCTTGATAATTTTCAAGGTCCGTTCTTTCAAAATGGATCAACGTTTATGATCAGTGTACTGTAAATGTCATAAATGAACTATGATTATAGTATAGGTCTCGAGTGAGAAGTTATGAAATGTGGATGATGTAACAGCTTACATGAAAATATCCAGATTTTGTATAAACATTTACATTATTGCAGTTAAATTATATTAGCACCAGGAACAGTTAAAAATCCTAACATGCACTGTGAATTTATGAACAATAAAAAAAAATTACGTGTTGATGGAATATTAAAAATTTGACACATTTCTGGTTAAAAAATGATTAATTAACTGGTCTTATACTAATTACATTCTTTGAGCGGGACTGTGGCGTCAAATGCGATTAATTTTTATTTAAACAGTTACACTATTATCACTATATAATCGAGGGTTCCTCTATCTATGGTTGCCTACGTTATTGAATGATTTTTCTTCAGTAAATTAACCCTGATGTCAGTGTCAGTGTCTAACCGAAGTTTCAAGCAATCCGTTACGTATACGTAGGTATGAGTCACTAAATGGGTTCTTCTCGATATTTCATTAATTTTTCAGACAGAAAAACAACTTATAAAGATTAAAGTTATACGATTCCTCTTATTTTTTTATTTTTAACTGTTCAGAGGGTTCTAATATTTTTGAAATGTAACATACAAATTATTGTTTTATGAAACATCCTACATATTTCTGCATATTCTAAAAAATGGCTTCAACTAGGCTTTATAAACATAATTTATTTTTAAAATTCCGATGCGACATTGCCATGTTATTCCAATTTTTACCAGCTCAAGAGAGTAAAAAAATCGTAATAATAGGGTAATTTATTGTAGTTTTTTGTAGTATCAAAAAAATGTAGTGCTATAAATTTAAAAAAAATGAAATATGTAAGTGAGAAACAGTAACATTTTAGATTTTTTATGAACACTCTGTATAGTTATAAAATTAAATTTAATTGCTACCATAACAAAGTGTTTACTACCTCTACGCTGGTTCTCTCCATAAGAGATTGCAGCGCCCAATGTTAAAAATAACATGTTTAAATTTTTTGTGAATAGTTGCATTACTAAAAAACTTCAAGAAAATTGGAATGATGTGGCAACATAGCAGCCAAATTTCAAAAATGAACTTTGGTTGTAAAGAGGGCAATTAGAGTATGTAAAAATATATAGGGTTCTATTAAAAAAAAAAAAAATAGTCGTATGTTATGCCTTAAAAATGGAGTTACATACTGCTGAAAATATTTCAGTGCATACTACTCAAAGAACCATACAACTTTGGTTTTTAGTTATTTTTTCTATCTCTAGACAATTAAAGAGATATTGAGGACTCAGTGACTCAACCTGTATATGTTGCAATATTTTTTCTGAGGTCGTCATTTTTTGGAGACAATGAATAAGATAAGCTATGTTTATTATTTTGTCATCTTTATACCGCGTGATCACTGATCAGAAATGAATGAGTCTGTGGGCAATCCTTTGGATTCTTAGTTGAAATTAGTACCACGATGTTTTCTTTAACTTCTGGTTGTCAGCTGTTAAGATTGACAGATTGTTGACATTTTTAAATTTATAAAATGTATCCAAAACAATTTAAATTTATCGCATATCACGATTGACATATCTGTCCGAATTATTTCCGTTATACCAACATAAACGCAAGAAAAATTCACATTTGTATTTTAAAAGTACTGCCAACAGACTCAGTCATTTCTGAGCACGCGGTATAAACGGAAGACACTCTTAAAATTTTTAAAGCGATTGATTCGTACATTGTCTATAAAGTTGCTAACAGATAGATGAGAGCTGAAAAGTTTTTTTTTGCATTTTCGTACTAACTGCAAAATTCTATGAAAATAAAATGTAGATTTTGCCTTTTTGTTGTATTTTTTCCTGACTTGGACGACGTCTTCGATGAATTGAATTTGTTCCGAATTTTTTGAACACCCGTATTTTGCTCATAAAAAATAGGGTTCTGAAAATTTTATTCTCAACAATTATTGTTGAACGGGATGTAACACTTTGATGTATACAATGACGACAAATAATTCACTTGTCAATTTGTCATAAGTAAACGCCAAATCGCCACTACTTTTCAAAAATAGATAAATTCGAACTTGGCGCGTTGGGTGGTGCACGATACCGCCACGGTCAGGCGCCACCGATCCGTTAAATTTGCGTTATGTTGTTTTTGAGTGTGAACGGTGTGAAGTTGATACAAGTGGTGCAAATCATACCTCTTCCATCTCTGTATTTATCAGCAAAATCACCAACAAATTTGCCCAATGAAAGAGAGCGATAATGGCTGATGAACAAGTAAGTCTCCCCTTCAAAGTCCAGCGAACCTCTGCGCCACCACTCCAACACCACTATTCCTTCATCCCCGCTCCAAATACCACCCCCGGCGGCCCCATGCGGGCCCCGATCGCCCCCTCGACATTTTCTCCGAGCCCCCTGACGTTCTTGCTTTTATCAGGAGATCCGCCAACTGGAACTGTTGTGCAAGCAGCTCTATGAGTCCCAGGACACTGCGATTAGGGCTGACGCAGAGAAGGCCCTAGTGGTGTTCCAGGATGGGCCCGATGCTCTCACCAAGTGCCAGGTCTTGTTGGACAGAGGGGACTCGTGCTATGCCCAGCTACTGGCAGCCACTACTTTGACCAAGTTGGTGTCGAGGAGTGCGCAAGGTTTGAGCTTGCAGCAGAGAGTGGATATTAGGAATTATGTGTTGAATTATTTGGCAACGAGGCCAAAGCTACCTAACTTTGTGGTGCAGGCACTGGTCACTCTTTTTGCGAGGATTACTAAGCTGGGATGGTTCGACACACACAAGGAGGATTTCGTGTTTAGGAATGTCGTCAGTGATATTAGCAAGTTCTTACAGGTTAAGTGGTTTTTTAATTTTGGTGAAACTCGTTTTGAGATACTACATTGTAGATAGAATAATATTTTAGTGACTTTCGTGACTAAGTTACTAAATAATAGAGCACTGAAGAATTAAAATTGCTATTTTTTTTGTTTGCAATACTGCAATTGTTTAAATACAAAGATATGCTTTCCAGTGGAGGTGCTTCAGTGTTCATTCTGGGTTGCATTCATTGAGTTATTGTTATTAAAATTAAACGCAATTTACATTCAATGACCTAATTGGCGTCAAATTTCGTATTGTGTTTCTGTTGTTAATGGATGGACATTTTTGTATTCAAAATGACAATTTAAATTTTTTCTTATGCTTTGAAAATCACGTAAATTACGGTTGTACAGTTTACTTGTGGTTTTTATTTTATAACTGAAACATAATTCAATTCCAAAAGTGGCACCTTAAGAAACAAATTGGTGTCACTTCCAAAAAAAGTGAGCGTGTTCAGACTCCCCAATTCTATAATAGTATAAAAAATTTTAGTTGCAAAAGCTTTAATGCAGTCGTTTTACCAAAGTATGCAATGTTTATCAGACTGATTTTTTACGCAGATACACCTGAAGTATACTTATGTATTTTATAATTACTTATTATCATAGAGAATAGCTTGTTAATGTTGCTAATTAACATAAGTTAATACACGATTTACTACCGTTGACGCATAATGATGAAAATGATCAAAAGTGCAGTCTTGATTTTATCATATTTTATTTATCTATTTATTATAAATTTTTTGACACCTATTATCTTTGTAATTATAAACGCACAAAATATTTAAGCAGTTACATAATACAATCACGAATTTCGTTTAGGGCTAAGTACAAAACTATTATCTAAATTCCCTATCTGAATTAATTTTTATCAGTGACGTTATTTGTCGAAATCAAATTATTACCCACTCAAGTGGCTTTTGTTTCCTGAATGATCAGGATTGGATTTGCATTGATCACGTTTAATAACATAGAGAGATTTTAATTTGTAGATTGACTTTATCAGTAATAGTTTTCATTTATTTCGAAATTTTACAAAATTTGATTGTTCTTTGAAGCGTCGAAAGCGTTTAATTGACTTGATTTCATAGGTTTTAGTAATCATTTTAAGAGGAAAAAATGCCTGATTTATCAAGCGCTCAAGGCACCTTCGCAACAGTTAGCGAGGAATTTACCGTGTTTTCTGTTTTATAATAATATAATTTGTCACTTAATAATTATGCTTACATGGGTGACTTGTCTTTTGACATCGTGTACAGTTCTTAACTCTGTACGGTAAAAAGTAACGTGAAATATTAGAAAAGCGAATTATTTTTAGGTAATTAAAAGATACAGAAAATGAATTTGACGATTTGATGGTTCTAATAATAGACATGACGTTAAATATCAAGCTGTAGTTTAATAAATATTTATTTTGCTTTTTTGTTGTGTTTGTGAAGAATAAACTGAAAAAACGTTATTAGTAATATTAAATTGGATATACTATAGTACTTATGATAAGTCAACCGTATTTTGATGTTTTAAGTTGTCTTATAGTTCTATCCAGTCATCGTTTCGTACTAAATTAAAAAATTCACTTGTGTGTTATCTGTATTGAATTTACCGCTTGTTTGTCAGAATGAGGTCAAGTGAACTTTTCGAGTCAATTTTTTATGGACAGAAGAAAAAAATATAATTTGTAACATGACAAACGCAATATGGTTTTATGAATTTTTAATATTCCGTGTAAACCACACCACTAAATTATATAACTGAAAATTGACATAAAGAAATGGCAGTTTAAAAAAAGTGTTCCTTTTTTCTATTTCTTAACAAAAACCAGGTTTTCTTTGTTTGTTTTAGGATTCAATTACAGTATTTTTTCCCAAGGGAGTAAAATTAATTTTTACTAGGCGAGCAACTGAACACGAGCTAAAAAATTGATCAAAATTGATGAAATATTGCAATTTATTCGCTAGTATTAATGGTACAATATTAAAATTTGATGATGTTGTCGATATTATTAATGTTCGAAAGTTTCGCACACATGATTCAGTTAGCAACGCAATAGATTTTAATACTGAATTTAAATAAGTAACATCGGGCACTGCTGACTATGATTTGCCGCCTTTTTTCAAACTTAAGGTATCTCCAACGTTGAGGTCCTCCTGAATTCGTGCCCCGTATATTTGATAGCTTGCTAGAGTTATTTCCGATTAGAATAATTAACAAAAAATATGTCCAGCATTTGTTGCTTTAAAAAGCAACTCATGTCAGACTTGCATATGGTTTACACATTATTTTGTAGTAGTACTAAAAGTGATACAAGTAATTAAAATGACGTCACAAGTTAAGTCACGTGCGTGGTTAAATGTAATTATACTTTGATAACGAGTTGCAGATTAAGTTTTTGTGTAGGAGCGTATCGACGATGTTGCTATAAAATAGGAATTCATTGTCTATTTTCTTGATGCATTTGTTGAAAAAAATTTCACCTCAAGCACGTAACAACAAACTATAACATAATATGTTAGAATTTTATAATAGTATAGTGAACAGCCTTATTTAATTTGTTATGTACTGGATCAGACACGGTGCTGTTCAGCGTGTGACGACGGCTAAGTTTTGACCGGCGGTTTACGGTTTTGTGGATTAGATTTTAGATTTTTTAAATATTATGCAGCTTGTAATTTAAAAATTCCCTACTCTGTGGTATCTAAGAGGACCTAGAGTTAGCTGTGTTCTTAAAAACTTCGATTTAATAAAATCTTCGAAAAAATCATTTAATTTAGGGTTACCATTTACAATTAATTTGGAATAGGAGCAGGTGTTCCGTTTAAAAGTTACATACCGATTGTTTGAGGGAACACTCCATGTTTTTACCGACAAGGTTTTTCTAGTTAACAGTTTTCCAAATTATGCATTTTTCTTTCGGTTTCAAAGTTAAAATTTAAATTTTGTTATAAAATTTTGACTTCTTTTCCAAAAAAGGGGATGGATAAATCACAGTTATAGGAGTATGTTATTTTATAAAAGTTAAATAGCTTTTATTATGCAAATTTTTGAAATCAAACTGTTGGTGGGGATGATCAAAAAAATTTCGGTTAGCATAATATGATCTACACGATTTTCTTAAAAAACACAAAATTTCACAACAAGCAGTCCAGTAGTTTCGGAGATTATTTGTCTAGTAAAATAGCCAACAGACCACAGATGATAAGACAGACGGAAATAGTTTGAAAATCTTTTTTTTTTAATCCAAATAATCGCAAAATTTAAAAGAGCGATTGTGGAACAATGGTTGGAATTATCAAAGAAATAAGGCGGAAACTAATTTTGGGAGGTTTGTATTAAAAAATTTTGCTTGTGATAAAGTTGCCAAAAATTCGAAATTTTTGAAAAATCCAAAAAGTTGCAATATTTCAAAGGGCGATTCTGATAAAATGTAAGGAGTTTATGGTAATCTATAAGAAAATGTCTTACGTTAAGTTTCAAAAATGGTTGAACATTAACTGAAATTTTTATGGAGGGAGGGCGGTATTAAAAAATTTTGCATTTGAAAAAGTTACCAAAAAAATCTGGAAATAGATTTCGACGTGCTACTTTCAAAGCTAAAGCGTTTTTATTGTCCAGAGGCAAGATTTTAGAAATATTCGCTTTGAAAATTTTTTTTTTTAATCCAAAAAATTTCAGTATAATTCAATGGACGATTCTGGAAAAATGTTAGGAGTTATTGAAGAAGTGGGACGAAAGTTTACTTTTGAAGGCCAACATTTATCAGAAAATGTCTTTGGTTAAATTTCGAAGATGGTTGAAAATTAACCGAAATTTTCATAGCAGTTTATTGAAATTTTGCGTTTGAAAGTTGCCAAAAAATTCTGGGACATAGATTTCGACGTGATGGTTCCAAGAAAATAACGTTATTATGGTCCAGGGGCAAACATTTAGAGATATTCAATTCGAATTTTTGTTATATATGTACTTTTTGTAATTTAAAGATTACAATATTTCAGTGGTCGATGTTGGGAATATTGGATAAACGTAAGCAAATTTGGTATCAAATTAATGTGTACTTAGGGGCCCGAAATACGAAAAAATTTTTTTTTTTTAAGTATAGTAATCGAGTCAATCGGACGAATGACCACTTTTATATTTTGCCGACGTTTCATGACCCCTAGAGTACGAAAAATGTAGTCTGTCGTTTCCGTCTGTCTGTCTGGTGTCTGTATCCATTCTTATTAGATACGCAATCTCCGAAACTCCTGGATCGATTGTTCTCAAATTTTGTATTTATTAATGTATATCTAATATCATCATATATCTAATGAAATATCGTGTAGATGGTTAAATGCCATTTAAAATTTTCCCACTCATCCCCACCAACAATTTAATAACGTCATTTCAAAGAATTCTATGGTTATTTGATTTAACTGTTATACAACAATGTAAGTGTGGTGCACGAATCCGATCTGAGTTTTTTTCTAACCGTCCAAATTATTGCAAAAATATAATATAATAACAGTTTACTATAAGCATAAGGCATCCCGGTCGTGGTCTAGTGTTTACGAGTCAAGAATGCGGACCAGACGTCGCACGTTCGATTCCATAGTTAGCCTTTCGCTTTTTTTTTCTTTTTTTTTTTTTCTCTGGCATTGTGTATTGTCTATCTTTATGACGTAACAACAATTTTTGTATTGATGAAATTACCCCACTTTCTCGAAGAGATGAGAATACGTCCCTTTTTATTTATTAATGCAAAACCTTCTCGGGGGTTCCAACTGTCTTTTTTTAAAATGTAAAATCTCGGTGGTGCCAAATGTCTTTTTTTTAATGTGGAATCTTCTCGGGGGCCTAAATGTATATTTTTAAGAAGGTGAAACCTTCTCGAGGGTCCCAATTGTCTTTTTTTTTTAATGTAAAATCATCTCGGGAGCCCCAACTGTCAAACCTTCTCGGGGGTCCCAACTGTCTTTTTTAAAAATGTTAAACCTTCTCGGGGGCGCCACCTGTCTTTTTTTTTTAATGTGGAATCTTCTCGGGGCCCCCAAATGTATATTTTTAAGAATGTGAAACATTCTCGGGGGCCCCAATTGTCTTTTTTTTAAATGTAAAATCATCTTGGGAGCCCCAAATGTCAAACCTTCTCGGGGGTCCCAACTGTCTTTTTTAAAAATGTTTAACCTTCTCGGGGGCGCCACCTGTCTTTTTTTTAATGTGGAACCTTCTCGGAGCCCCCAAATGTACATTTTTAAGAATGTGAAACCTTCTCGGGGGTCCCAACTGTCTTTTTTAAAAATGTTAAACCTTCTCGGAGGCGCCACCTGTTTTTTTTTTATGTGGAACCTTCTCGGGGCCCCCAAATGTATATTTTTAAGAATGTGAAACCTTCTCGGGGGTCCCAACTGTCTTTTTTAAAAATGTTAAATCTTCCCGGTGGCGCCACCTGTCTTTTTTTTAATGTGGAACCTTCTCGGGGTCCCGAAATGTATATTTTTAAGAATGTGAAACCTTCTCGGGGGCCCCAATCGTCTTTTTTTTTAATGTAAAATCATTTCGGGAGCCCCAAATGTCAAACCTTCTCGGGGGTCCCAACTGTCTTTTTTAAAAATGTTGAACCTTCTCGGTGGCGCCACCTGTCTTTTTTTTTAATGTGGAACTTTCTCGGGGCCCCCAAATGTGTATTTTTAAGAATGTGAAACCTTCTCGGGGGCCCCATTTGTCCTTTTTTTAAATGTAAAATCATCTCGGGAGCCCCAAATGTCAAACCTTCTCGAGGGTCACAACTGTCTTTTTTCAAAATGTTTAACCTTCTCGGGGGCGCCACCTATCTTTTTTTTTTAATGTGGAATCTTCTCGGGGCCCCCAAATGTATATTTTTAAGAATGTGAAACCTTCTCGGGGCTGCCACCTATCTTTTTTTTTAATGTGGAACCTTCTCAGGGGCCTAAATGTATATTTTTAAGAAGGTGAAACATTCTCGAGGGTCCCTATTGTCTTTTTTTTAAATGTAAGATCATCTCGGGAGCCCCAACTGTCAAACCTTCCCGGGGGTTCCAACTGTCTTTTTTAAAACTGTTAAACCTTCTCGGGGCCGCCACCTATCTTTTTTTTAATGTGGAAACTTCTCGGGGATTAAATGTATATTTATAAGAAGGTGAAACCTTCTCGAGGGTCCCTATTGTCTTTTTTTTTTAAATGTAAGATCATCTCGGGAGCCCCAACTGTCAAACCTTCTCGGGGCTCCCAACTGTCTTTTTTAAAAATGTTAAACCTTCTCGGGGGCGCCACATGTCTTTTTTTTTAATGTGGAACCTTCTAGGAGCTCCCAAATGTATATTTTTAAGAATGTGAAACCTTCTCGGGGGTCCCAACTGTTTTTTTTTTTAATGTTAAACCTTCTCGGAGGCGCCACCTGTCTTTTTTTTAATGTGGAACCTTCTCGGGGCCCCCAAATGTATATATTTAAGAATGTGAAACCTTCTCGGGGGCACCAATTGCCTTTTTTTTTAATGTAAAATCATCTTGGGAGCCCCAAATTTCAAACCTTCTCGAGGGTCCCAACTGTCTTTTTTAAAAATGTTAAACCTTCTCGGGGGCGCCACCTGTATTTTTTTTAATGTGGAACCTTCTCGGGGGCCTAAATGTATATTTTGAAGAATGAAAAACCTTCTCGGGGGTCTCAACTGTCTTTTTTAAAAATGTGAAACCTTCTCGGGGCTGCCACCTATCTTTTTTTTTAATGTGGAACCTTCTCAGGCGCCTAAATGTATATTTTTAAGAAGGTGAAACATTCTCGAGGGTCCCTATTGTCTTTTTTTTAAATGTAAGATCATCTCGGGAGCCCCAACTGTCAAACCTTCCCGGGGGTTCCAACTGTCTTTTTTAAAACTGTTAAACCTTCTCGTGGCCGCCACCTATCTTTTTTTTAATGTGGAAACTTCTCGGGGGTTAAATGTATATTTATAAGAAGGTGAAACCTTCTCGAGGGTCCCTATTGTCTTTTTTTTTTAAATGTAAGATCATCTCGGGAGCCCCAACTGTCAAACCTTCTCGGGGGTCCCAACTGTCTTTTTTAAAAATGTTAAACCTTCTCGGGGGCGCCACATGTCTTTTTTTTTAATGTGGAACCTTCTAGGAGCTCCCAAATGTATATTTTTAAGAATGTGAAACCTTCTCGGGGGTCCCAACTGTTTTTTTTTTAATGTTAAACCTTCTCGGAGGCGCCACCTGTCTTTTTTTTAATGTGGAACCTTCTCGGGGCCCCCAAATGTATATATTTAAGAATGTGAAACCTTCTCGGGGGCACCAATTGCCTTTTTTTTTAATGTAAAATCATCTTGGGAGCCCCAAATTTCAAACCTTCTCGAGGGCCCCAACTGTCTTTTTTAAAAATGTTAAACCTTCTCGGGGGCGCCACCTGTATTTTTTTTAATGTGGAACCTTCTCGGGGGCCTAAATGTATATTTTTAAGAATGAAAAACCTTCTCGGGGGTCTCAACTGTCTTTTTTAAAAATGTTAAACCTTCTCGGGGGCGCCACCTGTCTTTTTTTTTTAATGTGGAACCTTCTCGGGGGCTAAATGTATAGTTTTAAGAAGGTAAAATCTTCTCGAAGGTCCCAATTGTCTTTTTTTTAATTGTAAAATCATCGCGGGAGCCCCAACTATCAAACCTTCTCGGGGGTCCCAACTGTCTGTTTTAAAAATGTTAAACCTTCTCGGGGGCACCACCTGTCTTTTTTTTAATGTGGAACCTTCTCGGGGCCCCCAAATGTATTTTTTGAGAATGTGAAACCTTCTCGGGGGCCCCATTGTCTTTTTTAAAAATGTAAAATCTTCTCGGGGCGCCAAATGTTTTTTTAGAATGTGAAACCTGCTTGGGGGTCCCAACTGTCTTTTTTAAAATGTAAAATTTTCTCGAGAGCCCCAAATGTGTGTTTTATGAGAATGTGAAACCTTCTCGGGGGTCTCAACTGTCTTTTTTAAAAATGGAAAACCTTCTCGGGGGCGCCAAATGTTTTTTTTTGATGTGAAACCTGTTTTTTTTTTTAGAAGATGAAACCCTTTTTTCTATTACACTGTGACTAGCACTTTCTATATTGTTTTTACTTCATAGAGGTTATCACGAAAAAGTAAAATCCCGCAAAATTGAATTTTACAATTTTTCAGAGAAGCAGTATTATTTGTTGGACTGTATTTCAGAAGCGAGGGAAATTCTGTCGAAATAACTTTCGACCAATTTTTTATATAAAAAATGCAAATATGTGGAAATCATTTTAAGTTTAACATGGTGAGTCATCTAAATCTGACAACGGACTGCCAGTCAGTAGCGTAACATGCACACTTCTGAAGGGGGTGATTTTTTAAATTATTTTTTTTTATCGCAAACAATAACTCAATAACACAGGGAAACAAACTTAAGTGACACTAATCTAAACAGGTGTCTTTACGCTAGAAAAGTTCACTATGACAGCGAAACGATGACGGACGCCTCTGAAGCGCCCACCCCTTAAATTTGAAAGTGGACTTGACCCGACCAATTTTGTGCTTCTACTCAGTTTTACAGCTGTGTCTGTCTACGTTTAAAAAATATAACCATAATGTTCAACTTTCGAAAGGAATATCTTGTGTTCAAATATAATTTAAACACAATTTTAAGTGATAATTATTAATTAAACTTTAATGTTATTAAGTCACAATAGTCGTAAAAAAAGAAATAGTAATACGAAAAGTTTTGCACCATTTTACAACACCTTCCACAAATAATATTTGACTTGTTTTCTAATTTCAGGGTTCCGTGGAACACTGCATGATCGGGGTGCAGCTACTCTCCCAATTAACCTGTGAAATGAATCAAATCTCCGAAGTGGAAGCGAACCGTTCCCTGACAAAACACCGCAAGATCGCGTCATCGTTCCGCGACACTCAGCTCTTCGAGATATTTCGTCTTTCGTGTACTCTCCTCGGTACGGCCATAGAGAACTGTAAAAATCTCAACTTCAACGACGAAAGCCAGCACGGACTAATGACGCAGCTGCTGCGGTTAGCCCAAAACTGTCTCACTTTCGATTTCATCGGAACTTCGACGGACGAAAGTTCGGACGACTTATGCACCGTACAAATACCGACCAGTTGGCGGCCGGCGTTTTTGGATTTTACCACCTTGAAGTTGTTTTTTGACTTGTATCATTCCTTACCTAACACGCTGTCGTCGTTAGCGCTATCGTGTCTCGTGCAGATCGCTTCGGTCAGACGCTCTCTGTTCAGTAACACGGAGAGAGCGAAGTTTCTGACGCACCTGGTTAATGGGGTTAAGCATATTCTTCAAAATCCACAAGGGCTGAGTGACTCGGCGAATTATCACGAGTTCTGTCGGCTTCTGGCGAGGCTGAAGTCCAATTATCAGCTGGGAGAGCTGGTTATGGTGGATAATTATCCGGAAGCTATACAGCTAATTGCGAAGTTTACTGTCCAGAGTTTACAAGTAAGTGGTTTTGTAGTTGCTGTGTATATAGCTTTAAAATAATAAAAGAGTGGTTTCTATTTTAAAAAATTGTGTTGTGGGTACGATGTAAAAAATTATGTGTGTAGGACTGGTGTGAAGATGAAAGTATTCGACACTAAAATACACTTTTCATAAAATTTAAGCCTTTGTTGCCATTATTAAAGTAAGCCAACGAATTGTGTACTTCCTAGGTTTTTTTGTCTATTTTATGTTTTATTCAGGTTAACTCGGGTGTGTAATTATAAAATATGTGAATTATCATCACAGGGACGGACTATGTAGGGGAAGCATTTGTTATTTCAAGGAAACTTTCAAGGGAGAACAGCAAAAACTTAACAAATATTGTAATATGATAATACGATACTTCTATACTTGTAATTTATTAATCTACCTTGAATTTCTGTCCTAGGCATCCAGATTTCTTAAATTTTGGTAAGCAATGTGGACGAACGCCGTACTTTATAATTACGGACGTATTTTATCTTGTGAGCGGATGCGACAGAAAGATGATACTCTGTTAACGGTTTAAAAATATTCGATCTTTATTCCGTACCAAGTTACAACGACTAAGATAAGAAATTAGGGCTGTTTCGATCCTGGGGAGGCGGGGACGCTGAAATAGAGATCGGAGACATTACATTCAGAACGGCCTATTGTGTGACCGAAAAAGGCCGTAATTTATGAAGCACAGACGTCGTATTATGAATTCACTTTTAGCGGAGGAGTGTCATACTATGCATAGAAGTTTTGAACGTCGTACTTTATGAGCGACTTAATACGTCGTATTTTTAATTTTTTCTAAAATCTGAACTCCGTTCTTTCTAAACAACGGACATCCTACTTTGTAAATTCTGAGCGCAATACTTTATAAGTGACGAACCACAAACTCTATACTTTGTACTTTGTACATTCTGAAGGCCGCACCTTATAAATGGCGGACGCCGTACTGTGTACATTCTGAACGGCATAGTTTGTACATTTTAAATGACGTACTTCATGAAATGATGAACGCCATACTTTAAATTCAATTTCAGCGTGGGAACTCGGTGCTATATAAATTTTGAATACCGTACTTTATAAGCCACTAAACCGTGTTTTTATGTTCTGACCGTAAGCTAAGAAAATATTATAGTCGAGTCCATCGGCCGACTCCTACTTTTATGTTTTCTCGACGTTTCATGACCCCTAGACTACGAAGAAATACGTCTCCCGTTTCCGTCTGTCTGTCTGTCTGTCTGCAGTCTCCAGATTTTTATTAGGTAGATAATCTCCGAAACTACTGGAGCGTTTGTTGTCAAATTTTGTATGTACATTAGGAATATCATGTAGATGGTAAAACCAAATTTCGCACCACCAATATGATGATGTCATCTCCAAAATTGATAATATATTTTATCTTGCACTTGTGATGTATGAATTCGTGTTGAGGTTTCACCCTAACCATCCAGATTTTTGGAAAAAAAAATCAAAATTTTATAACTAATATAATTTTGCAATTTAACTTTGAAACTGCAAAACCGAATGTTCTGAAATTTTGCAAACGTTTTAAGATTATCATAATGATGGTAAATTGTTAATCAAAATTTATTGGTTTATTCCCTCTCAAAAAATTGATGACGACCACCTGAAAATTTTCAGTCTTTGATTTAAATGTTTGATTCTACCGCTTGTCAAACCAGAATTCAAAATTACTCTCTGTTACAGTAAATAAAATATTAAGTCAGTGAAATGGAGAAAGGAGGTGGGCGGAGCTAAGTTTACTTTTTTCTACATAGTCTTGTAAGCAAGAAATAGCCCCGCCCACCCGCCCTACTCTTGATTCTAATGACTACTCTTAATATTATTAATTAATGACAATTATATTATCTTATTGGTTATTGGAATCTCAGACAAATCTGCCAAACCACTGGTGAGGAAATAGATAAAAATTGTAAACAAAGTATGCAGCTGGTGTTAAATAAACATAACAGAAGTGAGAATTATATTTAAAAATCAATGTTACTGATTCTCCTCCCACTCGCACAAGCTCCGCCTTAATAAATCATTTCATTGACCAGGAGAAGAGGGGCGGCGTTTACAAGACCTCATTGGTTCTACTTTATATATGTAATTATTAAATATTTCAATGTAAATGCTGACGGCAAAGCGGTTTTTCGAATAAGAGTCAAAATTTGATAAAAAAAGTAGTTCTAATTTCGATTATTTGTCGATATAAAATCCAACTTCCGTGTCCGAACCAATAAAATAAGTTCTGAAAACGGAGTAGGAGTGGGTGGGTGGGGTCACTTTTGACTTTGATTTAAAACCTGTGATTGTATCGCTTGTCAAACCATAATTCAATTCCTATTTTACAGTGATAAAAATATTAAGTCAGTGAAATGGAGAAAGGAGGTGGACGGAGCTAAGTTTACTTTTTTCTACATAGCCTTGTAAGCAAGAAATAGCCCCGCCCACCCGCCCTATTCTTGATTTAATGACTACTCTTAATATTATTAATTAATGACAATTATATTATCTTATTGGTTATTGGAATCTCAGACAAATCTGCCAAACCACTGGTGAGGAAATAGATAAAAATTGTAAACAAAGTATGCAGAAAATAATAAGCTGGTGTTAAACATAACAGAAATGAGAATTATATTTAAAAATCAATGTTACTGATTCTCCTCCCACTCGCACAAGCTCCGCCTTAATAAATCATTTCATTGACCAGTAGAAGAGGGGCGGCGTTTACAAGACCTCATTGGTTCTACTTTATATATGTAATTATTAAATATTTCAATGTAAATGCTGATGGCAAAGCGGTTTTTCGAATAAGAGTCAAAATTTGATAAAAAAAAGTAGTTCTAATTCCGATTATTTGTCGATATAAAATCCAACTTCTGTGTCCGAGCCAATAAAATAAGTTCTGAAAACGGAGTAGGGGTGGGTGGGTGGGGTCACTTTTGACTTTGATTTAAATCTGTGATTGTATCATTTGTCAAACCATAATTCAATTCCTATTTCACAGTAATAAAAATATTAAGTCAGTGAAATGGAGAAAGGAGGTGGGCGGACCTAAGTTTACTTTTTTCTACATAGTCTTGTAAGCAAGAAATAGCCCCGCCCACCCGCCCTACTCTTGATTCTAATGATTACTATTAATATTATTAATTAATGACAATTATATTATCTTATTGGTTATTGGAATCTCAGACAAATCTGCCAAACCACTGGTGAGGAAATAGATAAAAATTGTAAACAAAGTATGCAGAAAATAATAAGCTGGTGTTAAATAAACATAACAGAAATGAGGATTATATTTAAAAAATCAGTGTTACTGATTCTCCTCCCACTCGCACAATCTCCGCCTTAATAAATCATTTCATTGACCAGTAGAAGAGGGGCGGCGTTTACAAGACCTCATTGGTTCTACTTTATATATGTAATTATTAAATATTTCAATGTAAATGCTGATGGCAAAGCGGTTTTTCGAATAAGAGTCAAAATTTGATAAAAAAAAAATAGTTCTAATTTCGATTATTTGCGATATAAAATCCAACTTCCGTGTCCGAGCCAATAAAATAAGTTATGAAAACGGAGTAGGGGTGGGTGGGTGGGGCCACTTTTGACTTTGATTTAAATCTGTGATTGTATCGCTTGTCAAACCATAATTCAATTCCTATTTTACAGTAATAAAAATATTAAGTCAGTGAAATGGAGAAAGGAGGTGGGCGGAGCTAAGTTTACTTTTTTCTACATAGTCTTGTAAGCAAGAAATATCCCCGCCCTCCCGCCCCACTCTTGATTCTAATAATTACTCTTAAAATTGTTAATTAATGACAACTGTATTATCTTGTTCGAATCTTAGAGAAATCTGTTACACCAGTGATGAGAAAATAGTTAAAAATTGTAAAAGTATCCAAAAAATAATAAGCTGGCGTTAAATAAACATAACAGAGGTGAGAATTATGTATATTTAAAAAGCAATGTTACTGATGCTCCTCCCACTCGCACAAGCTACACCTTAATAAATCATTTCATTAACCAGGAGAAGAGGGGCGGCGTTTACAATTATTATACATTATTGGTTCAACTTCATATGATTTTTGAATATTTCTATGTAAATACAAGCGATTTTTCGAAGAATCAAAATGTGATAAAAAAAGTAGTTTTCGATTATTTGTCAATATAAAATCCAACTTCCTTGTCCCAGCTAATCAAATAAGCTACGAAAACGGAGAAGGGGTGGGTGGGTGGGGCTACTTTTGACTATGATTTAAATATTTGATTCCACCGTTTGTCAAACCAGAGTTCTATTTTTATTTTGCAGTGAATAAAATATTAAGTTAGTGAAATGGAGAAAGGAGGTGGGCGGAGTTAAATTTATCTTTTTTGTTACATAGTCTTGTAAGCAAGAATAGCCCCTCCCACCCGTCTCACTTTTGATTCTAGTAACTACTCTTAATATTGTTAATTAATGACAACTATATTATCTTATTGGAATCTCGGACAAATCTGTTAAACCAATGGTGAGGAAATAGATAAAAATTGTAAACAACGGATCCAGAAAATATTAAGCTGGTGTTAAATAAACATAACAGAAGTGAGAATTATATTTAAAAAGCAATGTTACTGATGCTCCTCCCACTCGCACAAGCTCCACCTTAATAAATCATTTCATTGACCAGGAGAAGAGGGGCCGCGTTTACAATCATACCTCATTGGTTCTACTTTATATGATTTTTAAATATTTCTATGTAAATGCTGACGGCAAAGCGGTTTTTCGAATAAGAATAAAAATTTGATAAAAACAAGTAATTCTAGATTCTATTATTTGCGAATATAAAATCAACTTCCGTCTCCGAACCAATAAAATAAGTTATAAAAACGGAATATTACCACTTTTGACTTTGATTTAAATCTTCAATTCTACCGCTTGTCAAACCTGAATTCAATTCTTATTTTATAGTAAATAGAATATTAAGTCAGTGAAATGGAGAAAAGAGGTGGGCGGAGCTAACCTTACCTTTTTTTCTACATAGTTTTGTAAGCAAGAAATAGCCCCGCCCACCCACCCCACTCTTGATTTTAGTAACTACTTTTATTAATATTGTTAATTAATGAGAACTGTATTATCTTATTGGAATCTCAGACAAATCTGTTAAACCAGTAATGAGGAAATAGATAGAAATTGTAAACAAAGTGTCTAGAAAATAATAAGCTGGTGTTAAGTATACATAACAGAAGTGAGAAGTATATTTAAAAAGCAATGTTACTTATGCTCCTCCCATTCGCACAAGCTCCACCTTAATAAATCATTTCATTGACCACGAGAAAAGGGGTGGCGTTTACAATCATATCTCATTGGTTCTATTTTATATGTTTGTTGAAGATTTTTATGTAAATGCTGACGGCAAAGCGGTTTTTCGATTAAGAATCAAAATTTGATAAAAAAAGTAGTCCTAGAATGAGTATGTTATTGATTAACTCAGGAACGTCTCACTCAATGTTTCCGAAAATTTGCGAATACAATATTGTTATTATCAGTATTACATTGCACTTGTCCAAATTGATGTACGTGTCCTCGCAAAAATGTTGAAGTCATCACAAAATTTTGTAAAGGAGAAACTCATTTGAAACATACGTATAGCACGCTTCTCTACATTTACTTTAACATTACATATCTTTATTTTAACTTATTCTCTAAAAACAAAAAAATTACCTTCGGGCAATTTTCATAGTTTATTCATCTGGTTCAGCCAGTATCACAAAATTTATCGAAGTTAATGTTAATAAAATTTAACAATTTTTAGGTAAAGTTTTGGATATGAGTTGATATTTACAATTTCCGAATTGCTTTTTTTGCTGCTCTTTGAAAATTGAACTGTTCAGTTTGGAAGTTCAGTGTTTTTGAAATTGATTAGTTTTCAATAACTTTAATACACTGACTCTCGGGAAGTAGTGCTCTTGAAAAGTGCACTAATTTCATGTTTTCCTAGGAAATGAAAAAGTATGTCTCCGTTTTTGTCTGTTTATCGTTTGTTGGCGATTTTCTTGGGCAGATAATTTTCAAAACCATTGGACTGATTATTGTGAAATTTTACACGTAAAAATTTTCTGAAAGCACGATTTCAATAGTGGTGAAGTTCTCCCTTGAGGGAACACGAAAGCATATTTGTGAATTACTCACGTTACATATTCGTATATTTTTGTTCGAGCAAACTTCATTTACATAAACCTCAAACGAATGACTAATGTAATTTTATTCGTGGAATTACGGGAAAGTCCGTCCCTGAATGTTACCGCTAAGAACTTGACTTAGAACCAGCACTCACCACGACACCTGTAAATTCAAAAATGATTTCCAAAACGTATCCCATTTAGATGTGGCAGTTCGCTCCAAATAGCGTCCATTACTTGCTGAGTCTGTGGCAAAGGATGGTAGCCTCCGTTCCGTACGTCAAAGCTACAGAACCCCATTTACTAGAAACTTACACGCCGGAAGTAACGAACGCGTACATTACTTCTCGATTGGAGTCTGTTGCCGTGGTGGTACAAGAAAACCTCGAAGATCCTCTCGAAGATTTAGGGATGGTGCAGCAACAACTCGAGCAACTGTCTGTGATTGGTAGATGCGAATACCAAAAAACTTGCACGTTGTTAGTACAATTGTTCGATCAGGCCGCTAGAAATTACCAAGAGCTGATGGCAATTCCCAGGTCGAGCGGAGTCGTCAGTCCAACGCAGCACGTCGAGATAACCGTACAAGAAGGTAGTTCGTCGGGATTCGGGGATTTGGCTTGACAGAGAATGTGTTTTTAGGTAGGTTAACGTGGTTGGTTTACATCATCGGCTCGGCGATAGGAGGCCGCGTTTCCTTCAACAGCAACGAAGAACATGACACCATGGACGGGGAATTAGTGTGTAGGGTGTTGCAGTTGATGAACTTGACCGATTCTAGGTTAGCACAGGGCGGATGCGAGAAGCTGGAGTTGGCCATGCTGAGTTTCTTCGAACAGTTTAGGAAAATTTACGTCGGTGATCAAGTGCAAAAAAATTCGAAAGTTTATAGAAGACTGTCGGAAGTGTTAGGACTGAATGACGAAGCGACCGTTCTGAGTGTTTTTATTAGGAAAATGTATGACAAATTTTCACATAATTATTTCGATTTTGCAGTGAGGCTCGCATTGACACTATTTTTGTATTTTAATATATATATATATTTTTATTATTATTGGTACATATACGAAAATAGTATGATTATTATTATTTTTTTAAATTCATTGACAAACTATTCATAGAAGCCCACTGTAAAATCGAAGTAGTTCTGAAATCACACAGTTGAGCGTACTATCAACTAAAAAAATCTCTTTTAGAATAACAAATCTAAAGTATTGGGGTCGCAGCGAACAAATAATCAGCAAGACGTTGCAACTTCTCAACGATCTCTCGGTTGGTTACAGCTGCGTAAGAAAGCTAGTCAAACTCGAAGAAGTTCAATTTATGTTAAATAATCACACTAGTGAACATTTCCCGTTTTTGGGAAATTCCGTTGTGGTCACGGAAATGAGGTGTAGATCTATGTTTTATACTTCGCTGGGACGGTTGCTTATGGTGGATTTGGGAGAAGATGAAGATCGATTTCACACCTTCATGCTGCCTCTCACCGGTGACTTAAAGATACGGTTTTGATAAAATCTAATAGTTGTTTGCAGCATCATTTGAAAATATTGGTTCCATGTTGACTTCGGCCGACGGGCCGATGTTCACCCAAGAGGACGCAAAGAAGGCTTTGATTGGCCTGGCTAGGGATCTTAGAGGGTTGGCGTTTTCTTTTAATACAAAGACGTCGTATATGATGCTTTTTGACTGGATGTATCCTTTTTATAAACAAAAGTAGGTTATGTAGCTGTTTCTGAAATATGTGTTAAAAAACGTAACATTTGTTTGTTCGGCTTTCGTTTTTTATCCTTAACCCTGTTAGATATCCAAGTTATACTCCAGTTTTACTGAGGGCGATAGAATTGTGGTACCACGATCCTCAGGTGACTACTCCTGTATTAAAGCTTTTTGCCGAATTAGTTCAAAATCGATCACAAAGGCTCCACTTCGATGTATCGTCACCAAATGGAATCTTATTGTTTAGGGAAGCCAGTAAAATTATTTGTAGTTACGGTAAGTTCCGCATTTATTTAATTGATAGTTATCGGTTGCTAAGAAACAATTTCGTTTCTAGGTAGTAGGATATTAAACGTAGAAGTACCAAAAGATCAAACGTATCCATTAAAACTGAAAGGGATATCAATATGCTTTTCTATGCTCAAGGCGGCTTTGTGTGGTAGTTACGTAAACTTTGGTGTGTTTCGACTATACGGTGACGAAACTTTGGACAATGCTCTTAACACTTTCGTAAAATTGTTACTGTCGATACCACAGTCGGATCTACTGGTGAGTAAAAATTCATCGTAAAAGTCGAAAACCGACCAGAAATCAACGCGGTGTATTACGTTTATGATGTGACGTGCATAATTGCATTAATCACTGTATACAGGACTACCCAAAGTTGTCGCAGACTTACTACGTACTGCTGGAGTGCCTGGCACAGGATCACATGAGTTTCTTATCGACACTGGGGCCGCAAGTATTTTTATACATCCTCTCCTCGATATCCGAGGGTCTAACTGCCTTAGGTGGGCAACTGAATCACTATACAGGTCTGTACGGATCAGGGACACAGCTTTACACAAAACTTTGTCACTTAGCTATCACAACCACAATAGGGTTTTCAAAATGCGAAGTTGCTTTTCGAACGAAACTGTCAAACCAACGCCACCATGGGTCGACAACTTTTCTAGTTGTCCTGGTATATAACTATAATAGAGTAAAACTTGAAGTACCGCTGCAATATCTAACCTTGGTCAGTTGCAATATCTATTATGTAACTTGAAGATTTATTTGTGCAACTTGACCTGATAAGGACTAGCGGAATTTGAGCGACTTCCTTGGGTGAAAACCCTATAATTGTAGACTGATTATTGAATTCACTGACAAAGTTTCGTTTAAAATCAGACCCGGGTTGTTGAAATACCTGGCCGTGGAATATTTTTTTAGAATTAGATTGTAGTTTTGTTTGTCTTTTTCTATGGTTTTTGTTTTCTTTTTATTTTTGAAGAATTGTTTGGGTCTGCAGCTGTCATGTCTCTGACTGTACAAAACTCATATAGTTGGAAAACTAGTAGAATGGATCACGTGTTCATTCGCTGATAGTATGTGAAGAATGTTTGTTGCTGCGCATGAGCTTTTTTGATTGTAGAGGAACGGTTGTGCAGTCAAGAACGACTTGACATGATATTGGCTGTGGTTGTGCTTTGACTTAACAAAACGAGCTGATTAAACGAAACCGAAGTTTTGAGGTTTTGTGTTGGTGTGACACACGCTTCACATACATGCAAGGAATTCGATTTAACCGAATGTAGTGTAGTTGGTAGCGGTTCGGGAATGATCGATGTAGTGCAGTTGTGATTGGTTGAGCTTGAACTGTGTGAGTGGAGTTGGTGTGCGACAAGTTTGCCATCAAAGTAATTTTTGGAGCGATTATAGATACAATGGTGTGTACCGGCTGCTGTGCTACGCTGGATCACATAGTAACCTACCTGTTTAAACAGCTGACGCAGAAAGGTGAGTCGATGTTCTCTAGAAGGTAAATTTGCATTTTTTCGTATGCCCCAGTTTACCCGGGTAAGAAACAGAGAGTGGGTATGGCGCCCAACAGTGATATGTTCCTAAAAGTACTCGAAATGCACCCGGAAATTCTTCAGCAGATTTTGAGCACTGTATTGAATGTGATCATGTTTGAGGACTGTCGAAACCAGTGGTCGATGTCGCGACCGCTTCTAGGACTTATCCTTCTAAACGAAGAATATTTTAATCAAATGCGGGAGAATATAATCAGGAGTCAGCCGCCTGACAAGCAGGCGGCTATGGCTCAGTGGTTCGAAAACCTGATGGACGGAATAGAAAGAAATTTGTTAACGAAAAATAGGGATAAGTAAGTTCGGCGCCGGTTTTAAAATTATGGATTAATTTTTATTTCCGCAGGTTTACGCAGAATTTGTCATTGTTTCGGCGAGATATTAATGACTCTTTAAAAGGGCCCAATGTAAATACGTCGTCTGCTAGTGATATGATGACATCATAGTGAATGTGAAAGATGCAACTGTCAGATCAACAGTGTGCTGTTTTTATGTACTGTGAAAAATACTAATTGGTTGTTACATTAGGTACACATTGCATTTATTTTTGTTAAATTATTGTTGTTAGAGCGACGACTCCGTATACTTGTTTTGAACGAATTATGAGTGAAGTAGATGCTTGTTTGAGAACTTTTTTAATTGTGTACCATGTGGTAATACAAGAAAAATAAATGCATTGGATATCTACGAAAGATTATCAGTGCTGGTGTACTTTTCAGTACTAATGACTTTATTTACAATAGAGAATCTAAAGCAGGCTGATTAAATTTTAAATAACTATTACCTGTATATTGATTTCCCGTTCTAATTAAGACCACAGTTTTGGAACTTCGCCGTTTGGAAGTTCTTTAAGAAGAAACTTCATTCTTATTTGTAAAAACAAGTTTTTACACCGGTTGATAACTGCACTTGAAAAGGTCTTAAAACACTGGTATACTGTAAAAGCTAGTTTGATGACAGGTTGAGCAATATACAAAACTAGAGTCCAAAAAATATGATGGCTACCGCTCACCACTTTTTAATATCTGATATATTTTTGATAACACCAAAAGTATTTGACGTGACTCACAAGATAAAAAAAAAGAATATAGGGGAAAGTGGGGCAAGGCGGACTAGTGGAACAAGTTGGCTTTAATTCGGAAATATTGGTATCTGTAACAACTAAAAGGGGCAGATGGTTTTGAGAGTGAAAAATTCGATTTAAACCATAAAAATAAGTGATGATCGGACAATAGTCAACGTTAAGTGGGCAATTATTTTTGTATACTTCTTAAAACACTGTTTTGTTGTATGTTAAAGCTTAATTACCTAGTCTCGCCCTATCTTTCCGTAATTTATAATTTTTTACAAATAAATCTATTTTTGTGTGGTGTGAGTTATCTTGTGTGTACCATTTGTTGACATCACATGCTTGTCATGTAGGAATATGAAATTTTATATCAACGTTTGTCAAAAATTAAAAAAAGCACCAGTATTGCGATTGAAAGATAACAGTGTTTTATTGCAAGATTGTCTAATAATTTCATTTTTTGTGCTTTTGTGTGTTAAAACTACGTTATGCTTGTGTGACAAACAGGCGACATGTGTACTTTAATGTGAACTGAACCAAGCTGATTCCCTTTTTTCACAAATTACGGACGGTTTTTATTTGTATAAAATCGGTCAATCGTTCGAGATTTTTTTGTTTGTTGTTGAAAATTGCGATTTTCGTACAGTGTTGCTAATTGAATTTTGGTTGTTTCTAAAAGATGGATACGTTTTTGTTAAAAAGTCCGACAATCTATTAAATTTAAGTAATTATAATTAGTAGTTTTCGTGCACTGAATTGTATTGTACGACATAGAATCTTTAGGATTTGTAACCTGTTCAATATAATCGTATATATTCTACCAGTTTATACACTGGTAGAACCCGTTTGGTTAAATTGAGTTTTATTATAGTTACGTCCCGAGCGTAAGCTGAGGAAGGAGTGTAATAATGTCCATCCGACATCTAGTTTCATGTTTTATGGACGTGCATGACCTATAGAGTACGAAACAATAGGTCTCCCGTTTTTGTTTATCTTTCTACCGTTTGGTCCAGATAATCTTCAAAACTACCGGACTGATTGATGTCAGATTTTAGATGTATAGTCGTGCTTTTAAGTTTAAATATCGTCATTAAAAATGTATCCGTTTATCCCCTCGCAAAAAACTGATATCGTCATCACAAAATTTTGTCGAATAAAATGTTCTGGTTTATGAATCCGTGTTCAACGTTTACCCTAGGCATCTAGATGTTGAGAAAAAAATTGCGGAGCCACATTTTACAATTTAACTTTGAAAATGCAAAACCGAATGCTCTGAAATCTTGCAAACTTTAAGGTAATCAGAAACATTGCGAATCATTAATTAGAATTTATACGTTTATGCCCCCCAGTGATAACGACATCTTATCCATCTCGCCTTAAATTGACATGTGGAAAAAAAATTGAAAGTCCGCGAGAAATTCAAAAATTTGACCTTAGCTGTGATCGTCTAACAAAATGGAACCTACGTTGTTTTTTTTTTGTGGCGGAATGCGTTCAGATGCAAAGTGTGGACCCCAAGGTTGGAAAAGTACCCGTAAATAAAACAGAAAATATATGGAGGACACAAAACGTTTATTCCTCACTGACAAAAAAAAACTGGCCTAACTTTGAATGAAATCAGATTAAACGTTCTGAATCAATCCAAATATTTTAGTATCACAAATTCAATATTAAACAAAGAAAAATCTGAATTAAGGTAACTGAATGTAAATACAGAAGTTATCTTAGAAATTTAAAATTACGGCAGTCAACAAGAGAACAAAATTTTAATACAAAATTAGTCAAAAGGGGGCGTTGTAGCACAAGCTGAGTTTGGGGCTCCTGGTTGTAGCTGTTCTCCCACCCACGAGTGATTCTATTCTATCGGCAAGTACATGCCGGCCAGCACCCCTCTATCTAACGAAGAAACGTGCCGCGTTAACAGGCCGTTACGGTCGCAAACTCGTGGTTGGAAAGCACGGCTATACATAAGCTGACAGCGTCACATCATCTCGATCGCTCCCCTGACTTCTGCATCCTTTTGTGCAGATGGCGCGACCGTCAGCTCGATAAGGAACCGCGCACTCCGCTTCTGCCACGTGTTTCGGTGTTATTTACCTCAGTTCCATGTAAATGTTCACTTTCTATAACTCTGATATTAAACTACACTTGAACAAGTGTTAAAGTTTCAAAAAAGCAATAAACAACATTTAAATTCGCCATACACTCTCGCGAAATTTTAAACAGCAAAGAATTCTTATCTGAGATTTAGATTGAACATCAGACAATTTATATGATGGAAAGATTGATTAATCAACAAAATATTTACATGAAAAAAAGACTAGTAAAAATTTATAAAACAAAAAAAAAACAATCTGGTGTGAAGTAAAACTTGTGCAGATAAAAAGTTACGTGAGGTTAGGAACTGCAGAGCATGAAAATTTAGAAAATTTACGTCCAATTTAAATTATACAACATAGAAAATTACTGAGACTAAAATTGCGAGATATATTTAGAAAAATCGCATGAGGTGAAAAGTTGCAAAGCTAACAGAATTACATAGGTTTAAGATTTGCCACACTTGATCAACAATTCAAACAATGAATTTACATGATGTTAAATTATTCCACACTTTATCAACGATTCAAACAAAGAATTTACATTATGTTAAATTATGCCCTGATCCAAGAGACTGGTTACTTAAAACAATTAGCTTTGAGAGCTTATATCGTGAACTGTACTCAGCTTATCCCAAACAAAACACATGACAAATAAACCCAAAATGGATCCCGCGTCTCGGTGGTATAACTTCCAACGTTGTGAGAAAATATGTCTCGATGATGATATGATTGATAAGAGGGACAACGTTAGGTTAATTTAAGTGCCTTTAATGAATTATTAGCAATCTTGTGTGCGGAATTAAAAAGTGTTGTAATGTAACGCTTAGTATAAGCATCCAGAAACCTTATTCCTAATTTGATAATCAAACTATGAGTGAATTTCATGAAATCTCGTAGCAAGTGCTTTATCTAAACAAACTCCGGACTATTAAATTGTGTTGGAACTAGTTAACGATTAAAATTCTGACATGGACTGTGAATTTACAAACGGTAAAACAAATTACACCACGTGTTCGCGTCGGTCGAAAATTGGCGTTGTCGTCGTTACGATCAATTTTCGTTAAACAAAGGTTTCCTTCTTTTTTTTACTACCAAACCAACTAAACTCAACCTAGCCAGCTTACCGCGTGCTTCTCACACCAACCCTCTCATTAGATACTACCCAGAAATTCCTTAGGAGAGCTACCAATTACCAGAAAAGAACTAAACTTGCACATGGTTGCCTATGTTTAACGATTTTCTTGATTTTTTTTTTTTTCAAATTCAAACTATTCAAATGTGATTTCACGCCGGGTTTTTTTTCAGCGCGAAATTTTAAGTCAAACTTGGTCACCACAATGTAAAATTACACACTCCTGCACTTGTGATTTATGAATCCGTGCCCTTGATATTCAGTTTTATAATATTTTATAATTTAGCTTTGGAAGTGTATCTCAGGTGAGGTTTGGAAATGACATACAAAAGTGAAGTGACATTTTAAAATTCAGTTTTTGAAGAAAGAAAAAATACCCAATAAACACAATTGGGAATGCAGGAATCGAAATCGGAAGTGACATCAAAAACGAGAAAAGTGAATAAGTTTAGACTTCAAGGTGAATTAAGTTAACGTCAGAAAAAAATCTTTTGAGAAAGTGGCAAGAAAAGTCTATAACATTTTGTCCGAGAAGAGCATTACTCTGTAGACAATTTCGTTGTCAAACAGAGATCCAAAAATAGAATTTTGACGAATTTATAGAACACTTCATCTGTAAACATCTTGACTGATTAAGAAAAATAGCTGAAAAGTCAGCCTATCGAGAAAAAACATTGCGAGAAATATCGTAGTAGAAGTACCGTTAGTTAGAAAAAGTTAGCAGCTCTTGTTCTCTCGATCCCCTCTTGTCTCTATCAATTCTTGTCATTTTAAGATTCCTTCTTAAGATATATATATATAAGTAATCACGGATTCTCTGTAATATTACTCGATTAAATATTCGGGACTGAAAGAACATACTTGAATTGGATTTAGTTGAGGCATAGGTACAAATAAGTTTCAGTTTAAAATTAATGAGCATTTATATTTTACTTATATTAAGATAAGTTAGCAAACATTTCAGTTATATTGTTTCGTTGACTGCAGAATGAAGTTGTCTGTATATCTAGAAACTTTTGTATAAATAGCATATTGTTGACTATCGCATCCTCCGCTTGCACCAGGGGGACCAGCATCGACAATTCCCGTTATATAAAACCTGCCATTAAATTTAACCATCAATGGTCCGCCACTGTCGCCTTTACACACTGATTTCCCTACAAAGTAGTGTATGGTAATGATGATATTGAAATCTCACTTGTGTATGTCTGCGTAAACAACACTGTTCTTACCTTCATTCCTATACCCCGCACACATTTTATCGAAAGTAAGGAAATTCGAAAATTGTTCCGGTAGTTCTTTTTGACATTTTTCGTTACTGACTATAGGAACTTGTAATTGTTGCAGTGTATCAGAAGGATTGTCATCCTCTGCAGTGAAACCCCACCCTGTTACCTAAAAGTGTAAATATATAGGTGATTTGGAAAGTTTGTGACAGTTGATTTAACATACATAAGCAGTTAAGTTTTCCGCCTGTGTTAATTCTTTGTCGTATTTTAAACCCCAGTCAACGCAGATTGGTTGAACTCTTGGTGACAGAGTAAAAGGTTTACTCGTGACTAATATAGCAAGACTACCACTATTCATTCGCGAAACACCTTTATACTCCGGGTGAATAATTATATCTTCAAGCTAAAATAACAGATCGGTGTTTTCTGTTTATAAAAGTTTAATTGTATATACCGTGGAACTCTGTACATCTTTAGCATCTTCTCTAGTGTCATTAAAATTACGATAGTATTTGCCGGCAACGACAGTGAATTGTGCTTTTGGACGTGGGGTACTATTGAATTCCGTTACACATTGTGCAGCTAAAAAAAGGCAACCAAGTAGAATTAACACAATTAAATTTGTGTATAAACCTGTTAGAATGATCCTCTGACTAATCAGTGTTCCACTACAGGTGAACACTTTTCCGTCACCTCTATAAATCGCTACGTGCCAAGGGTAATCCCCCTTCTTTGTAGGCTCACCATTCACTATCAGTGGTTGGGCGGTCACATGCTTTTGGCCACACACTGGAACACATTCCGGTGATTTGTGACTCCACTTTCCATTCTGGCACATATGAACCGGATTTTGCGCCAACTGTAGATCTTCGTAGAACGGAGCGCACTCATACTTTACGCTTGTACCATCTGTGGGTTGGTCGCAGTTTTCTGATTCTTTACCATCTACGATACAAGTGGCCTTCACTTGTGGAGTGTTTTTCACAGCAGGACAAGTTTCTATGGTTGCAGGTGTTATCAAAAGTGACATTCAGCAAGAAACGAACTTACTCAAGCATTTTCCAATTTCTGTTGACCATTTTCCATTTTCACAGAGGGATAGAGTACCACCGTCTAGTTTGTAGGTGTTAAAGCAACTGATTTCCAAAAGTGTACCTTCTGGCACAGTTTCTCCTGGTAACTTTAGTTTCGAAGAGGATCCGTATAGTGCGTATTTGCCGAAAGCTGGGTGTTGAGGCAGCTGGCACGAAAATCTGTAAATCAAAAATATATAGTATTTCTTCAGTACTTCACAGAGTCAAATATGGTTCATACTTTTGTACAGAGGGCGTTGTGGTAGGTTTGGGTGTTGTTGGTTGACAGGCTTTAGGATCTTCACTATTGCGACAGTCCGAATCTGGAGAAGTAGTTCTGTAAAAAAATTGAAAAACAGGTTAGTTGGACAAAAGTTCCATGTTATCTTACGCCCTAATTCGTGCTTCTTTTTCTAGTATGAAGCTGTTATAGTCTGACACTTTTTTGTAAAGTGTGTATTGATTAGTGTCACAACCGCCTGTCGGCGCAGACGGATGGGTACTGATAATGCCAGTGACGAAGTATCTGCCATTGTGTTTGGTCACTAAAGGTCCTCCTGCGTCACCAGAGCAAACCGAAGTGTCTAAAATTGAACCGTGTTTACGCAGTTTTTTTGACTAAATCGTTAATTACTTTGGTTAAGATAACCGGCACAGAATGTGTCAGGAGTAACATAGGAACGAAAATCTTCAGGCAGTGCTTTAACGCACTCTTCATTAGTAACAATGGGTACTTGCAAGTTTTGGAGAGTATCAGAGGGCTGAGAATTGGGGAGGGTAAAACCCCATCCACTTACCTAAAAATAAAAAGAGAACGAACTTTTGGTATCATGACGTCTAATAATCGTATTGTACTTACAAATGCTGAAATGTTCTGTGAAGTGCTTTCGTTGATATAGTTTGAACCCCAGTCTACGCATACAGGTTGTACCCTTTGACTAAGAACCAAAGGCTTCTCGGTAACTAAGACAGCAATATCTGCTAAGTAATTGTTCTTAGTACCTACATATTCCAAAGGAATAAATATATCTTGCAACTAAAAAAATCGTGACAAATTTGACACAAAAATTGTGTTTGTTCATACCCCCGAGAATTGAGCTTTAAAGTCAAGAGGGTCGAAATATTCTCGATAAAATTTTCCGACAGCTATACTATAGTCGGTTATTGGTTGCAACTGAGCTTTCCAATTTGTTACGCAGTGCGCAGCTGCAAATCGACAATTGGGTTAATAAATTCCAGAAATAGTGCAACTCACCTGTCAAAATTAACCTTTGACTTATTAGAGCTCCCCCACAAACGAATTGCTTACGGGCTCCATATATACCAACCTGCCACGGGTACTCACCCTGTTTCACAGTATCACCATTGACAATTAGAGTTTGAGGGGTAACAGATTTGAGACCGCACACTGAAAACCTGACTTAAATAAGTCTCAACACAAAAACGAGTTTCATACGTGGAACGCATTCCGGTTTTTTCATATCCCATGAGCCATTTCGACAAACCCGGACTGGATTTTTGGCCAGTTGTATGTCTTCGTAGAAGGGAGCACATTGGTGTTTCGCTATGGTACCATCCGGAGCTTTAGAGCAGTCTTTCATTTCTTTGTCGTTATGACTGCAAGAAATTTGTACAGTATCTGAATTTCGTAGCGGTGGACATGATCCTTGAACAGACAATATAAGTTTCATTTAATATTAAGTAGCAACGAGGTGGTACTTAAGCACTGCCCGATTTCTGCCGCCCACTTGCCATTTTCACAGAGGATAATTTCGGCCCCTTTAAGTGTATAATCTTTTTCACAAGATATTTGGAGCACCGTTCCTAATGACACTTTATTTCCGGGTTTTAAAGTAGAACTAGTTCCAAACAGAGACCATTTGCCGAATAGAGGATGTTCTGGTAATGTACAGAAACTACGAAAATTTCATTGTATTGGAGTTATTTACAAAAAAAGCTTACTTTGGAGCCGGAGTAACAGGTCGGTCGGTACTAACAGGTATTTGGGGTTTTTCTGTCGTTGTGGTAGGTGCCACAGTCGTCGAAGCGGAATTTCTACAGTTCGGGTCATCTTCGCAATCTAAATTCTGTCCCTGCGGCCCGCTTTTTCGAAAGTAACGTAAACAAGAGTTGCAAATGCAGCAATGAGGATGTACTTACGGTTTAAATTTTGCTTCTTTTCCAATGATAAAGGACTCAATGTAGTAGGAGACGCTCGTAAACAAAGAATATTGCTGACTGTCGCATCCACCTTCTTCAGTTGGCGCTTGAGGCGCTAGACTCACGACCCCAATGATGTAGTAGCGGTCTCCATATTTGGACACTAACCCTCCTCCGCTGTCTCCCTTGCATATAGATTGACCTGCATCATTTATTATTTGCGTTTCTCTACATCTCCAAATACTTTACCCTGGTCTAAAAAGCCTGCACACAGTTTATCGTGAGTCAAAAATCTTTGATAATCTTCCGCCAGTTGCTTAACACATTCCTTGGTGTTGATTATGGGTACTCGTAACTCTTTAAGAACCGTTGAGGGATTTTTGTACTCGACAGTGAATCCCCATCCAGTAACCTGTGCAATCAATCAATGTTGTTATAATCAAAACTCAGATACAAATTGACTCACATGCCCGTAGCTTATTTTTTTGGTATCTATTAAAGGTTGATGGTGGTGAGCTCCCCAGTCGACACACACAGGCTGCACACGTGACGAAAGCGAGAATGTTTTTTTCGTAACCAAAATGGCAATGTCGCCAAAGTAATTTTGAATGTCACCTCGGTATTGCGTGGGTACGTACATGTCGTATATCTGAAATTTTTATTTCAAAAATTGTTTATCAACATTTATTAGCTATACTTACGGCTGAAAACTGTGCTTCGTGATAATCTCCCGAATGGTCATATTTACGAAAATATTTTCCAACAGCTACCATGTATGTTTCTTTCGAAAAAAGGTTTCCGTCTGTGTCCGTTATGCAGTGGGCCGCTGCAATTATCGTGTGACTTTTTGTTTAGGTACTCGTTTGAATTTACCTGTTAGGATGACTCTTTGATTTAACAGTGATCCACCACACAATAGTTCTTTATCGGTTACATTGTAGAGAGCCACCTGCCACGGGTACTCCCCTTTTGTGACGTTCTTACCGCTTACAATTAGCGTTGGATCGTGTTGAATGGATTTTTGACCACAAACTGAAGCAACCAAAAATCGTTATAAACACTTTAACAGTGATGTGCGAAATCCGTATTACTTGGAAGACATTCCGGCAGTAAATGGTTCCATTCTCCGTTATAGCACACGTGAGTAGGATATCTTTCCAAACCCTTGTCTTCATAATAATCAGCGCAACGAAATTTTGCGAGAGTACCGTCAAGAGGTTTTTCGCAAACGTCAAGTGTCCTGCCGTTGTAGGTACAGGTTACGGTCATAATTGGAGAACTGTATCTTGAGGAGCAAGTTCCTGTTAAAATTTATTTGTAAAAGGTCGTGGTAATAGCGGTACACTTACGTAAGCATTGTCCAATGTCGCTTGACCATTTTCCATCAAGGCAGATAATGGTTCCGTCGCCATCTAATTTGTAGTCGTCGTTGCAACTTACTTGGATTATTGTTTTTTTGGGTACTACTTGTCCGGGGCGGAATTGTGAGGTGGCTTCGTAGACGTTCCACTTACCATGAGATGGATGCGGAGGTAAATGGCACCTGTCGGGGGAACAGTTCGTAATAGTTTATAAGTGTTTATAATGAACAGAGTATATTAGTTAGTAAACAATTACCCATAGTTAATTTGGCGAGGTTGTCTCACATACGAGTTGTTTACGTATTCACTACTATCACAGTTTTTTACTAAAACAAATAAAAAATCATTACATTTTAACTAAAGTAATATAGTACCTCAAATCCGAATGCATAATGATTCGTCCATAAATTTCAGAAACTTGTTCAGAGATGCTGAAAGTCTTCTTTAGCGTAGAAGTTGCATACAAACAATGAGCATTTAAGTTTACATAACACGATTTTTCCCACACCGTGACGCGTTAACTAGTATGTATTTGAGGTACATTATATACAAAAAGCTGTGTTATCAATGTCAGGGTTGTCATTTTACTTACCAATAATGCACAAACTAAGAACTGTTATCACATTCACACTGTACATTTTCAGTGTGGCGTTTTCACTGCATTACTATGCGAAAACAAAACTTTCTCATTGTAAGAATTTAATTTTTCAATGATAACCCATTCGATTAAGAGGTCGTACCCGCTGATATGAGTACTTCTTTAAAAAGATGTTATGGGTTTCTACTCTTGTTTACGTATGGTTGGCCGCAGTAATTTAAAGAACTTGATAGTTAACAAGACGGTGGAAATCCCGCTACGAAATCAGGTTTGGCGACCTTGAAACTTGGCGCAAATGCAGAAATATTTGGTATTTAAGAGCTTGTGCTTGCATCGCTAGTACCATCTTCGATGACGCGTTGAAGATATATATTTTCAGAGGGAGTGGGGTGATTTTGTGTGTTAGGGGGTTGTTTTACTAGTGCAAATGCTAAGTTTAGCGTGACTTGAAATTGATATTACTGTAAAAGAAAATTATTATATTATTTGTTTTTTAGAAACTGGTGTTACCTTTATGGGGTCTATTTTTTTTTTTTGAAAATTGGTGGAGGAGCCGGGAGATTCGGTTGGCAACATGGGTTACATTTAGTTTGCCTTGAAATTTTTATCAAACACGCCTTTAACATTGTAGAAGATCATTCTTCAATCTTGTATGTTCCCTTACATAAGAACAGGAGAAATTAATTACTGAGTGATGCAGTGCATGAGGAGTATATGAAATGGCATGTATTCAACAAACTAAATCACTGTAACGGAAATGATTACAATATGGCGAAGGTAGTACACAAAATCCATCACACTTACCACGGGTTGTTTATTTAAACCATGAAATTCATAGAACCCGTGTTTTATCTTCTTCCATAAGCCACAGTGTTATTCGTTGTTACGTAGATGCTCAATAGGGTGACCCCAGTTAAACATTTTAAGCGGAATTTAGTTTTGGGTTTTTGATGTAAACTGAGCACTTTCGACGGATTATTTGGTAGTGGGTTTTGTGTCACGAGGCTACGAAGTAGCCAAATACGCACATCCCGATGTGTCAACGAAATCTTCAGTCATTAGTGGCGGACACATTTTTTTTTTTTTCATAAATAGTAGCAGCGAAGGGTGTTAGACTTCTCCGCCTCCTCTTTGCGAGTTTTTATAACCTCATAGCCACTTAGCTCGACTAAAGTGGACAAGGAGCAAACTTTCCTGGCGTTATTACAGAAAATTTTGAATTCAAAACGAGAACATTTTTTGGAGATAATGTTTTATCTGAAAAAGGGATCGAACGATCAGCGAATCTGCCCATCCAAGACACTTGTGGAGCCACTTAATCTCCACAGGTGAGAATTTGTGAAAAGAAATTGTTTTTGTTTTCGTGTAACTTAACTGATTTGGAAAGTATCCAAGAGTTGACGACAAACTTTATTTATATTTTTATTTTTGTATTCCAAAGCGATAATTCAAACTTGTGTTACCTTTAAAAAAATACATCATGTGTGATTAAAATTATTATTTCCAAAAAGATTTGCGCAATTTATAAAATAAAAACAAACAAGGAAAAATGACAGATGTTATATAAGCTCACAGATCAGTAATGGAATAAAAAAATATACGTAGTCTGTTGAGTTTTCAGTCTTTATTAAACCGACCTGTAGAACTTAACTCTTGTACTCGGCTAACTTCGCCAGAATGAAGTTGTTAATGTATTTTGAAACCTGGGTGTAGAGACCATATTGTTGACTATCACAGCCATTTACCAAAAAAGGTGAGGTAGGAGAAAGACTGACGATTCCAGTAACATAATATCTACCGTCATGTTTAAATACCAACCCTCCACCACTATCGCCTTTGCACACTGACGTTCCTTAAATGGTAAAAATAGAACAAAATTCTTAGCAAACGGTCAAAAAAGTACCCTTTTCCAAGTATCCTGCACACATTTTGTCATACGTGAGATATATGTCGTAGTCTTCTGGCAAGTTGGTTTGACAATCGGAAAGAGAAACTGACGGAACTTTTAGTTCTTTCAAAACTTCCGAAGGTGCGTTGTTTTCTATAGTGAAACCCCAGCCAGTCACCTAGTGATACATATCAATAATACTCATTTAAACACTAAAGATTTTCACGCTTACGTAGCCGTAGGTGTTGTCTTTCACGTGGTAATTTTGACCTCTGTCTAAACACACGGGTTGAACTCTTCGTGAAAGTGTAAAGATTTTTTTGGACACTAATATGGCGATATCTCCAAGGTAGTTTTGAATATTTCCTTTATACTGATCGGCGACAAACATACCATACAACTAAAAAAAAAGTTGAGGAAACATTAAAATTAATCAAAACAGAGACATACCTCCGAAAATTGTGCTTCGTTGTAATCTCGACTATCGTCAAAGGCTCTGTAGTACTTTCCAACAGCTACTACATAATCTTCTTTGGAAAGCATGACTCCTTTTTCATCCGTGATACAATGCGCCGCTGCAATTATAAAAAAGAATCGATAGAGGGAAAAAGTACTTTCAGTTTTGCTTACCTGAAAGAATGACTCTTTGGCTTAAGAGCGACCCGCCACATATAAGATCCTTGCTCCGTTTGTTATACAAAGCCACTTGCCATGGGTAATCCCCTTTGGCCACATCAGTTCCGTTAACGATTAGCTTAGTCGGTTCGACTGTTTTTTGACCACACACTGGAAACACAATAAATTACCAAACTAAGTATGAATAATTTATTTGAACGCTTCTACATGTTAAGGAAGGACACCACGATCGGAGTTGAGTGACTTATTAATACTATTAGGTACGACATTAATATTTATGTATAAATTAATTACGATAGGAACCTGACCTGGCACACAGTGAGGTTCGGGTTGATCCCATTCTCCATCTTGGCAAATGTGCACAGGTTTTGTTTTCAGTGCGAGATCCTCATAAAACGGAGCACACTTAAACTTCGCAAGAGTACCTTCAACAGCATCTGTGCAATTTTCCGTTTCTTTGTCGTTATAACTGCATGTTACACGTACAGTTGAGGAACTTAATCTAGGCTTACACGCTTCTGCAAAGACATCGTATAAATAAAAAATAACTTTTGAGATGTTATAATTACTCAAACAACGTCCAATTTCGGAAGACCATGTGCCATTGTCACAAAACACCGCCTTTTGACCATCTAACTTGTACCTGTTTTGACATTCCACCCTTAAAGTCGTTCCTGGATTTACTGACATTCCGGGAGAATATCTAGCAGCGTTTGCTGACACAATCGCCCATTTTCCAAATTCTGGATACTGTGGCAAAACGCAGCTACCCCTAAAACGAAGCTATGTACACAATGTCTTAACAAGCTTCTCTCGTACTTGACTCCTGGAGATGGTCTGGGAGGAACAGGGGCCGGTGTCACGGGTGGGGCCACCGTCGAATTCTTACAAATGGCGGGATCTTCATCCGAGCCGTCGAAACATTCAACAACTCCATTGCACTCAGCTAAACGCTTAACACAAGCTCCATATTTGCACCTGTGAGTGAATCCCGGACACTTCACGTTCCAACACGTAGCCCTTATTTCGTCCGAATGGTCATCACATTCCGCTTTACCATCGCATTTATTGTCTTGGTCGATGCACTGACCTGAGCTACATCTAAACTCACCCTCTCTGAAAGTTTGGTTTCAGCTGAAGATTTTTTTTAATTGGTTATAGTTACTTGCACTCTGGTGTCTCTTGATCGGTTTTCCTACAGTTGGGTGTATTTTCATCGGAACCATCTCGGCAGTCATTTTTACCGTCACATTCCAAGTTTTTGTTGATGCAGGCGCCGTATTTACAGGTAAACAAATAATCAGGACACCTGTATTGATTGATTTGGTGAGTATGGTACGGGGTACTGATCGTACTAACTTACTTTATTCTATGGCAAGCATTGCTTTCGTCGCTAGCGTCATTGCAGTCGACGGTACCATCGCACTCTTTGTCTTCGTCGATGCATTCGCCAGATTTACAGGCGAAATTTGGTCTAGGAGGTCATTTAAACGCATTATTGTGAATGTAACAGTTACGATTTAAGTGTGTTTTGTGATGACTGCCGGGTACAGGAAAGTACCGATTAGGTGAACGTTTACGTCAATCAACTCTGTGGAAACGTTCGGCGTCACGTAATTCTCTCCGTTGCGATTTTATTTTGTGAAAAATGATTCAACGAACATCAAAAACTACACTTTTTTAAATTTTTTGTGCATGGACGAATTGAAGTAAACTTGGTTTAAGTAAAAAATGTACTTACTTTCTGCAATTTCCCCGATTGGCTTGGCGACGTACCCTTGTGTAGTTACTACTTGGAGAAAAATCTATACCATCTACTATTTGGATAACTGAAACATGGTAATTTCGTAATTAAAACATTTTAATCTCCGAAAATGCATGTAAAGGTTAGTGTGGAGATCGTGACCTCGAAACATTGCTTGTTTACTTCTACTTACCAGCAAAACTCAAACAAATCACCTGTAATAATGTTCTTGCATTGCACATTTTTTAACTAAAGTATTTGCTGCGTACTAACTTCTGTCTTTTTCACGGATTTGATTAAAACATTATTATTTTTTAGTAATTTTAACATTTAAACTGACCCACAGAAGAGGTCGCATGAGTTTATCGTTGTTAACAGAACTCGTTGGTGAAAACCTGATAGTGTTTCTCGCTTCTTTGGTCGTACTACGAACTGGAATTCCCGTCGCATCAGTGGACTACTTGGAATCTTTCATGGCGTTGAGATTTAGTGATTATTTGAACAATTTTTTTTAGGTTTGATTATTAAGTAGTAATTAATTAGGTACTACTTAAGTAAATATTAATGTGTTGTTGAGTAGGTATTCCATTAATAATTGTTTTGGTTTTTACAATTTATTTATATATGAATATATAAATTCAGACATAGCCTACAACTAATCTGTTTATGCGTAAACAGTAATTCCCACTGTCCCGTTTGGTTTAACAGTAATTAAACCACTATATACATATTTGGTTTGATTATTCATTATTAACCAAATTTAGAACATTTTCTCCTTTTTTTTAAATAAAATTCTAAATTATAATGTTTTCACCTAAGTTTTTGCAACATTATGTAATAAGTAAAATCACGTGTGAAAAGTCAAGGGAATGTGACTTATGTATTATGTGGAAGTGAGGAAGAATGTCACAACCTGAGTAAGATTCGAACGCACTTCTCCCACTTGCTAGGCGAAGATCTTGACCACTAGACTATCAGGTGGCGTCATTATCTTTCCTTCTACTTATATTGTGCCCCCAGAGTACTCCCGTCCCCAGCGACAGCGCAGTCGAGCTGGAGTACGAAGGATACGGTAGCTGGGAAGAACGTTCAAGATTCGATTTTACTGAAGCAAATTAATTTTTACTTCCCGAACTAAGCAAAGGAAGTATTGTAATCGAGTCCGTCGGCCGACTCTCTACTTTTTCATTTTCTCGACCTATCATGACCCCAGAGGACGAAGAAATAGGTCTCCCGTTTCCGTCTGTCTCTCTGTCCATCTGTCTGTCCGTCTGCCTGCCGTCCCGGATTTTTATTAGACTCTCCGAAAGTACTGAGCCGATTGTTGTCAAATTTTGTATTTATATTAGGTATATCATGTAGATGGTAAAACGATAACCAAAATTTGTCTAATCATCCCCACCACTAATGTGATGACGTCACTTCAAAATTGTACATAGTAAATGGGTTTTAAATTGTATCAAATGACATAGTTTTGCACATGTAGTTTATGATTTCGAATTAAGATTTTACTTGAGATCTCCAACTGAAAATTTTGACGATTTTTGAGATAATAAACATAAAATTTCAAACTAGGTCACTTATTTTTTTAGGGCAGCTAAATAAATCATGGCATTTGAGGTCCCTAACAACGATCAATTTTCAAAATTTATAAAATTTTTGACGAATTTTTGGAAAAATAAAAAAAAATAGACGTATCTGTGACATGTTCTCAGACTGATGTTGTTTAGAAAGTCCAGAAGTGTTATTTTTTTACTTCCACAACGTCATGATGAGCAAACAGTTTTTAAGATTTCTAAAATTTTGACGAATTTTTGAAAACTTAAATTAAAAATTAGACGTATCTGGGGTACGCACATCTTTTCACACTGATGTTGTTTAGAAAATCCAGAAGTATTATTTTTTTCCACGATCTCCAATTTCAAGAAAATATTTAATGTATTTTTTTTAAGAGAAAATTAGTTTTTCTTTTTATAAAAAAATATTAAAATGTTTAACAACGTCAAAAATTCGAATATACAAGAAACCAATGATTATATTAGTTTTTTTTTTCAGTAAAGAACTTTTGTTTGGGAAAATTTTATGGAGTCGAGTTTTCATTTTTGTCAAAAGCAACCAATTAAAAATGGGTGGGGGGGCGGGGAGCCTTTATTTTTTTCTAGGAAATATCTTCTTGGAAGTTGAGTTTTTATAGATGTGTCTGATCTGCAAATAATTTGCTTACGACGAAGATAAAAACGGTGTAGACATTTTTTTTTTTTTGGTACTTGACCTCCAACTGAAATTTTGACGATCTTTGATATGATCAACATGAGATTTCAAACCATATATTTCATTTTTTAGTATGAACAGTGTTTATCTAATTACAATTTAACATTTGAGGTTCGTAACAACAAACAGTTTTCAAGATTTCTAAAATTTTGACGAATTTTTAAAAACTTAAATTAAAAATTAGACGTATCTGGGGCACGCACATCTTTTCACCTGATGTTTAAGAAATCCAGAAGTGTTATTTTTTTCCAATAACAACCTGAAGATCTCCACTTTCAAGAAAATATTTAATGTTATTTTTTTTAAGAGAAGATTAGTTTTTCTTTTTATAAAAAATATTGAAATGTCTAACAAGGTCAAAAATTCGAATATACAAGGAAGCAATAATTATATTAAGTTTTTTTTCAGTAAGGAACTTTTGTCTGGGAAAATTTTATGGAGTCGAGTTTTCATTTTTGTCATAAGCAACCAATTAAAAATGGGTGGGAGGGCGGGGAGCCTTTATTTTTTTCTAGGAAATATCTTCTTGGAAGTTGAGTCTTTATAGATGTGTCTGATCTGGAAATAATTTGCTTACGACGAAGATAAAAACGGTGTAGACATTTTTTTTTGGTACTTGACCTCCAACTGAAATTTTGACAATTTTTGATATAATATCAACATGAGATTTTTTTATTGGAAAGAAAATCAAAATTAATAACATTTTGAGATTTAGTTTGGAATCTGCAAAACCCAATGCTTTGAAATCTTGCAGATGATTTACAGTTATGATAAGCATGCTAAGTTTTTATTCAAAATATATTTACTTGTCTCCTCCAAAAAATTGATGACGTCACCTCAAAAGTTTAATGAGAAAAAAAAACATAATAGGCATGCCGTCGTCACGTTTCCGACAGCGAGGCATTACTGTCTAAACTCTTGTATCCATTTTTTTTTGTGATAACGGAGGTACTTGAAATTTTATAGAAATGATATTTCTATGCGATATTTTATATTATTTATCGGGGTGAATTTGCCCATATTGGTGTAACACCTAACATATTTTTGTATTTTGAAAGTAAGGCCCCAGGTTTGACACACTTGTGAATCTGATTTTGAAATGTTTTTAGTGAGATTTGTTTTGCTATTGAAATATATAATTATTGTAGCGATGTAAATGTTTATTTAAAACACGTGTTAGAAATTCACTGATTCAGTCTTAATATTTTTGGAATAGTAAATTGATGTATTCAAAATTTAATTTTAAACATTGAGCAATTTCAAGTTGTTAAGAGTTGAGAGTCATCGTAGATTTGAAGAAGGAGGGATATTGTATGCTTATTTTGTGTTATCCTTTCTGTTCTACGACTTGAGTTTTGAACATTTATTCTCGGACACTCCTCTCACAGCGAAGTGTGTGCCAAAATGACATTATTATGCTTTCGACCGTATTACTACGAACTTGATGTGTTTGTATTTATCTATGGGGATTTTGGTTGTTTGGTCCACGATGTAATCTTGATTAATTCAGTTTGGTTTACTGCATTTAACATCCTGTAAATTCTTTGTTGTGTAAAATTCTTAACATAAGTGTGGAGCTGCGGTTAGAAAGAAGAAACAGAAAGGCGAGGGACTGTCGCCGCCACCGTTGCTCGTTCCCCCATTTTCGTCATTACTTAGTTAGTGTTATTTAAGTTTTGTTTTCTTTGTTCCATTGACCAGATTTGTCACACGCCACTATAATAACTTTGGTATTGCCATCCACTCACTTTAGATAAGATGTTGCGAACTGGAGAATTGTGTTAATTTCACGTCAAGCTGTACTTATGTGATTAAAAATTTGTCATTTAGTTTTTGAAAAGTACTAGGACTATTTTTGATAAGAGCCCGTTCCGCAATTTAAAAATAATAATAGGGTTCCATCTTGTAGACGATCACAGCCTATTTTTTTTTAACTTTTCGCGAGCTTGTCCCAATTTTGGGAAAATATTTGGATGATCACACCATAAAAGGACTTTTTCTACGTCTTTGGGTTATGAGTTTGTGGCGACATAATAATAAGTAGTAGTAAGCGAAGAAAGGTAAGCGGCGTCGTGGTCTAGTGGTCAGAATACGTGCCCGATAAGCGGGGGGCGTGTAGTTCGATTCCCACCGAGACAGCAACATTTTTCTTCGCTTACCTACAAGTTTGGGCGTGGGGGAACATCTCTTGAACACGCACAAAGATCTGGAGGTCCACAAACTGTCGCCATAAATCAGTGACAAAATTTATAATATGTTTTTGGTCAATTGACGAATGAACGAGAAAAAAAGGTATGTTATCATTATCACTTGGAAGGCTGTGTCTTGTCTGTCTACTTGTCTGTGGCATTTAATTTAGTGAATTTTGTATTTGTTTGTCATTTATTGTTTCTGTATCTCTTTAGTCACCTTTTTTTATACATCAAAAAAACAGCCAATTTAAAAATTATTTTGTTTGCCTCAATATCCTTCAAAGTTATTGGCACGTTTGAAGGTTGTGGGACTTTTTGTTTTTTTTGTGTCAGTAAGCAATTTAGACGGTTTCAAATTGGGAAATTAGTTTCGTTAGGGAAATCCCCTTTGGTTACATCAATTCTATTAACAATGAAAGTTAGCTTATCGGTTCAACAATTTTTTGATCAAACACTGATGGTAATGTTATAAATTACCAAAATAAATGCACATTATTTATTTAAACGTTTCTACATATTAGGGAAAGGCAACACGGTCCGAGTCAATTGAGCTACTACTATTAGGTACCATATTAACATTTACGTATACATTAATTACGATAGGAATCTGACCACCTGGTACACAGTGAGGTTCGGGTTGATCCCATTCACCATTTTGACAAATATGTACAGGTTTAGTTCTCAGCGCAGGGTCTTCATAGTGTGGAGCACACTTAAACTTCGCAAGAGTACCTTCAATAGCATCCGTACAATTCTCCGTTTCTTTGTTTTTGTACATACAAGTTACACGTACAGTTGAGGAGCTTATTCTAGGTTTACACGCTTCTGCAAAGATAACATATTAACAAAAAATAAACTTTGGTATGGTATGATAACTTAAACATCGCGCGATGTTGGAAGACCATGTGCCATTGTTGCAATATACCACCTTTTGACCGTCTGATTTGTATCTGTCTTGACATTCCACTTCTAAAATCGTTCCTGTATCTACTGGCATTCCTGGTGAAAATCTAGCAGAGTTTGGTGATACAATCGTCCATTTTCCAAATTCTGGAAATTGTGGCAAAACGCAGCTACCCCTAAAACGAAGCCATTTAAGCAATGTTTTAAGAAGTGGCTGCCGTACTTGACTCCTGGAGGTAGGGGTGGTTTCACTGGAGTTATGGCACAAATGTTGGGATCTTCATCCGACCCGTCGAAACATTCAACAATTCCATTGCACTCAGCATTGCTATTAGCACATGCTCCATACTTGCATTGGTAAGTGAATCTTGGACACTTTATGTGCCAACAGGCAGCTTCAGTTTCATCTGACTGGTCATCACATTCCGCTCTACCATCGCATGCATAATCTTGGTCGATGCACTGACCCGACCTACACTTAAACTCACCCGTTCTGAAAGTTTTGTTTCAGCTGCAGATTTTTTTAAGTATAGATCAAATGTACCTGCATTCTGGAGTCACCTGATAGGTTGTCCTACAGTTGAATGTATTTTCATCGGAACCATCCCGGCAGTCTGCCTTACCATCACATTCCAAATTTTTGTTGATGCAGGCGCCGTAATCACAAGTGAACACGAACCCAGGACATCTGCATTGATTTGATGAACATGGAGCGAAGTACCAATACTGCGAACTTACCTTAATCTGCGACAAGCATCACTCTCGTCACTAGCGTCAGCGCAGTCGACGGCACCATCGCACTCTTTGTCTTCGTGGATACATTCACCAGATTTACAGGCGAAATTTGATCTAGGTCATTTAAACGTATTATTGTGGATGCAGTATACGATTAACAGATGTATTTTGTGATGGCGGCCGGATCCAGGAAAGTACCGATTAATGTCAATCAACTCACGTATTTTTCTCAGTTGCGATTTCATTTTGTTGTTCTAAGTAAAATATGTAGGTACTTACTCTTGGCAATTTCCCCGATTGGCTTGGCGACGTACTCTTGTATAGTTACTGCTTGGAGAAAAATCGATACCTTCAACTACTTGAATAACTGAAAGATGTTGATTTCGTAATTAAAACTGTTTCTACTTCGAAAATTCATGTAAAGGTTAGTATGCAGATCGTTATCTCTAAACACTGCTTGTTTACTTACCGACAAAGCTTAAACAAATGACCTGTAATATAGTTCCTGCATTGCACATTTTTTACTTAAGTATTTTCTGCGTACTAGCTTTCTGTCCTTTTCATTGATTTGTTTAACACATTACCAGTTTTATTAATTTCAACATTTAAACTGACCCACAGGAGAGGTCGCAAGAGTTTATCGTTGTTAACAGATCTCGTTGGTTAAAACTTCAGAAGTGTTTCGCGCATCTTTGGATGTACCTACTATAAACTGGAATTCCCACTGCATCACTGGATTATTCAGGATATTTCACGACTTTTAAGGTTTGGAGAGTGTTGTTTAACAAGATTGAAGAACTATTTATAATTATTGTGTATGTTAAGTAATGGTTGATTAAATTTTCGGAGTTTTTGCGATATTATTTAAATAGCATCTAGTAAAATGATGTAGACATCTATAAATACAACTGTCGTAATGGTAGGTTAGTAGGATCTGCCTTATAATATGATTTATTGTTTTATAAGCCACTGCTTTAGGCGAGTTTAATTTACATGTATAAATATTTTCGATGTATTGTAATGTTTTTTTTTTTTGGTTTTTTATTTTCATATTTTCTCCACTGTTACAATTACCTACGTTAATAAAATAAAACAAGACTGTTTTTTTTTCAGAGTCTTGCCAAGTATGTAATTTTAATATAGTTTTGTGCCATTGTGTTATTCTAAATTCAAAGGGCTAAGTTTGAATTTATGACTAGTTTTTCTCTAGTATGTAAATATGCGAACTTATTTGAATAATTTTGTACACAAATATCTAGTATAATAATTTTTTATATTATGTCATATTTTTGTTAATGTATATTCATGAGGCAATATGCATGTACCTCCAATAGGTATAATGTATTATAGCACAAAATGTATAAAACGGTACCTACACAATACATTCTAAGGGTTCGCATTTGTTTATTGCTTTTAATTCAGTTTTTGGTAACAGGTATTTAAATACAATGAGCTTACATACTTTAAATAGCGAATTCAGTCTCAAACGATTTTGCATTAAAAGTTTATGTTTTCGACTTCCCCATTTTTTTATATTTGCTTTGCAACATATGTATTTAAGACCCAAGAATTTGCTAAATTTTCGTACTATATTGAACTTTTTAAAATTGTTGTGTAAGTACTTGCTATCTGTATGCTTGTTCGTTTCCAATTCCCGTAAACTTACCTGTGCGGGATTCGAACCCACGTTTCCCACTATCGGACGGGTATCCTATCTAGTAGACCATCAGGTGTCGTGATTATCTTTCTTAACTTTTGACTTTACATTGTGTCGCTACAACGTACTTAATTTTCTGATATACTACGAAATACTGTATTGAATGTCTGCAAAGAACTTATAAGTAAAGGAGTAAAAATATGAGGAACAAGGAGATGATGCTAGTGGGTATACTGTGACTGACAGCAAAGCTTTTAGAAAGTGAGTATTTTATTACTTTGCGGAATTACGTCTTAATTTCGCGCGAATAATTTGAATTTGAAAAAAAAATTAACTAAGAAAATCCTTAACACAGGCAACCATGTGCAAGTTTAGTTCTTTTTCTGGTAGTTGGTAGCTCTTCTAGGGAATTTCTGGGTAATATCTGGTAAGAGGGTTGGTAAAAGTTGGCTTGCTTGGTATAGGGTTGAGATGCGGGACTGTTGATTGTTTGGTGTAAGTGAAAGCACGCTGTAAGGAAGCTAGATTAAGTTTAGTTGGTTTGGTAGTTACTAAAAAGGGGGAGCCTTTGTTTAACGAAAATTAGTCGAACCGATTGACACAGTTCATGTTAGGATTTTAATCGTTACTGGTTCTAACAGAACTTAACAGTCATATAAAACACGTGCGAAAATATTTTATAAGATTCACTTAGTCAGGACTCATTCTTTGTTTATCAAGTTATAAATAAGGTTTCTAGATGCTTATACTTAAGTGTCACATTATAACACTTCTTAATTCCTCATACACGATTGCTAATAGTTCATTTATGGCAGTTAAATGAACGTAACGTCCCACTCTAGGAAAAATGACCGTGGAAAGTGCGATAGAATTCATAACATCGTGCACTGAGGGACGGTGGCATTAATTAATTTTTTCCCCTTAGGCAGTTATCATTTGGACATCATCGAGACGTATTTCTTGCGATGTGGGAAATTACACCACCGAGACGTAATTATCGCGACGAGGGATGCATTTTGTGTTTATTTACCATGTGTTTGTTTGGGATAAGCTGCGGACAGTTCACGATATAAACTGTCAAAGCTAATTGTTCTAAGTAACCAGTCACTTGGATCAAGGTATAATTTAACATCATGTAAATTGTTAGTTTGAATCCTTGATAAAGTGTGGTATAATTTAACATAATGTAAATTCATTGTTTGAATTGATGATAAAGTGTGGCAAATCTTAAACCCATGTAATTTTGTTAGCTTTGCAATTTTTCACCTCATGCAATTTTTCTCTATGTCACAATTTTATCTTCAGCAACTTTCTTTGTTGTATAATTTAACTTGAACCAGTGACTATGTATTTAACATCTATACTCACTGCTTGAACGTAAAGTTTTATGCTCTGCAGTTCCTAACCTCATGTAATTTTTTTATCTGCACAAGTTTTACTTCACACCAGATCTTTTTTGTTTTTATAAATCTTTGTTAGTTTTTTCCATGTAAATATTTTGTTGATTAATGTTTCCATCATATAAATTGTGTTTTTGAAACTTTAACACTTGTTCAGTTGTCGTTTAATATCAGAGATACAGAAAGTGAACATTTAGATGGAACTGAGGTAAATAACGCATAAACACGTGGCGGAAGCGGAGTGCGCGGTTCCTTGTCGAGCTGGCGGTCGTGCCATCTGCACAAAAGATCTTGAATAGAAGTCAGGGGAGCGGTTGGGATGGCCTGACGCTCGCGGCTTGTTCCAATAGCCAGGATTTCCAACCACGAGTTTATGCCACCGTAACGGCTTGTTAACGCGGCACATTTCTTTGTGATAGAGGGGTGCTGAGCGGCATGTGCTTGCCAATAGAGTAGAATCACCATCGTGGTGGGAGAACAGTCACAACCAGGAGCCCCAAATTCCGCTCGTGCTACAACGCCCTCTATAGGTAATTTTGCTGTGCTCTAGAATGAAATTGAAATAGTTCGATCGCCACACTCTTATAGCGACCCGGGTGTCCCCTCAACTTTTGGAGTCATAAGTATTTACGAGGAGGCCCTCTGGTGCCCCCCTGCATACAGTTTTTATTAAAATTTTGTTTTCTTGTTGACTGCCATAATATAAATTTGTAGCCACACGTCCGTAATAACTTGTGTATTTGCATCCAGTTACTTTGCTTCAGATTTTTTTCTTTGTTTTTATTAAATTTGTGATATTCAAATATTTGCATTGATGTAGAACGTTTGATTTGATTTCATTCAAAGTTAGGCAAGTTTTTTTTATAGCTGAGCACTGAGAGGTCTTCAACCGGCACAATTTAATCGCAGCTTTTTTTTTTTGTAAGTGGAGGAATAAACGTTTTGTGTTCTCTATATATTTTGTGTTTTATTTAGCGGTACTTTTCCAACCGTGGGGTCCACCAATTCCAATTTTTTCGATTTTTTCGCGGGCTTTTAAAATTTCGTTGACATATCAATTTAAGGCGGGATGTTTGGGTTATCACATTTTCTTGTGTATTTTGTGAACTGATAGAAGCTAAAGATAAAAACAAAGGTTAGATAAAAACATTAAAACGTTTCATTAATGTGAGTTTATTCCAATTAATCAGTTGGACAAGTACTAACAATAACTTCCAGTTCTGCCATGTGGGTATGAATTTCTATAAGTTTATCGTTAACGATACTATTTTTCACACATCCAACATATGGTAACTAGGTAACAATTCCCTTGGCTCTAGCTATCTTTAAGTTTCAATGCCCTCCTAAGAACAAGGAACTGCTTAATCGATTGACGTTGAACAGCGGTCTCCCAAAATCCATCGAGTAAAAACATTATCCACAGCCAACACTATCACATTTATATATAATGCGACGAAATTCCGGTGTGCCAATCCGATAACGTGTGGTGGCGGCGTACCTGGGTGCCAAGCCTTGGTCCGACTAGTGTCGGTGATATAAAAACACGTCTGGCCGACCTAAGCTTATGCGGCGACCTTCACGCCGCCGAGGGTGGCGCCTTCTCTTCTTCTCTCCAGGGGAGGGAGCGCCGGGGTTGCTCTCAAGCCGGAGACACCGGATCTCAGGTGGTGATAACCTTAATGTGCCTACTTGTGATTTCGACTATATTAAGTAGGTAATTTATGCATTTTTGTCGGTAGTCTCCGGTGTATTTGGTGTGACCAGATATCGCCGGGGTTTAAAGAATTTGTAGCGTTACCTCTCTGCCTTGTGTCGCTTTTAGGTTGCCGGGAGAGCTTTTCCGAAAATTACCTAACATTTTTATGAAAAGTATTTTAGGTGGGGTTTGGGAGGTTTCCGAACTGAAACTGTTTGGAAGATGTCATATAAGCTCACAACTCAGTGTAAAATTATAATATAATAAGGATATGTAATCGTGTTGAGTTTTCAGTCTTTATTAAAACGATCTTCGGAACTTAACTCTTATACTGAGCCAGTTTTGCCAAAATGAAGTTGTCGATGTATTTTGAAACCTGGGTGTAGAGTGTGTATTGTTGACTATCACAACCCTCTACAGAAGTAGGTGACGTGGGAGAAATACTAACGATTCCAGTAACATAATATCTACCATCATGTTTAAATACCAACCCTCCCCCACTATCGCCTTTGCACGCTGACGTTCCTGAAATAATAATAAAAATATATCAACAGCTTCAGCAAATAGTCAAGAAAGTACCTTTGTCTATGTATCCCGCACAAATTTTGTCCGACGTGAGAAATATTTCGTAGTCTTCAGGCAAGTTGGATCCACAATCCGATATAGAAACTGAAGGAACTTTTAGTTCTTTTAAAACTTCCGAAGGTGCTGTGTTTTCTGCAGTGAAACCCCATCCAGTCACCTAGGTAATAGATACCAATAATATTAATTAATTTTAATATAAAATTTTCACGCTTACGTAACCGTAGGTGCTGTGTTTCACATCGTACATATGACCGCTGTCTAAACACACAGGTTGGATTCTTCGTGAAAGAGTAAATGTTTTTTTGGACACTAATATACCGATATCTCCTAGAAAATTTTGAGTAGCACCCTTGTATTCATTGACGGTAAACATGGCATGCAACTAAAAAAAAATCGCTTAAGAAACAATTAAAGTTAATAAATAGAGACATACATCTGAGAATTGTGCTTCGTTGGAATCCCGACTGTCGTCAAAGCGTCTGTAATACTTTCCAACCGCTATGATATAATTTTCTTTGGAAAGTAGACGTCCTTTTACATCCGCTATACAATGCGCCGCTGAAATTTTGGAAAACCGATAGAAGGAAGAAGTACTTTCAACTCTGCTTACCAGTAAGAACAACTTTTTGGCTTAAGAGAGACCCTCCGCATATAAGATTTCTGTCCCCTTTGTTATACAGGGCCACTTGCCATGGGTAATCCCCTTTAGTTACATTCGTTCCGTTAAGAATGAGCGTAGTTGGTTCAACGGTTTTTTGACCACACACTGGTAATACAATAAATCACATTTAAACTCTACTATTGGGTACGATTTTCAAATTTTATGTATAAATTAATTAAGATTGGAACCTGACCTGGTACACAGTGAGGTTCGGGTTGATCCCACTCTCCACCTTGGCAAATGTGTACAGGTTTTGTTCTCAGTCCAAGATCTTCGTAAAATGGAGCACACTTAAACTTCGCAAGAGTACCTTCAATAGCATCCGTGCAATTCTCCGTTTCTTTTTGTTTGTACATGCATGTTACATGTATAGTTGAGGAGCTTACTCTAGGTTTACACACTTCTGCAAAGATATCATATATATTAAAATAAATTTTGAGTTGTTATAATTACTCAAACAACGCCTGATATCCGAAGACCATTTACCATTGTCACAAAACACAGCCTTTTGACCATCTAACTTGTATCTGTTTTGACATTCCACACTTAACGTCGTACCTGGATCTACTGACATTCCTGGTGAATATCTAGCAGAGTTTGCTGATACAATCGTCCATTTGCCAAACTCTGGATACTGTGGTAAAACGCAACTACCCCTAAAACGAAGCCATTTATACATGTTTTAAGAAGTGGCCCTCGTACTTGACTTCTGAGGATGGTACCGGAGTAACTGGGGCTGGTGTCGCTGGAGGTGTGTCACAAATATGGGGATCTTCATCCGAACCGTCGAAACAGTCAACAACTCCATTACACTCAGCATTGGTCTTAGCACAAGCTCCATACTTGCACTTGTAAGCGAATCCCGGACACTTTATGTCCACACAGGCAGCTTCTGTTTCGTCCGACTGGTCATCACATTCCGCTCTACCGTCGCATGTATTGTCTTGATTGATGCACTGACCTGAGTCACATTTAAACTCGCCCTTTCTGAGAGGTTGTTTTAGCTGAAGATATTTTTAGGTATTGATCATACTTACTTGCAGCCTGGAGTGTTTTCATCGGTTTTTGTGCAATTAGGTGTATTTTCATCGGAACCATCCCGGCAGTCTGATTTACCGTCACATTCTAAGTTTTTGTCGATGCAGGCGCCGTATTTACAAGTGAACAGGAAGTCAGGACACCTGTATTGGTTTGGTGAGAATGGTATGAAGTACTGGTAGTACGAACTTACACTATTCTGCGACAAGCATTGCTTTCGTCGCTAGCGTCATTGCAGTCGACGGTACCATCGCACTCTTTGTCTTCGTCGATGCATTCACCAGATTTACAGGCGAAATTTGATCTAAGTCATTTAAACGTATTAGAGTGGATGTAATATAGTTACGATTTAAGTGTGTTTTGCGACGGCTGCCGGATACAGGAAAGTGCCTATTATTTTAATGTATCATTCTGTGTAATCGTTTGGTGTTACATAATTTTGTCTTAAGGCAGTTCCGACTTTATTTGTATTTTGAAAACAGTTCAATGAACTACACATTTATAAGTTCTATCACACGCGAAAGTACCTATTGTCAGTATCCAGGAGCGATGAGTGTTAGACTTTTCGGCCTCCTCTGTGCGGGTTTTTATAATCTCATAGCCATTTAACTAGATTAAAGTAGATAAGGACCAAACTTTTCTGGCATGATTGCAGAAAATTTTGAATTCGAAACGAGGGATATTTTAAACCATATACTAGATTGATTTTTTCGACACAAATGAGTTTGTATTTAACAAATTTATTACGGTGGATTTTAAATGAGAAGTAATATTTTTGTGTGTAGGCACTCGAATAAACTCACGAATATATTGACTATTTAAAAATGGCACAATGACGAAATATCTTCCCCGTTATTTTCGTTTTATGATAATTGTTAAACTCTATAAAGTGGTGCTACTAACATCCACGCGCCTCCTGCGTCTTTAAATATGAAATATATTTAAAGCAGATATCTACCGGGAAAAATATACACATTCCAGTATATGCTTAACTTCGACTGTTTATGTTTATACTTCGACCGAATTAGACTTTTAACACGTTCAGATTACAAGCATCAGCGGTTGAAAGAAAATGAAATTTGGTTCATTTTGTGTCCTCAACGCAGAGGAAAGGACACAAAACAATCTTAAAATACGTATGTTCATGATTTCACAGCATTCGGTTTTTGCAATGTCAAATTTAAATTATAAAATATTGTTATCCAGTGTTGATTATTATTTTTCCAAAAATCTGGATACTAAGGGTAAAAAGTCAACACGGATTCATAAATCACACATGCAGGATTATGTTATTTTATAAAATTTAAAGAACATTTGGCCTTAAATGAACAAATTTTGATTAACGATTTATCATCGTTATAACGTTAAAACATTTGGAATATTTCAGTGCATTCGCTTTGGCTATTTTAAAGTTAAATTGTAAGATACAATTTTGATTTTTTTCACAAAAATCTCGATGGATAGGGGAAAAATTCAACACGAATTCTACATTAAACATACTTGGAGTACGTATTTCTATAAAATTTAAGGAACATTTGTTCTGCACAATTATAAAATGACGTCATCATTTTTTAGAGGCCATAAACGAAAAAATTTTGAATAACGATTTACCTTGCTTACGATAATCTTAAAAAGCTTATAAGTTTTCAAAGCATTCGGTTTTACAATTTCAAAGTTAAATTGATATGCCTTTTTAAAAATAAAATCCCGCCCACCCGCCCTGATCTCAGTTGTGACGAATTTTTCACTAAAACATGTTTCAAGTATTATCATATTGTTGAAAATAGACCATTTTGGGAAAAAGGAGACTCCCCTACTATGTCAACAAGAACAAAACATCTTTTATAAAAAAAATACATGGTAATTTCTGGTATAGAAATACGGATTTTGCAATTAGGCCCCGCCCCCTTGATTCACGACTAATAAAAAAATCGTCACAATTGAGATAGGGTGGGTGGGCGGGGCTTAGATTTTGCCTTTTTTTTCTTAATATGCGCAGTCTTTTTATCACAACGAGAAACGTAAAACATGTTTAAAATGACATTATATTTTGTAGGGAAATATGAATTTTGCCTTTCGGACCGACAACGAATGAAAAATTCATCACAATTGACATAGGGCGGGTGGGTGGGGCTTATCTTTTGGCCTTCTTTTAGCTTTCTGTGAACAACACGATTACTTAAGAACATGTTTCACATAGTAATTTCTCGTAGAAAAATAAGGATTTTGCTATTAAGCTCCGCCCCCCTTGCTCACGACGAACAAAGAAAAATCGTCACAACTGAGGCAGGGCGGGTGTGTGGGGCTTATCATTTGTCTTTTTTTTCTTAATGTCTAAGATCCTCTTCACAACATGAGACTGAAAGCATGTTTAAAATGGTAAATTTTATACCTCACACTACTCTACAAATTTACCATATTAAACATGTTTTCAGTTTCTCGTCGTGAATAGAAAACTACTTATATATTAAGAAAAAAAGGCAAAATACAAAACCCGCCCACCCGCCCTCATCTCAATTGTGATGACTTTTTTATTCGTCGTGAGCCAATTGCCAAATATTATTATTTCTCTACAAGAAATGTGAAACATGTTTTTAAAAATCATGTTGTTGAAAGAAAATTATGTCTTAAGAAAAAAAAAAGTTAAAAACAATATGAAATTTTAATATATAAAAATCAAATTTGAACACGAATAGAAGCGGAGTGACAAAAACTGTATGATAATTAATGTGTAAGATTCATCGGTAGACTTTTGATATACTTACGTTTCACCCCACATTTTGTTTTTTAATTTATTATAGGATGCTTTATCTTTTTTCTTTTTTAAGAAAACAGGCCAATTTTGACGTTGGTGGTTTTTCTTATTTTTTTGTAAAAATTTCAAAGCCAGCGGTTTCTATAAAAATCCGTTGGAATCATGATCAAAATCTTTAGAAATCCACAACTTTTTTAAAATAACCTTAAAAATGGGGTGAAATGTTAAAAAATGCTTTAAAAAAATTTGACGACAAAGATATACTCTTTTTGATTTATAAAAAAGCAATAAAAAACGCCAAGGGAAAATTGCCCTGCTTGCTTAAAAAAAGAAATCAATAGTTCCTTAAAAATAGGTGAAAAAACCGGTAAACAAATTGCTTAAATAGATGAAAAAAAAAGTGGGATAAAATGTGCCATTTTACTTTCTACTGATTTCAATTTAGAAATTTCATCTAAAACGTCTGATAATCTAGTGTTTAAACCCGAGTAATTCAGACGAGAATTGGATTTGAATTCTAAAGTGATGAACAAAAAAAATTGGTTAGCGATTTACCTCATTTACGATAACCTTAAATCGTTTGTAAAATTTCAGAGCATTCGGTTTTGCAGTTTCAAAGTTAAATTGCAAAATGTTGCGACCTTGATTTTTTCTCCAAAAATATGTATGTCTAGGATAAAAACTTAACAGGAGTTCATAAACCACATATACAAGAGTATCTTATTTTATAAAATTTAAATAATATTTACTAGTGTAAATTTTGGAGATAACGTCAACAAATTTTTAGTCGGGATGATGAGCCAAATTTTGATTAGCGTTTTACCATCTACAGGCTATTTGTAATCCCCACATAAAATTTGACAACTGGTTCAGTAGTTTCGAAAATTATCTGTTTAATAAAAATCCGGACAGACGGCATACAGACAGACGGAAGCGGGAGATCGATTGTTTCGTACTGAATTTGGCAATTCAACACTGTACCAAACCCTTTGTTGTCAAATTTTATGTGTGTTCGAAATATGGTGCAGATGGTAAAACTCCAACCAAAATTTAACTAAACCTGCTCCCACAATTTTTTTAAAATTGTAGACTTGCTTATACACGGTGATTCAAAAAAATTAATGAATGAGGCGATATGTTTTTATTTGCCTATCCTATTTTCTCGAAAATTTGATAGTTGATGGTATTACACTGCACCTATTCAAATTGATATACGTGTCTTTGCTAAAATGTAGATGACGTCATAAAAAAATTAATATGGAAAAACTCACTAGAAATATATACACATTGTGATACTTCCTTCCCGGTACTTTAACAATCCATACATACATTAATTTTAGCTCATAGGGATCATCATAAAAAAAACTTCTCAAAGTTAAGTTTTATAATTTTTGGAAGCTTTATTTGTCCAACTGTATTTTAAGAAAAGGCAGTTCTATCGAAATAACCAATTTTTTTAACGTTTATTTTCTTCATCATCAACTTCATATTAATGCTTTGTAGCACATTAGTTCTTTTCCAAATATCTGATAATATTTCGCAGTAGCTTCGGCAACACGCTGTATATATCATCTCATACTCATCGCTGATGGGTACTGTCAATACTTTTGCGTGCGTTAGATAGTACGTATGAAAAAAAAACTTTGTAATAAATTATCTCAATTATTTTTAGGTTTCATTTAAATTTTTGTATTTTTTAAATTTAATTTGTTTTAGCGTTCGAAAAAAACAGGTCTAGCTGTGTTATTTTTTTAGAAACGGCACTGTGTGTTTGACGTCACACACAATGCTGTAAATCGTTTTAAATATGTTTCGATTTGATTAATTAATTACTTAATATTTAACGTCCATTTGTTTTTGTCAACCACATTCAACTTTTTTTAATGACACGCTAGACTCTAGGTATACATTTTTTATAAGAGCTGCTTAAATTTTAAGAAACATTGGTGCTTTAAAATATTTAAGTATAACACATCAAAAAATAAAAAAAAAATAGGGTATCATTAAAAAAAATTTGAATGTCACAGTCAGGAACAAGTATGAACGTTGGGAGCAGTGCGGTCAGAGACCTCTAACGGCATTGAAATAAAACAAGTTAGTGAGTCAGCTTAAGTGAAAAATGTACTTACTCTGTACAATTTCCCCGACTGGCTTGCCGACGTACCCTTGTATTGTTCCTGTTAGGAGAAAAATCGCGACCATCAACTACTTGGATGACTGCAAAACGTTAATTTCCTGATGAAGATTATTTTTAATCCTCGAAAATTCATGTAAAGGTTAATAAGGGGATAGTGACCTCGAAACATTGTTATTTATTTCTACTTACCAACAAAACCCAAACAAATCACCTGTAATAACGTTCTTGCATTGCACATTTTTTAATTAAAGTATCTATTTGCTGCGTAGTAACTTATATCTTTTTGATCGATTTCATTAACCCATCACTATTTTTTATTAATTTTGACTCTAAAATTGACAGAGGAAAGAGGTCGCATGAGTTTATCGTTGTAAACACAACTCTTGATAGTGTTTTCTGCTCTTTGTGACATGTTACAAATAACTGGAATTCCCATTACTTGGGTGGACTGCTCGGAATCTTTCGTGGTTTTGGAAGTTTAGAGAATATTTGAACTATTTTTTTTAGCATCAGTTATTATATTAAGCGGTAATGAGGCCAATATTAATTTTATGTTGTTAAGTAACTAGTCCGCCAAGAATTTTTTGGTTTTACTTCTCGAACGTAAACTAAGGAAGTATTGTAAACTGGCACCTCGGAACAAACTTCAGACTAACCCAAATGTCATAAGTTTCACAGAAAGCGATTTCTGGCTAAAACTTTTGTCTTTTCATAAATATTCCACAGGTATTTACACCGAAAAATAGCTTTGCTTTTGTTTGGTGTTACTTCAAATGGCATCTTCTGATTTCAATTATTTCAACATTTGTAACCAACTAAAAGATATTACGGCTAGATTTTCCAGAGCGTTTGCTTTTCCCCGTGAGCAACAGACACGATAATCAAAAATTTGAATGACTGTTCGTGCGCATTTGGCATGTTTGCTTAGCATCCCCGTCATGGAAAGAACGTGTTGCGAGATGGGATGAAAAATCAATACGCGAAGATGTAGGTTGTAGCTTGAACAGATGAGCAGTTGTGTGCGATTTTAGTAAAATGCTTAAAATTAGAAGTAGTGAAAGTGCTTTAGGTAATTGCATCAAATGAATATGTTAAGTACAAATCACAATATATTATTTAAAGCGACAATTCTTGCATTATGCGTAATATCCTTCGTGCACATATTTTTGTTTCCGTTGTACGACATGGACGCCGGTCGGAATCCGTCGAAGACCTTCATGGACTTCGAGCAGTCTCTTTGCACCACCAACATCAAGCACAAGAAGTCCACGAAACGGGCCAATTGCCCCCAATACGGCATCGTGACCATCATGCAGGGCGGCCGGCTGGGCAACCAAATGTGGGAGTACGCTTCTGTGTGGGCTCTCGCTAGAAGGACGGGGTTGGAACCATACGTGCCAAGATGTATTCGTCTCAAGCTGGACCAAGTTTTCGAGTCTTTAACGGGTAATTTATTTGTGTGAAAGTTGCTTCCAGCAACACGTTTTATTTCTGCCAGGTTTTTTATGTGGAAGAGTTGACACGTTTTTTTTTTTGGCAGTACCAACTTTCGAAGAGATTTCGCACTGTCCCGTCGAGATCAGCCGCTTCGTCAAATCCTTAGACGCTTGGAACTATACAAACCAAAATATAATTTTGCCTCGTTACTCTATTCAAACCGAACTTGTAATCACATGGGTCCAAGATATCGTTCAAGAATTTTCTATCAAAAAAAAGCTATTAGATAAGAGCCAACAAATCCTACACTTAGCCTCGAAAAACAGGACCAACTGCGTGTTCGTCGGCGTCCACGTTCGACGCACCGACTACATCGGCTACCTAATGCGGAAGCACGCCGTGAGTCCGGCGAACGCGACCTTCTTCAGGATGGCGATGCGGCACTTCGAGGCGAAGCACGCGGACGTCGTCTTCGTGGTGGTCAGCGATGATCCTTTGTGGTGCAAGCGGAAGTTCGCGCGGAAGAAGAACGTCTTCATCACCAGCAAGAACCATCGGAACTCCCCTGCCTTAGACCTAGCAATACTGGCCTCCTGCAACCACTCGATCTTCGACTACGGCACTTTCGGCGAATGGGGCGCCATCCTGTCCGGGGGAGAGACCATTTACTACAACCTCACGCACCATTCCTCGGAACGATTAGGCCACCTTCTGCACAACTGGCATACAATATGAGAGTCCCTTCTGACGATGTTCACTTGGCCTAATTTTTGCCTAACTGCTTCGATTTTGCTTTCGTTCGAACGAGGACAATTCATTTCGACTGACTAAATCAAATGTGACACATTTATTTTTCTAGTCTTCGTTTTTGTACAGTACAAAGGAGAGAGCCATCTCTTTATATCTACACGTCATGTTCAATAGGCCATAGGTAATGACGTAGCAGTGTGACTTAGAGTTAGATAACACAAACGACTGATCATTCGAATAATGGCATGAACAAGCTAACGCGTTTTGGGCCAGTTATCGACGACTGCAAAAGCTGCTACTTTTAGTTGTGTAACGTTCTATTCATGGCTGTTGTTGTACTTGTGCCAATATTGGAATGTTCTTCTATGACGCTAGGGTATTATACATAAGTATATAAAATATAATTTATATTATACGATACACTTTTTGCAACTGTGATCTTTTTTCTATTGTTTATGATGATCTATGTGCCAAAATTGTAAAACTGTATTGTGACCTGACAGTATATATTTATCTGTAAAGTGTATAAATCTATCTTTGTAAAATCTTGAATGTTTCTGTGATACTTGTATGTTAAATACACATATATACAATCATAAAGTATTAAATACTAAATGTAGGTAAATTGTCTTTATTTACAAGTAATTATTTCTCTACTGTTAATATTATTAATGAATGTAATAAAATAAAACAAATATACACAACATTGTACATGTCTTTCACTTGTATTCAATACACTATAGTGACCCGATTTGAAAAATTAAATTTCGCGCTGAGAAAAAAGACGTCACAAAAACGTACTTGAAAAATTTTCAATAACTTAGGCAATCACCTATATTTATATCTACAGTTCTGAATATTTTACATAAGCTTAGATTTTGCACAGTTGTTGACTTCTGATTTGAGATTTATAATATTTAATTCATTTGTGGCATTTAATAAACTAATCTTAAACATCGATCCACTTTGAAAAAGACCTTAAAAATTGTCATAAGTTAAATTAATATCATTGTGGATTCGAAAACAGGAGGGTTTTAGTATTTTCTTACGATTTAATAATTTCTTACAACTTGAATTTGTTGTTTTCCGAGACCACCTTAATTTGATTTTGATAGTATTGAATACGTGTCTGTTGTGTTCATTTCATACGTACTTTGTTGGGCATTATTTGGTCTATTATGTGATTTTTGTAAACTGATTTTGAATTACATAATCATTTCCTTCGTTGTAATTATAATATTCAGTGCGCTGTGGTAACCCAAACATCCCGCCTTAAATTGACTTGTGCAAAAAATTTGAAAAGCCCGCGAAAATTTCAAAAATTCAAAAATTTGGCCTTGGCTGTGATTGTCTAACAAAAGGGAACCCTACACTGTGTTTGCTTTTTTTCGCCGCAATGCGTTTAGATGCAAAATGGTGGAGCCCAAGGTTGGAAAAGTACCGCTAAGCTGCGATTAAGTTGCGCAAGTTGAAGACCTCTTAGTTCTCAGCTACAAAAAAAAAACTTGCCCAGCTTGGAATGAAATCAAATTAAATGTCCAGAATCAATGTAAATGTTTGAATATCACAAATTTAATAAAAACAAATCCACGAGCGTCACGTGATCCCGACCGCCCCCTGACTTCTATTCAAGATCGGCGTCTTTTGTGCAGATGGCACGACCGCTAGCTCGACAAGGAACCGCGCACTTCGCTTCCGCCACGTGTTTCTGTGTTATTTTCCTCAATTCCACTGAAATGTTCAATTTGTAGAACTCCGATATTAAACTACAACCGAACAAGTGTTAAAGTTTCAAAAACTACATTTAAATTCGCCATACACTCTCGTGAAATTTTAAACAGCAAAGAATTCTTATCTGAGATTAAGGGAACTGCAGAGCATGAAAATTTACGTTCAATTTAAATTATACAGCAAAGAAAATTACTGAGGGTAAAGTTATGAGATACAGAAAAATTGCAAAGCTAACAAAATTACATGATGTTAAATTATGCCACACTTGATCAACGATTCAAACAAAGAATTTAGACGATGTTAAATTATGCCTTGATCTAAGTGACTGTTTACTTAAAACAACTAGCTTTGAGAGTTTATATCGTGGACTGTTCCCAGTTTATCCCAAATAAACACATGGTAAGTAAACACAAAATGCATCCCTCGTCGCAAGAATTACGTCTCGTTGGTGTAACTTTCCACGTCGCGAGAAAATACTTTTCGATAATGTGATTTCCCACGTCGCGAGAAATACGTCTCGTTAATGTCCGGACAATAACTGCCTAAGGAGAGAAACAAACAATCCTCCCGTTCCTCAGTCCACGATATTATGAATTCTACCGCACTTTCCACGGTCCTTTTCCCAGAGTAGGTTGATTTAACTGCCGTAAATGAACTATTAGCAATCTTGTGTGAGGAATTAAGAAGTGTTACAGTTACACTTACGTATAAGCATCCATGAGCAATCTCATGACTGTTAAATTGTGTTAGAACCTGTTAACGATTAAAATCCTAACATGAACTGTGAATTTACAAACAATAAAACAAATTTACACTACGTGTTGGCGTCGGTAAAAAACTCGCACATTTCCGCTTGGAAAAACAGCGATAATTAGCTACGCTTGTTGGGGGAACTAAGGCGTCATCGTCGTTACGATTAAGTTTCGTTAAACAAAGGCTTCCCCCTTTTTTTAACTACCAAACCAACTAAACTTAATTTAGCGACCTTACCGCGTTTTTCACTCATACCAAACAAACAACAGTGACGCATCTCAAGTCAACCCTTTACTAAGCAAGCCAACTTCTACCAACCCTCTCACAAGATACTACCCAGAAATTTCCTAGGAGAGCTACCAACTACCAGAAAAGAACTAAACTTGCATATGGTTGCCTATGTTTACCAATTTTCTTGGTTAAAATTTTTCCAAATTCAAATTATTCAAATGCGTATCCGCGCAGTTGTTTTTTTCCAGCGAGAAATTTTAATACAAATTTGGTCACTACAGCGCTATCGTCAAAATTCAGAAGATTTTAATTTTAAACAAAATAAACGCTTTGGATTGCGTGATGGTAACAGTACTAAAATGTAGAGTTTCGTTCTTGATGTCATTCTTCATGTGAATATTTATCTGCAATGTAACGAAACGAATTTTCGCGGGCCGGAAACCGTGACGCGTACCGTGAGAGCCGGGGGTAAATCCGCGATCGCCGCACCGCCGCGGCCGAAGAAGAGGATTCGGCCTTGAAGCCTCAAAGGGTGAAGAAGTGTTGTGGTTGGTTTTTTTTTTACTGGAAGTGAGAAGTGTGCAGTTTGACCCTCCGACCACCGTAAGTACCTTTTGGGTCCTCTGCCCGTTTACGTACCGGTTTTTGAATCGCCACCCTCGAGCGAAAAACCGTGCCAGCGTCACCGGGTAGCCGTACCGTCTTCGTGCGATTTCCAGGTTCAAGGTCACTGCTCCCAAGTCCTGAAGGCAGTCGCCGCCCAGGAGGAACGTCCGTGCCGGACGTGTTATTAAACCGTTTTGTAATTTTATTTTTAAGATTAGCCGTAAGTTTTATTATTTTAGCCGTGTAGCTGGATTATTATTTAAAATATTCCTTGCCGTTTTATTTTATTATCTTGTTTTCGCGGGCTCTCACCACCTGAGATCCGTGTCTCCGGCTTGAGAGCAACCCCGGCGCTCCTTCCCCCGGAGAGGGAGCTGGCGCCCGAGCAACCGCCGCTGCTGACCGAAGGCGCCACCCCCGGTGGCGTGAAGGTCGCCCCATAAGTCGGCCAGACGTGTTTGTTATATCAGCGACACTAGTCGGCCCAAAGCTCCCAGGTACGCTGCCAAATTTTGTTGCATCAATATCTGATGATTTTCATCGTCAGTGAATCAGGGCATCTAGCTGGCGGTCTCATTTGAGGGCATGGAAGTAAGCCTCAAGAATGTGAGTGTTAATACGCACGTTGCGTATGTAGCTGTGGTTAGTACAAATTAAAAGAAAAAAAAAAACATTAGCCGTGATTATTTTTTTTTATTTTCCGAGTGTAGCTAACGGAAGTCTTATAATAGGGTTCATTTGACAAATGGCTAATTTCCTGTTCCACAGTTCCTAGAATATGAAAAAGTACGTCTCCCATTTCCGTCTCTATGTCGTCAGTATCCCGTCGTCTGTGCGATTTTATTAGACAGATATAGTAAATTTTAACTGATATTGTTGTAAAATTTTACATATATTTTACAATTGTCAATAACAGGGTAAATAGGTAATCAGAATTCACCTATTCCTACTTCTTTATTTGTCCTTTAAGAAAGACCTGCCCTGATCTGATTTGACCTGATTTGACATGATCTGACCTGACCTGACCTGACTTAACCTGACCTGATCTAACTTATCTTTAGAATTATTTACAAAAGATGTCTTACAAAATTGCTCAATGCAGCAATATTTTATCAATTGAAAAAATCTGTCCAAAGTTATTTCGATAGAACTTCCCCCGCCCCTTATATACAATAAATTTCAAAGAATTATAAAATTTGATAATGCGAACTGTATTTTTTTTATGAGAACCCTTTAACATTAAAGTAAATGTAAATAAGCGTGCTGGACGTAGGTTCCAAATAAGTTGTTTCTTAACAAAATTTTGTGATGATGTCATCAACATTTTTGCAAAGACAGGTATATCACTTGAGATAGGCTCACTGTAATACTAATGATAACATTATTGTATTCCCAAATTTTCGAGAAATTCATTAATTTTCATGAGTCGCCCTGTATTTATTTTAAAAATTTTAAAACTTTTAATATAATGATAAATCTCAAGTAGAGACTCATCATATTTTGCACATTTTGACGTCATCAGTTTTTTGGGAGGGGGTAAACGAATAAATTTTGCTTAACGATTTACCATGATTACGATAACCTTAAAATATTTACAAGATTTCCGAACAATCGGTTTTGCGCCAGTTTCAAAATTATATTGCAAGATAGTTTTCCAAAAATTCTGGATGTCTAGAGTAAAAATCCGACACGGGTTCACACACCATAAGTACAGGAGAATCTTATTTTATAAAATTTAAAAAACTTTTTATTATAAGTTTAGGAGATGACGTCATCAAATTGTTGGTGTGGATGATTAGCCAAATTTTGGTTTGTATTTAAGCATCTACATGATATTACTAACCTACATACAAAATTTGACAACAATCGGTCTGGCAGTTTCGGAGATTACGTGTCTAACAAAAATGGATACAGACAGACAGACAGACAAACGGAAACGGGAGGTCACTTCTTTCGTAGTCTAGACGTCATGACACGTCGAGAAAATATGAAAGTGGCAATTCGGCCGATGGATTCGATTATTAGACTTCCTTAGCTTAGGCTCGGGAAGTAAAAAGGAACCGTATACATAATTTTCCCAAAATTCAGGGTACTCAGTACTGTATTAAAATGCAGGTTGCTTTTTCAGTTTTCAAGTTTTCTGTGACGTTCCAAATATAAAACTCCCAATTAAAACTCCAAAAGTGATAATTTCATGAGAGTTTTTAGGTGGTGTCACATTTTTGTGACAGACCACGAAATTTCCAAAAGTCGTGCTTAGACAAACTCCCCACTTGTTGTTTTGTGTTGGTCCCCCCATACATTTATAATTTGTGTACAGTTAGTGACAGAAGTACATACGTACAGAAAACAAAAAATTGCACAAGCACCAAGTAAATTACAAATTTAAAAATGTCTCCTAAAAAGAAAATGGTTTTCGTATAACAGATGATACCATGTTTACAGATGTCACAAAACAATGACCTTAACCTAATTTTGTTTAAGGAGGAAATATTATGTATTTTTTTAATTGACCAGACCTACACTTTTTAATTATTTGAATGTCAGAATATACAATATTTAAACTTAAAATGTATTTTAATTATTATTCCTTGCGAGACAAGACAAGACAAGAAGACCGGAAATAGTCACCGGTACTATATTCACCGTCGTTCAGCTCCCGCCGCCGCCGCTTTAGCCACTTCTCGCCCGGTTGTTGACGTTGGAAACTTTTGACAGCTGATGCGAGATTTCTCGCAGCCCCACCACACTTTTTAATGTTTTATTATTATATTGTGTTGTGTTTGTGTAGCCAGCAGTAAAAGTTAGCAATAATAAAAAAGATCGATGTTTTCGCAACATTGATGAGTCACCAATAACATTTTAAAAAGTTTCTATGTGACGCAAGGCGTAATGTTGAACATCATCTCCATGAAATGAGCTCGTTTCGGTAGCTGACAATTTCCCAATTCGGAATGGCGGTCCGTCGTCCACCTGGTTCAGCCCCTATGGAGTCGGTGCCCAGCGCTGGCGACCCTCTGCGAGAGCTCTTCGAGGCGTGTAAAGTGGGCGACATCGCCAGGGTGCGGAAGTTGATCACTCCACAAACGGTCAACGCGAGAGACACAGCTGGACGCAAGTCCACCCCCTTGCACTTTGCAGCTGGTGAGTTATAAATAACGCAAGTTTTCGCAGAAATATTTGGAATTTTTGGGAATATTTGGCGATTTCGTGATCGAGTTTTCCGGGAGAGTAGCTATTCGGAGGCTTGGAAAATTTGGGTTTTCAATTCTTATGTAAAAGTTGTATGATTGCTTTCATCGCTGGATAGTGCTACGAAAAGGGGGTTTCAGATGTATGGAATGAAATAAGAAGTCGTGTATCAGAATTTTTTGCACTACATTTCTATTTCGAAGTAGTTTTGAGTGTGTGTAATCTTTCAGAAATTCCTTCCAAGAAATGAAAATGAGTCAGTTTTCGTTTAACTGGAAGGATAGTGGAGGTCTTATCTTAAGAAAATGTTGTGTTAAAGAGAACACAAGTGTTCCACTGGGGGCAAAGTCCTTTTTTGGTATGTGGGTGTTTTAAGCTTTTTTTTTCTTGCAAAGTACATGGTATTAAATAATTAACCACAGAAGCAAAAAAAAATTAAATAATGATAAGTTCGTGTTTTATCCGAGTTGCACGTAACGTGAAATATGTAAATATACACCAGAATTTCAATCCTTTTTAGTCCACACCCAAGCGACAAACGAAAAAATTTGATGGCTCAGATTTTGTTCTAATTTTACTAAAAGCCTATGTTTTGAAACAGAATGATTGATTAGATTAATATTAGAAAGATGTTTCAACAATTAACAAAAAAAGATTCAGAAAATGTGTAACACTTTAATATTAAACGGATTTTAATAAATAAACAAACTTTTTGAGAGAATATCCGTATTTTTGAAAAATTATAAAGATTGATCAAAAATATTTGACGAAGAATTATTTTTAAAATTTAATGTAAAGTTCGAAACATTTGGTGTCATATATTTATTAAATTTCGGTCTTTGTTTTTTTTTTGTTGAAAGGCGTTATTAACTTTATGTACTTTAAATATAATGTAATTATGAAATCTGAAAATTAGTTCCAATATTTCAAATTTAAAATTGGTGAAAAAACCTAGTAGATTCTACAGTTTTCTCGACGTTTTATGACCCCTAGACTACGAAAAAATAGGTCTCCTTTTCCGGCGGTCTCTCTCTCTCTGTGTGTGTGCCGTCTGTTGGGATTTTTATTAGATATATAAACTCCGAAACTACTGGACCGATTGTTGTCAAATTTTAGATGTGGATTAGGAACATAGTGTAGCTGGTAAAACGCTAGCCAGAATTATTAATAACTGAGTTTTTATGGTAGTCTTCTAGATGTTTGGTTTTGTTTGATTTTGTAATTTAACTTTGAAACTGCGAAACCAAATGCTCTGAAATTTTGGAAACATTTTAAGATTATCGTAAGCAACGTTAATCAAAAGTTTTTCGTTTATGCGCCACCAAAAAAGTGATGACGTCATTTTACAATTTTGCCAAATAAATGCGCTTTAAATTTTAAAGAATTACATACTCCTTCATGTATGATTTATGAATTTATGTTGAGTTTTTAGCCTTGCCATACAGATTTTTGGAAAAAAAAATCAAAATTTTGTAACAGTGTTTTGCAATTTAACTTTGAAATTGCAAAAACTGAATGCTGTGAAATCTTGCAAAAAATTTTAAGGTTATCGGAATCATGATGAATCGTTACACAAAATTTGTTCGTCATTTTATAAATATATATTATGCAGTTTTTCGATTTCTTTAATTTTCAGTGTTTCGATTTTACAATATTTCGTTTTTTGGATTTTTTTCGTTTCTTAATTTTTAATCTCTCCATTTTTCAGTTTATTGTTTCTTAACTTTTCAAGTTCTTAATTTCCAATCTTTATATTGTTCAAAGTTTTACATTTTATATTTTTTTCGTTCTTTTATTTTTGATTTTACAATTTTGAAATTTTTTCAATTTTTTGAAAGTTGAAAGATCGAAAAACTAAAAATGCGGAAAAAATTGAAAAGAATCGAAAAAGTGGAAAATCAAAAAATTCCAAATCGAAGATGAAAACTAAAAATCGGGAAATTTCAAAATCAAAAAAGTAATGAATCGAAAAACTGGAAGAAAAAAAAATGAATCGAATCGAAAAATGGGCCAACCTAGAAATTGAAAAAAAAAGAACAATTTTACATTGAAATAAAAATTATAAAATCTAAACACAAAATCTAAAAAATTTAAAAATAACATTGCAAAACGAAATATCGAAGAAAAGAAAAACTGAAACTGTGAAATTTAAAAAATAAAAAATTGAAAAATCGAAAATTTATAAAAATAAAGAAAGTAAAAAACCGAAACGAGACATTGCAAGTTGAAAATTTGATGAAATGAAAAAGTTTCAAAATTCTAAAACCATCAAATGAAAATGTGAAATATTTTAAAAGTTGTTATTACATATTTAAAATATAAACTAGATAAATTGCAAATCAAAAATTGAAGAAACGAAAAATGAAAAAAACTGAAAGTTGAAAAATCCAAAAATTGTAAAATTTCCACGTTGAAAAAAGAAAATAAATCAGAACATTGAAAACCTGAAAAATTGAAAAAATAAAGAAAATAAAAAACCGAAACGAAAAATTTGAAGAAATGAAAAATTGAAAGATCAAAAAATAAAGTTGAAAATTCGTGAAACTGCAAATCGTAAAATTGTAAAGTTTAACAATTGAAACATCCAAAAGTTGAAAAATGGAAAAACTGAAAAATTGAAAAAGTAAAGAGAATATTGCAAATCGAAAAATTGAATAAATGAAAAATTGAAAAATCAAAAATAAAAACTTATAATTCGTGAAACTGCTAATTGAAGAATAAAAAAAATTAAAATTTAAAAAATCGCAAATCGAAATATTGAAGAAACGAAAAATTGAAATTGAAATAACAAAAAATTATAAAATCGGAACATTGAAAAATGGAAAAATTGCAAAAATAAAGAAAATAAAAAAACCGAAACTGAAAATTGCAAATCGAAAATTCGAAGAAATGAAAAATTAAGGAATGGAAAATTTGCAAAATCTAAAAACTGAAACATGAAGATGAAAACTTGGAGAACTCAAAAATTTAAAAATGAAAACTCGAAGAATTGTATATCCTAAAATTGAAAAAAAAAATGAAAAATTGAAAAATGTAAATCGAAAGGTTGAAAAATTAAAAACTGAAAACATGAGAAACTCAGTTGAAAAATTCCAAAGTTGGAAAATTGAAAAATCCCAACACTGAAAAATTTCGCATTGAAAAAAGGAAAAATTATAAAATTAAGACATTGAAAATCCGAAAAATTGAAAAAATAAAGAAAATAAAAAACCAAAACGAAAAATTGAAAAATTAAAAATTGTTAACTCGTGAAACTGCAAGTCGAAAAATTGTAAAGTTTAACAATTGAAACATCCAAAAGTTGAAAAATGGAAAAACTGAAAAATTGAAAAAGTAAAGAGAATATTGCAAATCGAAAAATTGAATAAATGAAAAATTGAAAAATCAAAAATAAAAACTTATAATTCGTGAAACTGCTAATTGAAGAATAAAAAAAATTAAAATTTAAAAAATCGCAAATCGAAATATTGAAGAAACGAAAAATTGAAATTGAAATAACAAAAAATTATAAAATCGGAACATTGAAAAATGGAAAAATTGCAAAAATAAAGAAAATAAAAAAACCGAAACTGAAAATTGCAAATCGAAAATTCGAAGAAATGAAAAATTAAGGAATGGAAAATTTGCAAAATCTAAAAACTGAAACATGAAGATGAAAACTTGGAGAACTCAAAAATTTAAAAATGAAAACTCGAAGAATTGTATATCCTAAAATTGAAAAAAAAAAATGAAAAATTGAAAAATGTAAATCGAAAGGTTGAAAAATTAAAAACTGAAAACATGAGAAACTCAGTTGAAAAATTCCAAAGTTGGAAAATTGAAAAATCCCAACACTGAAAAATTTCGCATTGAAAAAAGGAAAAATTATAAAATTAAGACATTGAAAATCCGAAAAATTGAAAAAATAAAGAAAATAAAAAACCAAAACGAAAAATTGAAAAATTAAAAATTGTTAACTCGTGAAACTGCAAGTCGAAAAATTGTAAAATCTAAAAATTGAAACATCCAAAAGGTGGAAAATCGAAAAACTGAAAAATTGCAAAATTAAAAATGGTAAATCGAAAAATTGGAGAAAAGAAATGACAAATTCAAAAAAATTAAATGGAATAATCAAAAAATTATAAAGTCGGAACATTGAAAAATGGAAGAATTGTAAAAATAAAGAAAATAAGAAAACTGAAACGGAACATTGAGAATCGAAAATTTGAAAAAATGAAAAATCGAAAAATAAAAACTCAGAGTTGCATATCGTAAAATTGGAGTAACAAAAAAAAAAGAAAAAAAGAAAAATCACAAATCGAAAAGTTGAAAAATTAAAAATTGGAAACACGAGAAACCCAGATTCAAAAATTCAAAAATTGAAAAAAATTCGAAAAACAGAAGAAACAAACAAATCGAAAAAATTGAAGCGGGCTGCATTTCAGGGGCAAGGGAAGTTTTGTCGAAATAACCTTATTTTGACACATAATTCTCGTCCCATGTATAAGTTTCCGTTTGCTAAAGTGCGTGCAAAATTTACTCTAAATTGTGCATGATTAATGCTATTTAAATTTAATTTACGTACTCATGTAGGGGAACTAGGGGCTTGTTGTAACAGGGGTAAGTTGTAACACTAAATTTTTACCCGGAATTTAAACTCTTCAACGTCAGGTTTTTTACTGAATTTAATTCTTGCACCATAAGACATCATGTCATTACAACCACTGTTCCTTCAGCCAGCGCAGTGAGTGGATGCGTGCACGTGTTTCGTTTTGGCCAAGTAATATAAAATATTGCTTTAATAAAATTTGGTTTTTCGTATCAGTTATTAATTAATTTAAAACTTTTAGTTTTGTATGTGGTTCAAAAATTACTCAGCTTTGATATTCCTTACACATTTTGACGCTAAACCACCTAATTTTTTCGAAATGTAATTAAATGTAGAAAATTGTGCTACGGGGCATGTTGTAACAATAGCTTTGGGGCAAGTTGTAACATGTTACAACTTATCCGAAATTCACTTCTACAAATCTCGTCCCTAGCAAACGAAAAGAGAGCCAAAATTTTGACCTATGCCTTATATCGCTTTCCAGATATATTAAGAAAAAGGAAGACAGAACTAAAATCTTTAATGTTGACTCTTTTTCTAAAAGTTTATTTCAGTTTTACTGAAAAAAAATGGTATATAATGAAGTGTTGTGTTGATTTTTGAAAAATAAAGTCTAAATATGTATCAATATCAGCTTTATTTTTATTGTTACTACCTATCTGATGGCTGTTACAACTAGCCCCAACCACGGGGCAAGTTGTAACAATGCACTTTTTTTAAGAAAATGCCTGGTGTGAAGTGAAGATGAACAATTTTGACCTTTTGCCTGTTCAGTCCAATAGGGGAATAGTTAGACTACCGATAGATACTTTTATAATGGTCAAACAGCTAATAGATACCAAATTATATTCGTTTTCCTAAAAACTGTTACAACAAGCCCCTCGTTCCCCTACTTGTGGTTGATGAATCCGTCTTGATCTTTTCCCGACATGTTTTTTTTTTAATTTGATTTACCCACTTTTTGAGTAAAACTCTTTGAGTTTAAGGTGCCATATGCAGCGAGAAAATCTCAACACGATTTTGTATCATTAGAAAACTTATTAAAGTGTGTTTAAATTGTCTGCAATAAAATCCACAATTAAGAGGGTCATAGTTTATTTGATTTGTGGAAACCTTTGAAGTACTGTAAAGCTGTATTAATTCACTTAAAACTACAACTTTTTTCAGTTCATTACTTAATTATGTTTGCCACTGTCTGTAACTAATTTATTAAACAAACATTGTCAGAAATGGTGAAATTTACTTTTATCTCATCATTGCAAAATTGAAACTGTTTCATTTAAATAGAAAAAAAGAATTAAATTATTCGATATATATGAATATTGTAATTTCAGTTAAAGAATAATACGAAATTTTGCATGGTAATTTATTCCTGTTGTGATAACGTATTTTTATTGCAGGAAATGTAGGTTTGCCTCCATTATTCATAACCTGAATTATGTCTTATCTTGTTACAGGTTACGGAAGACGAGACGTGGTCGAGTACCTCCTTTCCGCTGGGGCCTCAATTCAGGCACGAGACGACGGCGGTCTCCACCCCCTACACAACGCATGTTCATTCGGCCATGCCGACGTCGTCAGACTTCTCCTCGAAGCTGGAGCGAACCCCAACACTCGAGACAACTGGAATTACACCCCTCTGCACGAGGCGGCCATCAAAGGGAAGGTCGACGTGTGTATAGCCCTTCTACAGCACGGCGCCGAGCCAGACATTACCAATTCGGAAGGTAAGACCCCACTCGATATGGCCGATAACTCAACTAGGGCTGTGCTTACTGGAGAGTATAGAAAAGATGAGCTTTTGGAGGCAGCGCGTTGCGGCGCCGAAGACAAACTCCTAACGCTTTTGACACCTCTTAATGTTAATTGTCACGCAAGCGATGGACGACGTTCCACCCCGCTACATTTGGCGGCGGGGTATAATCGGAGTCGTGTGGTTCAGTTGTTGCTGCAACATGGGGCGGATGTTCATGCTAAGGATAAGGGGTAATTATGATGGAAGGACTCGTGTTTAAGGGAATTAATTAGGTCGTGTCTGTGCAAAGTTTATTTTGAGCGAGGGGTGGAAGCGAGTGTATACAGTTGGAGCTCGACGTAAATTATTCAGATCATTTTTGCTTTGTATGATCAAGGGAGGATGAAAGGCTTATTCCGGCAATGCTGAAGTTTTGATTGAGTTTAAGGAAAAGTGGTATGGCTTTCGCCGCATGGCGTCTATGAATGTTGAATGCTGTTAGAGCTTCAAAAGTGCTACCTTGAATTTCGAGAATAAATCGATTGGGGATGCTGCTGAAAAGATCGGATTACAGTGGTGGTAATTTTGAACTATTTCTTAAATGTTTATGTTTTTCTACAATTTTACTCAGATTTAATTCCGCCGTTATCTATATGATGCTTAAATATTTGTTTTGTTTCGATGATAACAACTTTTCTTCTGTTCTATCTTCGAATTCTTTTTGTTTACAGTTTAGAGAATCCAGAACTTCCAAAATTGAATTTTTACTTGTACGAATTTTATTTGAAATCTACGTTTTTTCAAACAGAGAACATAATCTTGCTGTTTGTACAATTATTAGAATGTTAAATAGTAGTTAAATATTTGGGCTGTCGAAAAAGTTAAAAACGTACGTTTGATGATTCTAATCATACATCAAGTTGGCTTTAAAATTTACGCTAATTTTGCCGCCTCGTTGTGATGATTGATGACTACTTGTCGCCTGTCACAAATGTCAATCATCATAACCTAACATTCTTAATAAGTGTGATAATTTGGCTGTAGTGAAATAAAAACCACTTTGCACATTTTTTTTAGGAATGCCGAATTTAATACAATTATCTAAGCACGATATTTTTAATATGTTATTACTTCCCGAGCGTAAGCTAATGAAATATTGTAATCGAGTCCATCGGGCGACTACTACTTTTATAGTTTCTCGACGTTTCAGTCTACGAAAAAATTGATCTTCTGCTTCCGTTTCTGTGGATTTTTATTAGATAATCTTCGAAATTACCGGGTCGATTGTTAAATTTTGTTCAAGTAGTAAATGTTATTCAGATCTTATAAAATAACCTACTCCTTCATTTTTGGCTTATGAATCCGTTTTGAGTTTTTTAAATAAGACATTCAGATTTAAAAAAAAATCATAATTGTATAACATTTTATAATTTCACTTTAAAATTGCAAAATCAACTGCTTTGATATCTTGCAAACATTTTTAGGTTGTCGGAAGCATGGTAAATTGTTGATCAAAATTTATCCGTTCATCCCCCCGGAACTGATGATGTTATCTTATAACATTGTTGAATAAATGTTATTTAAATGTTAAAATGTCCTGAACTTGTGATTGATCCGTATTGAAATTTTACCCTAAACATCCAAATTTTTGGAAAATAAATAAAAATTTTAGATATAACAATTTTTCAATTTTTCAGTATTTGGAATTTTTTAGTTTTTTTTATTTTTCAGTTTTCCGATATTTCATTGTTGGGAATTTTCAATTTCTCGATTATTCAATTTGTTAATTTTTCGATTTCTCAATTTTTTTCAGTTTCACGTTTTTTGAATTTTTCGGCTCTTCAATTTTTCGATTTTTCTATTTTTACGTTTCTAAATTTTAGATTTTTTGATTTTTTCATTTCACTATTTCGACTTTTCAGGGTTTCGGATTTTTTAATTTTCGATTTTTCAATTTTTCGATTTTCAGTTTTTCAAATTCTCAGTTTTTCGATGTTTCGATGTTGGGATTTTTCAATACTTCGATTCTTCAATTTTTTTCTTTTGTGATTTTCCGATTTTCGATTTTTAAATTTTAGATTTTGAAATTTTTTGATGTTTCGATTTCTATCTTTTGATTTTACGACTTCTCGGTGTTAGATTTTTTTGTTTTTAAATTTTTCGATTTTTCAATTTTTGGATATCTCGATTTGTTTTCTTCTTATTTTAAATTTTTCAATTTTCAATTTTTCGATTTTTTGATGTTTCGATTTTTTAATTTTTCAACTTTTTGATATTTTAATTTTTGAAGTTTTTAAATTTTAACTTTTTAGATTTTTTAAATTTCACATTTTTCGATTTTTCAAGTTTTCGGTTTCCCAATTTTTCAACATTTCAATTTTGGCAACTTTTCAATTTCTGGATTTTCCAATATTTGAATTTTGATGTTTCGATTGTTCGATCTTTCGATTTTTCCATTTATCAATTTTCCGACTTTTTTAAATAGTAGATTTTTCAGGTTTTTTGTGCTACGATTCCTCAATCTTTTAATTTTTCCACTTCCTGCTTTTTGAAATTTTTGATTTTTCATTTTTTCGGTTTTTAAATTTTTCGATTTTTCAGCGATCTTTTAATGTTTCGAGTCCTCGATCTTTCAATTATTGAAATTTTCAATGTCCGATTTTTCAATTTTCAGTTTTTCGGTTATACAATTTTTCGATTTTTTAAATTTTGGATTTGCCGATTTTTCAAATTTTAAAATTTTTCAATTTTTCGGCTTTTTGATATTTCGATTTCTTGAATTTTCCGTTTTTTAGTTCTTCGATTTTCAATTTTTCGAATTTTGAAATATTTGATTTTTCAGGTTTTTGATTTTTTAATTGTTAGATTTTTAAAATTTTACGTTTTTCGATTTTTCAATTTTTCGTTTTTACGATTTTTTGATGTTTCAATTTGATATCTCGGTTTTTCGATTTTTAAAATTTTTAGATTTTTCGATTTCTTGAATTTTCAGTTTTTTTAGTTGTTCGATTTTCAATTTTTCTAATTTTTAAATATTTGATTTTTCAGTCTTTTGATTTTTTAATTGTTAGATTTTGAAATTTTTCAAAATCTAACAATTCTAAATAATCTAAAATCTTTTCGATTTTTCAATTTTTCGTTTTTACCATGTTTTGATGTTTCAATGTGATATCTCGGTTTTTCGGTTTTTAAAATTTTTTGATTTTTCAATTTTTCAACATTTCAATTTTGGTAACTTTTCAATTTTTGGATTTTTCAATATATGAATTTTTCGATGTTTTGATATTTCAATTGCTCGATCTTTCGATTTTTCCATTTTTTGGACTTCGGTTTTTCAATTTTTCATGTTTAAAAATTTTTGATTTGTCTATTGATCAATTTTGGAATTTTTAAATCGTAGATTTTTCAGTTTTTTTGATTTTTTGATTCCGTAATCTTTTAATTTTTCCACTTTTCGGATTTTAAATTTTTCGATTTTTAAAATTTTTGATTTTTGATTTTTTCGATTTTTCAGTTTTTGGACTTTTTAATTTTTCGATTTCTCGGTTTATCGTTTTTTTTTCATCTTAAAATTTTCAGTTTTTAATTTTTCGATATTGGTCTATTTCTATTTTTCAGCTTTTCGACTTTTCGTCTTTTCGATTTCCCGCTCTTTCAATGTTTCAATTTCTCGATCTTTCAGTTTTTGAATTTTTCAATGTCCGATGTTTCGGTTTTCAATTTTTCGATTTTTTAATTCTTCGATATTTTCATTTTTCAAGTTCCTAAATTTTAGATTTTTCGATGTCTTGATTTTTCGGATCTTTAGTTCTTCGATTGCTTTTTTAATTTTTAGATTTTAGAAATTTTACATTTTTCGATGTTTTGGTTATTCAATCTTTCGATTGTTCCATTTTTGGATTTTGGGTTTTCAATTTTTCGAATTTTAAAATTTTTTGATTTTTCTATTTATACATTTTCCGAATTTTCAAATGTAGATTTTTCAGATTTTTGATGTTTTAATTCCTCATTCATTTAATTTTTCCACTTTTCGGTTTTTGAATTTTTCGATTTTTAAAATGTTTGTTTTTTAGATGTTTCAGTTTTTCAATTTTTTGATTTTTCAGTGTTTCGATTTTTCCGTTTTTGAATTTTTCGGTCTTTCGATTTTTCAATTTCTCGGGTTCTCGCCTTTTTGATTTTCCAGTTTTTCGATGTTTGGATTCTACAATTTTTCGATTTCCCAATTTTTCATCATTCCAGTTTTGGAATTTTTCAATTTTCCTTTTTTTAAGTTTTTCGATTCTTCACTGTTTGATTTTTCGATTTTTCAGTTTTAGATTTTTGAATTTTTCAAATTTTCGGTTTTTTTAATGTTTTGATTTCTTGTTTTGTGAATTTTTCGGTTCTTTTATTTTAATTTTCCAATTTCTTCAATATTAGATTTTTCGATTTTTCAGTTTTTTGATTTTTCAACTTTTGGGTTTTTTAAATTTTACATTTTTCGATTTTTAATTTTTCGTTTTTACGATTTTTTGATGCTTTGATTCTTTAGATCTCGGTTTTTCGGTTTTTAAAATTTTTCTACTTTTAAATTTTTACATTTCCTGATTTCTCAAGTTTTCGATTTCTCAGTTTTTCTACATTTCAGTGTTGGGAACTTTTCAATTTCTGGATTTTTCAATATTTTAATTTATTAGCACTTTTTCTTTTTTTACACTTCAGGCGCGAGAGAGTTCTGTCAAAATAATCTTTGACCATTTTTTTTTAGATTGTAATAAATTGTTAGTGACGAAGGAAGCGGCAAATTTTTATTAAAAGTACGTGGTCATTTACTTCTAAGCTAATATGTATTTCCAATAAAATTTAAGTATGTATATGTTTTAAAAGGTGTTTATTTTCTTAAGTCGAGTGAGGTAATGCTATTGGTTCGAAATTACTGACTGGAAAACCTCCCAATTTTGATGAGTGCTTGTGTCGTGCACTTAATTGTACCATAGCTTCCAACAAAAAATATCAGTAACAAAATAATTATTAAAATATTACCGCGAAGGTAAAAACAAAGCAATAAACGACGTAACAAGTTTAAAACCATAATAATTGTCTCTACCTTGACGCTTATTAAATTATCAAATTATGTGGGTCCATTACACGTGTATTAAAACTAGTATGAAGGTCTACATTTTTATGTTATTTATGTTTCGTAACCTTCATGTCTTTTCTAAAATTGAGCAATTTTTAAAATAATGATGCAGTGAAAGATATGTATGTACTGTACGCAAGGCAAAGCTTTTTATTTTTATCGAAACGTTCACTGTTGAGAAATAAATATTCGGTGACTTCAAGAAAAATAAATATTATTACATCGAGAATTTATCTGCAAAGTAGTGGCTATTGTAAGAATCGATATTTTAAGCGTGGAATTTTCGTTTCGTTGGTGATTCGAAAAAAGGATAAATTAGATTTTTTATAGTTATAAATATAATATATTATGTACAAAATATTTGTGTAAAATTGATATTTATTTTTAGTCTCGATAGCTAGGGGAAACACTCACATTCTGGATGAATATTTGTTGTCGATTTTAATTTATTGTTTACTTTAAGATTATAGACGTCATGGTGTGGAAATTGTACTCGTGCAAGCAGCGTGATGGAAATTTAATTATTAAATATATGTGCAACTATCAGACTAAACAAATACTTTTATCATATTGACGACTAGGTTCCTTACTGTCGTCTTTGTTTTTCGTCAATAAATTCACTTTGGAACCATAGTTTTAGAGATAATGAACTTTGAATAAGCGTCTTTACGTTATGTTGCCCATTTAAAGTGGGATGTGCTTGAACGATTGATCATACGTCACGAAGTTTTAGGAAGGGACGAGCATACAAATTTCTTTACAACGATGTAAAAATTATACGCGTTGTATTATTTGAAGATTGTAGATATTTCCATAATTATACAATATTTTAAATTAAATGATAATTATAAAGTATAATTGGAATCACGTTTCCGTAAGATTGCTTAAAATATAAATTTCGGCGAAGATATTTCAGAAATAGACACTGACGTACATACTTCTTACGTATAGATCTGTAGAAATAATTGCTCAACATGTACACCTACCGTTCGCAATACATAAATTATTTAGTCTTTACTTTAAATAAATGTACATGTAATTTAACGAAAGTGCAAAACTGATTAATCCCCTTAAACACAGCTCGCCGCTATTTTTGCATGTGACGGCATCTTCAGTCAACACTTTGCTTGTAGCGGTCTAGTTCCTTTGCACAATGCGTGCTCGTACGGTCATTTTGAAGTAACAGAAATGCTAATCAAACATGGTGCTAATGTCAACGCCAACGACCTATGGGCTTTTACACCGTTACACGAAGCTGCTTCTAAATCACGAATCGAAGTTTGTTCGTTACTGCTTAGCGAAGGGGCGGATCCTACTCAGCTTAACTGCCATTCGAAATCAGCAATAGATGTCGCGCCTACGAGAGAGCTACAAGAACGATTAACTTGTAAGTTAAGGCGATTATTTTTGCAAACGTCAAACGTCGGGTTGTAAATACTTAAACTGTCGCTTTAATTTCAGGCGAATATCGTGGACATCAGCTGCTAGACGCTTGCAAGCAGAGCGACACCACGAAACTAAAAAAGTTCCTTACGTCGGAAGTAGTTAATTTTAAACACCCGTACAGTGGCGATACGGCTTTACACGTCGCTGTTAATTCTCCATACCCTAAACGAAAGCAAATTGTGGAATTGCTGATACGTAAAGGCATCCACTTGAACGAAAAGAATAAAGACTTTTTGACACCGTTGCACTTAGCGGCGGACAATTCTCACTTAGATCTCATGGAAGTGCTACTGAGGCACGGAGCTAAAGTTAACGCTTTGGATGGATTAGGGCAGACGGCGCTACATAGGTGTACGAAAGAAGATAACGTCCAAGCGTGCAGACTTCTGTTGTCTTATAACGTGGATTCGTCAATTGTTTCGTTGCAAGGGTACACGGCGGCGCAGTTGGCTGGAGAAAATGCGCAGAAGTTGTTTCAAGGTAAATTGCTGCAATTTGCGGTTGCCCGCTGTAATTTTTGTTTGATCGCCATCTCGTTTGATAGATCCGCCTGCTGTTAATGGTGACGTAGAGTGTCAAGTATTAGAAGCTGCCAAATCTGGAGATCTCGAACAAGTACAAAGGTTGTTGGAAACTTATCCTAATATTGTCAATTGTCGTGATTTAGATGGTCGTCACTCGACTCCTCTTCATTTTGCGTCCGGGTACAACAGGGTAGCTGTCGTCGAGTACCTTCTTCAGCAGGGGGCCGATGTACATGCGAAAGACAAAGGGTAAGAAAAAACTTCACTAGATAATCAAAATTTATTGTCCTAGTCTAGTTAGTGAAAAATTGAGTTTATATTTAGTTTAAATAAACAAAGCTCAGATTTTAAAATACAAATGTCAAAACTTTAATATTAGTGCTGAAAATTTGGGGTTAGAAAAATATTTATTTAGAAGCTTTAAAATTAAAAAAACCAGAGATTTTTGAAGTTCTAAGATTTGCGGAATGGCTATTAAAACATTGCAAAGTCAACCCATTTTAACTTTTCCAGACAGAAAAGGTAAACGGTTGAAATTTAAAGTAAGTTTCACAAAATTGAATGAGAGTAACAATTTAATTTAGTTGATGTAAAAAACACTTGTTGAGATTCAGTCCTACGGTTTAAAAAGCCAAAATTTTTGAGGTTAGTACTAGTTAAAATAAGACTGATTTTGGCAAATGACATACCCTCTAAGAAAATAAAGGGCGGGTGGGCGGGGCTGGTACTTGCTAACATAAGACTGATTTTGGCAGATGATATACTCTCTAAAAAATAGAGGGTGGGTGGGCGGGGCTAGTAATTCTTAAGATAAGACTGATTTTAGCAGATGATATACTCTCTAAGAAAATAGAGGGCTGGTGGGCGTGGTTAGTATTTGCTAAAATAAGACTGAATAGTATTAATAATAAGTCACTAGAGTCAAGGAAAAAAAAATCTATTAACTGTTTCTGAAATTCAAATATTGAAGAATTAAATTTTATGTTGCAAATCTTGTGTTTAAAAAATTGGAGAGTTAATTCATTATGTTAACGATATCAGATTAAAAGTAATAAAGCTCTCAGATTTAAGATTAAAAAGTGAAGACTTTTAATATTGGTGCTGAAAGATTGGGGTTTGAAAAGTAGATATTTAAAACTTTGAACTTAAAACATATAGTTTTAATGGCTAAAAAGTCATATCTAATTTTTAAAGGAGGCTTTAAAATTTAAAAAATAGAAATTTTAAAAAATCAGAAATTCACTTTCAAGTTATAACGGTTAAAAAAAATAAAATGTGAATTCTCCAAAACTGGCGTTGAAGTTTTACAGTTTACAAAACTGAAAAGATATACATATTTGAAATGAAAAAAATATGAAACACAAAACTGGATCTTAGAAAATCACAATTTTGTTTTGGTTTATACATAAACAAATTTTTGGAATATCAGAAGTTGAGGTTCCGAAATCACTATAAGACTGAAATGTAATTCTGCGGTTTAAAAAGTCGAAATTTTTATCTAAAATGTTTCAGAAATGTTCAAGCTCGAGATTCTGCAATTTAAAATTGGAAGAGCTTTTGCAATTTGAAAGTTGTGGCTTGGAATCAATTCAGAATGCAAAATTAATTTTTTTTTGCACAACAATGAACAAAATTTTTGAGATTTAAAATGGGAAAATTGAGATTTATGAAATCAAGCTTTAAGATATATTTTAAAATTTAAACATCTAATAAGGCAAAAAATCGTCTGTTTGAGGTTTAGAAAGTCAAAACTTCTAAACTGTTTTGGATTCCGCCTCCAAATACTTATAAGGCGGAATCCAAAACATTATCCTTTCAGACTTTCAAAATTGAAATGCTGAAATTAAAAATTCAACGACTTTGAAACGGTTTAAAAGTCAACATTTTGAGATAAAATATTTCAGAAATTTTCAAGCTCGAGATTCTGAAATTTAAAATTGTAAAGTTTGGGATTTATAGAGACATTGCTTAGAATCACTGCAGATGTTTCAGGCTGAATATTTCAGATACATTCTTAAAATCTAAACAAATGTGAAAAAACTGAAATTTCGAAAAATCAGAGATTGTTTTTGAAGATATAACATTTGCGGAATCAACATTGGAACCTTTGACGCTATACAAAAAATGTGAAAAAAAATGTGAATTGTTTAAAACTGGCGTTGAAGTTTTAAAGTTAAAAAACTGAAAAGATACATTTGAATTTAAAAAATATGAGACTCAAAACTGGATGTTAAAAAATCGCAATTTACACAAACATGTGACATTAATAAAAGTTGAGGCTCCTAAATCACTATAAGACAACTTGGGATTTAATTATGCGGTTTAAAAAGTTGACATTTTGAGCTAAAATGTTTAAGAAATTTCCAAGCCCGAGATTTCGAAATTTAAAATTAGAAGAGCTTTTGTAATTTAAAAGCTGTAACTTGGAAACAATTTGGATTGAAAAATTAAAATTTGAAAGCTTTTTTGCACAACAATAAACAAAATTTTTGAGATTGAAAAGGGGAAATTTGAGGAATTATAAAACGAAGCTTTAAGATTTTGAAAAACGATCTTTAAAGTTTAAACATCTGAAAAAAAATCTACTACTGTTTGAGGTTTAGAATGTCAGAACTTCATCATCTCAAAATATAAAGCGGAATCCAAAACATATGTCCTTTTTTCAGACTTTCAAAACTGAAATGTTGAAATTAAAAATTCAACGATTTTGAATCAAAATGACAAAGTTTTGGGACTTTGGAATGTAGTTATAAATTGGAATTTGTGAATTTAAAAAGTTCAAGAATTAAATTTTATGTTGTAAAAACAAGGGGTTTAAATAAATTTGGGCTTAATTTATATGTCGACGATAGTAGATTAAAAATAACAAAGCTCTCAGATTTTGAAATTAAAAAACGAAGGCTATAATATTAGTGGTGAAATATTGGGATTTGAAAAGTGAATATTTAAAACTTTAAAATTAAAAAAAAAATTACATCGAAATTTTCAGGGATTGACTTTCAAGTTATAACATTTACGAAATTGGAACTTTTGAAGTTATAAAAAAATTTGATTTCTTTAAAACTGGCGTTGAAGTTTGTTTTCAAAATTGAAAAGATGAACATTTGAAATTAAAAAATATGTGAGACGACTTACAAAACTGGATCTTAGAAATTAAAAAATTTGTGTATAAACCAAAACAAAATTTTGAATTTCTGAACTTCAACTTAATATTAATTAAAAGTTGAGGCTCCAAATAAATCACTATAAGACAGCTCTGAGATTTAATTCTGCGGTTTAAAAGTCGAAATTTTGAGCTAGTGTTTCAGAAATTTACAAACTTGAGATTCTGACATTTAAAATTAGACGAGCTTTTGTAATTTAAAATCTGTGGCTTGAAATGAAATAGGATCGAAAAATTAAAATTTTAAAGTTTAGAATTTAGAGAGAGATGAGTTAGAATCACTGTAGATTTTTCAGACAGAACGTTTCAGATGTCATTCTTAAAATATAAGCAAAAGTGAAAAAATTGGATAGAGTGAAGATCGATACTGAAATTGTTTTAGAGTGAAAACTAAAAAAATAAAAACCTTGCACAATGACCAAAATTTTTGAGGTTTAAAGTGGGAAATTTGAGATTTATGGTACGAAGCTTTAAGATTTTGAGAAACAATATTTTAAAGTTTAAACATCTAAAATAAAAGATCCACTTTTTGAGGTTTAGAAAGTCAGAGCTTCATCGTCCCACAATATAAGGTGGAATCCAAAACATGTCCTTTTAGACTTTCAAAACTGAAATGTTGAAATTAAAAATGTAACGATTTTGAGTCAAAATGACAACGTTTTGGGATTTTGGAACGTAAATATAAATTGGAGTTTTTCAACTCAAAAAGTTGAAGAATAAAATTTGCTGTTGAAAACACAAGGGTTTAAAAAACGGGGAAGTTAATTTATATTTCGACGTTTTTAGATTAAAAATAACCGAGCTTTCAGATTTTGAAATTAAAAAATGAAGGTTTTAATATTAGTGGTGAAATATTGGTACTTGGAAGCAGATGTTTAAAACTTTGAAATAAAAACATAAAGTTTTCTTTGACTAAAAAGTGATATCCAATTTTTAAAGGAGACCCTAAAATTAAAAAAACTAAAATTTCGAAGTCAGAGATTGTTTTTGAAGATATAACATTGTAAGCTTTGACGCCATATAAAAATAAAATGTGAATTCTTTAAAACTGGCGTTGTAGTTTTAAAGTTTAAAAACTAAAAAGATACATTTGAAATTGAAAAATATACTAATCTCACGAAACTGGACCTTAGAAAATTACAATTTTGTTTTGATTTATACACAAACAAATTTTTGGAATATTAAAAGTTGAGGCCCCTATAATACAGCTCTGGGATTTAATTCTGCGGTTTAAAAAGTCGACACTTTTAGTTTAAATATTTCAGAAATTTTCAAGGTCGAAATTCTGAAATTCAAAATTAAAAGCTTTTGTAATTTAAAAATTGCGGTTGGAATCAAGTCGAATTAAAACATTAAAATTTTAAAGTTTGAGATTGCTTAGAATCACAGCAGATTTTTCAAGCTCGATGTTTCAGATTTCGTCTTATTAAAATCTAAGCAAAAACGAAAAATCTGGCTAGAATGAAGATCGAATTTCAGCGCTTCAAAATATAAGACGGAATCCAAAAATATGATGTCCTTTCAGACTTAAAAACTGAAATCTTCAAATTTAAGATTAAACGATTTTGATTAAAAATGACAAAGTTTTAGGATTTAATATATAAAAATGTTAAAAAAACTTGATATTTATAAAAATAGTCAAATTATAATATTTTAAGATTAGAAAACTGGAATATCGAGTTTTTAATTTTGAAATTTCGAAACTTTGAAATAAAAAAAAATACGAAATTCAAACTTAAATATGATAAATTTGTAGGCTTTGAATTTAATTTTAAAGTTTTCATGTTACACAAAACTGGAGCCTTGCAATATAAAAAAATCACAGTTATTTTCCTTCAAAATTAATACAAGCTTTTAAGTTCTTTAGAGAATTTATTAGAATTTAACATCAAATTCTCAAAATTTTTACTTTTAAGACGCCGAAACACAATTTTAAGACTTGTAGTAGGTATGAGTCCAAAAGCAGTACTATTGATTTTACGTTCTACCAATACTTTTCAATTTAGAAATCCTCAGAAAAGCAAATTTTCTCTTGTATAAGCGATTTGTTAAATTGTAACCGTGTAATGTAATGTCAAAATATTGTCTGAAGCGACTGTGCGGAATAAACAAACTAACGCTTCTTAAGACTAAGAGAAACTTCAACCAAACTTTTCTCGATAGCAGCTTTTATAAAGTCTTATTTGTCTTTTGAAGATTTTAATCTTTCCCCAAGTTCGTTCTCATCGCAATTTCTTCTAGTGGTTTGGTGCCTTTACACAACGCCTGCTCCTACGGCCACTACGAAGTGACCGAACTCCTGGTGAAACACGGAGCCAACGTCAACGTCGCCGATCTCTGGAAGTTCACTCCGCTCCACGAAGCAGCCGCGAAGGGCAAATACGAAATCGTGAAATTACTTCTAAAACATGGCGCCGACCCGACCAAAAAGAACCGTGACGGGGCCACGGCGCTGGATTTAGTGCGAGAGTGTGATCAGGACGTCGCCGACTTGTTGCGAGGCAACGCGGCGCTTCTAGATGCCGCGAAAAAGGGTAACTTGGCGAGAATCCAGCGGTTGATCACGTCCGAGAATATCAACTGCCGGGATGTACAAGGAAGAAATTCTACCCCGTTGCATCTGGCAGGTGAGTGTTGTGGCGGTAAATGGGTGCATGAATTGAGATTGTGTTTTCAGCGGGTTACAACAACGTTGAAGTCGCTGAGTATCTGCTGGAGCATGGGGCGGATGTTAATGCTCAGGATAAGGGTGGGTTGATACCGTTGCATAATGCGTCGAGTTATGGTCATTTGGATATAGCGGCGTTGTTGATTAAGTATAATACGGTGGTTAATGCCACGGATAAGTGGGGGTTTACGCCTCTTCACGAAGCTGCTCAAAAAGGAAGGACGCAGTTGTGTGCTCTGTTGGTAAGTAGAAAAATGAGTTTTGCTATTTCAAGTGTGTGCCAAAAAATTCACCGCAACAAGTTTTAAAGACAAAGCAGCAGCTGATGCTGTTAACAGAATTTGCCGCACTTTTTTAGAATCACTCGGTAAAATTCAATTCAAAATTTATACATATATGTGGTAAATTTGACGGAAAAGAAACTGAAGTCGTTCTCTTTTGACGCGAGAGAAATTATTGACGTAGGTTTCATCAAATTATAACATGATTATATTAAACCAACAATTTGACTAATAGACGTACGCACATAATCCAGGTTGAATCAACGAAAACATTAAAAAGAAATGAAAAGTAGCAGATATTTCGAGGACTTTCCTTGCGTTAAAATGAACTGTTCCAAACTTATTAAGAAGTTCAACTACCCACACCACCCCACATTCGTTTCTGGCTAAAGTTTGTTCATTAAGGTCGTGAATTGTCAAAGTGCACTGTGTTGGCTTCACTGCTAGAAAACTAATAGGGATTTTAAAAATATGCAGTGGTAGCAATATCATGATAATTATTGACAACCGTGGACGGACAAAGACCTCTGGGTTGTAAAGACAGTTTTCATAGAAATTTAAAAAATGTTAACCGAATTTCAATGACGGATACAATAAAAGTAACTTCAACAGCTACTTATATATCAAGGCGCTAAAGAGGAACTTTGTCGGGCGATCTGAAGTTTAAAGCTGAGGTTTACAAATCAGATGACGCCGAGTTACACACAACGTTGCGATCATACAGAAAAATAATTTGTTGTGTAAGTGGTTTTGAGGTTAGAAATCTTTTTTCATTGTTGGAGGAAAAACAATGGAGATTTGATAAAAATCAAGAGGTGTTATTTTGCTCTTCTACTAAGAAAACAATTTTTATAAAAAAAAAAAATGTTGCACGAGGCCAAGGACACAAAATTAAGTTTTTGACATTTGAGTGCAAAAAAATGCTAAGTTAGTCCAAAAAGTATTGTTACGATATTCGGTGATTCAAAATCGGCGTGGGTTAAACTCAACAATTCATTTCTTAGTAACTTGGATTTACACGACTAACTACAGAGCGATTATGTACAAAATAATTCCGGCGCAACTTGACGGAGTTCCGCAGTCGAGGTCTTTCTAAATTGCCCATCGCGACTTCCGCTTTCAGGATTTTCTCCGGCCGCCGTCAGTGGCAATGACTCATCATTAACGTACATACTAGAACCCATAGGCGTCGTATGGGTTTCTTTCGTAACAGTATTTTCGACATTTCCTTACGAAAAAATTCCTGGTGATTATGGACGCAAATGACTGCTTTGTAATGGTCGCGTAAAAAATATTTTCATAAAAATAATTAGATTTGTTAGTGTATAGTACAATAAAAATTGTTTGAAAGCCAATATTTTTGAATAATTAAATCCCAGCATTTCAACTGTATCAAAGAAGTTTTTTATTTAGCCGCTTAAACGAACGCCAATTTATAAAAATGGTATATATACCATGTGTTTCTTTTATTTGATACAACCCCTGTAATGTTTTTATTTTTAAAGTTAAACATCTAGTTCTTGGAGCAAATTTGTGTCATTTTAAAAGATCACTTACGTGAGTAAATGACATGAGTGTCAATTTTTCAAGCTACTAGATTGTCATCAATAAATATGAATTTTTCGTCTATTTTATTTCCGGTCCTATTGGAAGTGATAATATAAATGTGAGGTTGCCATCACATAGATCTTTTAAAATGATACAAATTTGCGTAAACAACGACAGATTTATCTTTAAGAATAAAAACTGACTCTGAAAAATGCAGCCCCACATTTTTATTTATTTGGCTTCATTAATTTAATTACTTATAATTTCAGACTTCTCAAAGAAAATATGCACAGTATTTCATTTCAACTCATTCAACGCCATCCCAAAATTTTGATAAAGGTTAAAAAAAAAAACAAATAAAATAAAATTAAAAATAATCCAGGCCGTAAATCGTGCTTTTGGACATGTGTTTTCTTCATATACTTCCATTCTTTCTTTCAGAAATTTTATACAGGGGTCTCAAAGCATATTTTGTCGATTAAAAATAAAACAGTTTTTCTTATTTTCTCACTCTGCTATCAAAAACATAAAAAAATATTATTTCACAGAACTTCCCACGTTACTGAAGTACAATCAAACACACATATTTTTTAGAAAATAATATCAGTCAAAGTGTTAGCATGCGCCTAACCATTTGAACCATCGACTACTCAATGTTCCGCTTATACTAGTATTCTTAAATATTACACAATTTTGTTTTTTTTTTTGTGAAAATCTGAATGGCTAAAATTGTAACTCAAGGCGGATTTATAAATAGCATAAATTACAGGAATATGTCATTTTATAAAATTTAATAATAATAATAATAATCTTTATTTCCAACGGGTAACAAACACCCAATTACAGGAAACAATTAGAAAAAAATGAAGCATATAAATGATAATTAAGCAGGAGACTTAAATGTATGTAAGAGTAAGCACATATTAAACATATTAACAATAATAAATAAATACGAAAATTAGAATAATTACAAATTAAACAAAGCAATATAATATTTAAATTTAAAAAGCCTTTACCATGCAAAATATTAAAGTGACGTCAGCAAATTGGCAAAGAGGCCTGGAAATGAAAAATTATTCCGAGTACATTTTGAAAGTTATATTGTTGAAAAATCTTATTCATTTCAAATTTCTTCATTTTGTTACGTGGTAATCACTGTTAAATTTAATGTTGAAACTAGAAAACGCTAAGTAGTCCTATAGTAGTTATATGATGAGGGTTCTGCTCAAATTTTGGCGGAAAACTTTGAATTCGCCCGTGTGCTCTCTCTATTATAATTGTTGGAATTTTCGGTTTTTGTTCGATAATTGTGATTGATGTAATAACTTGGCTTTATACTAAGACAATATATTCCTTGTATGATCAAATATATGTATATATATATGTAAATAAATAAATAAATAATAAATGAACAAATAAATAAATAAAACCTTACATTTTTTTACCTATTTTTTTAAATTTGTTTCGACTACAAGCCAGGTTGGCCGAGTGGTCTAAGGCGCCAGACTTAAGTTATGGTTCGGAAACGAAGCGCAGGTTCAAATCCTGCACCTGGCAATGTGTTTCATTTTTTTTTTTCAAAATTTATATTGTAATACATAAACCGAATTACCAAAATTCAAAATTCCTAAAGCGCCATCTGCTTTCAAAGCACGCATTTACAACTAGAATTCTAAAACCAAAATTCAAAATCCCTAAAGCGCCATCTGCTGTCAAAGCAGGCATTTACAACTAGAATTCTAAAAACCCACGCCGAAGCGATATCTACCCTCAAATAACCCAACCGAGATTCGAACGGTGGTGGTGCGCAACCACTGACGTCAGCCCTGCTTATATACTACTACTATACTATTGCCAAACTGAGTCGTTTCTGCTGGAACTGAGTCGACTTTGACCCGAGCATGCGCGCAAATTCAAATTAAATTTGAGCCAGAACCCCATGATGCAACTACTATTTCTATTTTTAAATAAAAGTAATTTGTATCCCCGTGAGTCGATAATGCAAAGGTTAATTTTATAAATTCTCAATCGACTTCATTTTGTAGATTTCTTAGTCGTATAGATGGTTTCTTACACAGGTAGTAGTTTTGAAGTTGTGTTGTATTATGCAAGTAAAACAGGGTAAAATGTTTACAGATACATACAGTTAGCAAAGCTAAGAAAGTATTGTAATTGTAATCGAGTCCATTGGAGGACTAGCTACTTTTAGGTTTTCTCGACGTTTCATGATTTTTATTAGACAGATTATCTCCGAATCTACTGGACCGATTGTTGTGAAGTTTTATATGTGTATAGGAATATCGTGTAGATGGTAAAACGCTAACCAAAATTCGGCTAACCATCACCACCAATAACAGGATGACGTCAAATCCAAAATTTAAAACATAAATGTTATTTAGATTTTATAAAATAAGATAAGATACTCTTGCACATATAGTGATGTTCGGATTTTTGGAAAAACATTCAAAATTATTCAACAGCATTTTGCAATTTAAGTTCGAAATTGCAAAATCAAATACTCTGAAATCTTGCAAACGTTTTAAGGTTATCAAAAACATGTAAACGGTTAATTAATTTTTTTTCATTTATGCCCCCAAAAAATGATGACGTCAACTTACATTTCTGCCGAATAAATATTTTTCAAACTTTGGAAAATAAAATGCTCCTACATGTGTAATTAATGAATCCGTGTTGAATTTTTACCCTTGGCTTCTTTCAGATTTTTGGGTAAAATTCAAAATTGCAAATATTTTAAGGTTATTGGTGGATCGTTAGTCAAAATTTGTTCGTCCTCTTACAGTTTTGCCGAATAAGTAAACTTCAAATTTATGAGTATTTTTGGAAAAAAAAAACTGGTTAATTAATTAATAAGTCCTCTCTTCTGCGTTGAGGAGAGAAAATCAATCAAATTTCTTTGTATTGTAACCGCTGATGCTTGTAATCTGAACGTGCTAATAGTCGAATTCTTTTCTCTTTCGAAATACAAACATAAAACCGTCGAAGTTAAGCATGTACTGAGAAATTGAGAATGTCTACACTTTTTGCCGTTGGTTATCTGCTTTTTTACTTTATGTATAGAGTTTATCACAACACGAAAATCGCAAAATCAAAAAAATATAATCTTTTAAAGATCCGGAATTTGTCGGATTTTTTGTTTTGTTGCACCTTCGAATTTCAAAACTACTAACTGTAGCAACAACAAATTATTTAATAAAAAATCTACAATAAAAGTTCACGTTGAACATAGGAACTTAATTATGGTACTTTTTGTTTCACCAGAAGTGAAAGCAACTTTTGTTCTAAATAGACTACAAAAGTTACAATGAAAATTAAGTTCCAAAATTAGATTTTTTTCAATTGCACTCAAAAAGTTGGTCGTGAAATAATATAATTTAATTTAATTTATGTATTGCCAGCTCGAGAAAGCACCGACGTTCCTAGAATTTTGAATACAGAAAGTTGTCTTACTACTATTATTATTACTAGATCTGCTTGTTCCTATTTTTGAATCTAATTTGTAGAAAAGATTTCCCTATTCATTTTTATCTCAAATCGTTAATTAGTTCCGGTTTGTAAAGTTGTAGATATGTCTATGACATCGTAAAGAAACGATTTGATTCTTACAAGTTCGCTTTAAAATTTTGTCGAATCAGGTTTACTTAATTGAACTCTGTATCTTTACGCTGTTATAAATTAACCAAAAGCATGTAAAACAATAACTTTTACTTCTTACGGTAGTACGTTGAATTAGCAGCTGAATAAAGTTACCACAAAACATTTAAAAACGTCATCAGTTTGATCACTTTTAACTTTAAAGCTCAGATTGTTCGAAATTACGAAGCGGATTTATTTGCCTGGACACGGCGTAATGCTGTCACGTTCTAATTGACTTCTTACTTCTTAAATTGATTTCAAAGCGAAACATTAGCTGAAAACGATAAACGGTTTTGTGATCGTGGTGTTTTTTCCGTCTACCATGTAATTTCACTTTCATTTTTCATTTGACCAACAAAAAATCTTCACTCGTAATTAATACTGTGATTTTCTGCGTTTGCAGTTGGCTCATGGAGCTGACCCCTTCCTCAAAAACCAAGAAGGTCAAACCCCCATGGATCTCTCGAGCGCCGAAGACGTCCGCTGCCTCCTCCAGGACGCCATGGCCTCCCAGCAAGGTGTCACCACGGCTCCTCCTTCTCGTCCTCTCTCCGTCGTTTCATCGAAATCACCTAGTCCTTCTCTTTTGCCTACAATCAATACCGAAACAGTGTTAATGCCGTCCGGTGCGTCTGTGCAAATGTCAATACCGGTGGGCAGCCGCTCCAGCGTGGCGATGCCGGCCGTGGAGGGATGCTGTTCGACCTCGAAGGTAGAAGGCGACGATCAGGAACTGATAGGAAATATCACCAACGTTTCGACGTTCTTGACGAGCTTGAACTTGGAGCAGTTGATAGATATTTTCGAAAGGGAGCAAATCACGTTGGATATTTTAGCGGAAATGAACCACGAGGATTTGAAGCAGATAGGGATCTCGGCGTACGGTTTCAGGCATAAGCTGATCAAGGGAATGGAACGGCTGATGGCTGGTTATGGAGGGTTGAGATCGATGCCTACGAATCCTGGCACGTTGCTCATTGACCTTTTGGCAGACGATAAAGAGTTTATTACTGTTGAAGAGGAGATGCAGAATAGCATCAGGGAGCATCGGGATAACGGACACGCTGGGGGTGTTTTTAATAGATATAATATTGTTAGGGTGAGTTGAAGAGGATTGAGGTTTTGCGTCGATGAAAAATTTTCGTGAGTATTGTCGATCAGTGAGAGCGCTGCAGTCGGTATGATGTTATTTGTAATTGGATCATTCTTTAAACGGATCTGGACGTCCAAAATGTTGCCTACAAATCAACATGATTAAACTTTGTTTTTTTTTTCTTTTTTTTTTATTAAAGTACTTGATTGTAATTTCTTCAAAAGAAAATGCGCGACTTTTGGTTTTGAAGTTTTTTTTCAAATTTTATAACAATGAAATAATACTCTAGAAACATCAAACTTGACACAAAGTGCGTACATGTTTCCTTAACAATGCCAAGCGTCCCGATGATGCTAACTTTGATGTGTAAAGTTTTTTTTACTTAGAATAAGGCAAACAGTATAACTTTTTTTTATAATTTTGAAACTTCACACATATTTCAAAAAGTTGCGACTCCCTCCGTCACCCCTCTCTTTTCAACCATAGTGCAGAGAGAAGAGTGCATTATTGTTACAATTTGATTAGATGTATACATATTCTGAAACATTTATTATTGGCGCCTAGTATATTTTTTCGACGTTTCATGACTCCTAGAATACGAAAAAATAGGTCTCCCCTATCGGTCTATTTGTTTTGTCGATAGTTTTCGAAACCACTAGACTGATCCTAGTCAATATAGTATACAGGATGTCTGGAAAATGGCGAATTAACTCTTCAGTACGTTATGTACGGCGTTTTCTGGGTTCCAAAAAAATTATAAAAAAATTCTTTATGTTGTAGATTACGAAAAAAACGTGATTTTATAAAAGCAAAATTGGTACGCACCTAGGGTGAGATTTTGTTTCTATAACGATAAAATATCGGTACCGATAAAATGTGGTCGTCTTTTTCTTTCGCATTTGAAATTTATATTTTCGTCCTTGTCATTTATCGCTTCGTATCGTATCGGTAAAAACAAAATCCCACCCCTGATGCGTGAATACCTCCAACGTACTAATACCTGCTTAAATAAAACTGATTTTGGCAAATAACATACCTTCCAAGAAAGGAGAGGGTGGGTGGGCGGGGCTAGTATCTGCTAAGGTAAAACTGATTTTGGCAAATGACCATGGGTGTCCAAGAGTTTCCCGAATTAAAAAAAAACACTGCGGCATTCAAGACTTTTTCTTTAACTGCGAACATTTTAAACGTAGGGTTTTGAAAACTTTGACAATTTTTAATACGTCAAACATTTTTAACTGGTACAAACGCTGTGATTGTCATTATTTATATATTTTTTAGTTTATGCACATCATAAAAATTATCACATTTTATACTTTTTAAAGGAGCGTCATATGTTGGACTGCACTTCAGGGGCGAGGAAAATTCTGTTTAAATAACTTTCGACTAATTTTTTTCTCTAGCCTTAGACAAAGTTTAACAGAAAGTATAGCACCCTGTGCATATTTTGTCCTGATGTGCTTAGCAACCGTATCACTGTGACCTGATTTATCACGTGCTTAAATTTAACCAATCAAAGGCTTACTTACATTCGGAGGTTGGGTGAAAGAAGTGTTTATTTACCTACTGTAAACCGGTCTTAGGTATGTCCTTTGATTTTTAGTTTATTGTTGAGATACGGATTATTTGGACTTTTCAATTGCTTGCTAACTCTCTCAGATTTTGTTCCTAAGATAGAAAATCCTATGTTAGCGGATCTTGTTTTGCCATAAACGCTAAATTAAATAACAAGTTGTGTTATACTACTTGTTTGGAAAATCCACGTGACATCGAGAATCTACAAAATTAAGTCAATTAGAACTTGGTCATAGAATTTCCGGTCTCGTCGGAAGTGACAGCAAGTTTTCTGTCAGGAGAAATAAAGTCATATTTTCTAAGTTCTTTGAAAGTTTCTTCTCAACAGCCGCGGGGCTCTATTACCATATAAAATGACCGGCATTCAGGCAACGCATCTATCATTACTATAACTTTTTTCTTTCTGAGCATAAGCTAGGACTCAAAAGAACGAAAAAAGTGGTCTCCGTTTCCGTCTATCTCCCTGTCTGTCGTCTGTGTCGATTTTTATTAGACAGATAATCTCCGAAACTACTGGATCGAAAAACGTTGACCAAAATTTGTCTATTCATCCCCACCAACAATTAACCATAGCAAATGTTTTTTTTTTTTTTAATTTTATATAATAAGGTACTTGTGGTTTATGAATCTGTATTAAGTTTTTAACTTTTTGCCGTACTCATTCAGATTAAAAAAAAAATCAAAAACTTTGAAATCATTAAACCAAATCCTGTAAAATCTTCCAAACATTATAAGGTCATCGTAAGCATTGTCAATCGTTACCCGTTTATGTTCCTCAAAAAATGTATGATGTCATCTCAAAATTGTGCCTGTTTAAAACAAAATGTTATGAATCTATTCTTGTGGTTTATGATTCATATATATCTTTAAGAATTACTCATACAGGGTGACTCAAAAAAATTAATCAAAGGTGCAATTTATTTTATTGATCAAATTAAGAACAACTCATCCTTTTTTCTCGAAAATTTGAGTATGCAGTACCGTTATTATTGGTGTTACATTGCACCTATTGAAATTGTTGTGTCCTTGAAAAAGTGTGGCTGACATGATCACAAAATTTTCTTATGAAAAACTTACTTGAAACATACGCATAGCATGCTCCTTTGCCTATACTTTTAACAGTCTGTACATATATTTGTTTTAACTAGTATGGCTTATAATAAAAAAAATTAAATTCGCAAAATTCAATTTTATAATTTTTCGAAGAATCTACAATTGTTCCCTGTATCTTCCCGGCGAGGGAAGTTTTCTCTTCGCTCGACGTCTCCTGACCCTTACAGTACGAAAAAGTAGTCTCCCGTTTCCGTCTGTCAGTCTGTCTGTCTGTCTGGTCTGTCTGGTCTGTCTGGTCTGTATCCAATTTTATTCGACACGTAATCTCCGAAACTGTTGTCAAATTTTGTGTGTATATTAGAAATATCGTGTAATTGGGCTAGTCATCCCCACCAACAATTTGATGACGTCATTTCAATGAATGTTATGTACATATACTTGGATACGAACCCAGTTTCAGTTTTTTCGCTAAACGTTCAAATTTTCGAAAAAAAGATTTGCAAGGTATAATAACGTTTTATTCTCGACACGGTTTGAGATAATGGCGATCTGCGGTACTGCGATTGTGGTTCGAGGCCGAACTTGGCCCGTCCTTTTTTTTCTTGCATTGGTATTACGCTGTGACTACTTTTCTTTTATGTTGTAACTAGAATTATCCATGTTGATGACATCATCACAAATTTTTTATTGGTCACATTAAGAACTAAGAACGAGTCATCCCATTTTCTCGAAAATGTAAAGAATATTTACATTTTCGAGAAATTTCTTAATACGTCTTTGTACGGCAGCCCGAGAGATTAAAGTCACTAGATAGATAAAGTAGCGCAATTGGACGCCATATTGTGTCCGCGCCAAATTCAAAATAAATAAATAAAAATTAACGGACTCGATACTTCCGTACAAAACGTAAATGTAGATTTTTTTCAAATAAACATTTATTTATGTTTAAGCGTTATTTGTTCAATGCACTTAAATGCCATTGATAAATATATGGGGTGAGTAAAAAATATAGATGAAAAACCTTGCAATACCAGTTTATTAACAAAATTTCGGCCGCAATAGTTTCCTTCCATCTGCTCGCTTTGCTTCGAATTGTTGTTCAGAAAAATGTAACTAAAAGTAAATAGTATTTAACATTGTGCAGTTACATATTCAAGCTTTAAACAAATTACTTCGCAAATTCTAGAGTTGTCGTTCAAATCGTCCCGGCCTATTAAATTCTCCTCTTCTAGCCCTATTACTAACACCTGCAACAATTTAAAATAGTTGAGAAAACTCAATTGAAAACTCAGTTGTAACCTACCTGTTGGAAGACGAAACAATCGGCTTTTATTTCCACACTAAGGATCACAACTTGGCATTTTAAAATAAGAGTCATAAAACACCACAAAAAAACACAAACAACTTTACAAAAACACAAACAACTTTGCAAAACAGGTGATGCGTTAAAGAGCGTTTGACAATTAACATTGACGTTTGTCGGTCGCCATATTGTGTCCGAAATACACGTTCTCTCTCTAACACATTGAAACATTCAATTGCGGTACTTTGGTTATCTAGGGACTTTACGAGAGATCGATGCGCGCTCTGGCGGACAAAATGCCAACTGTCACAAGCAGGATTAATTCTTGTGTAAGTTCATTTGGTTCATTATTCGAAGACAACAAATTACAGTAAATTCACTTCTTGTTGAGTTATTGGCCATTTATTGTGTCAAAATACGTATTTGACTCTCTTCTCTACCATAGCTGAAGAAAAACGCTCCAAGAGTAACAACTATTGCGACGTGCCGCAATGTAAAAGTTACTATTTTGGAAATATTTCTTTCCAAAGTCTAACGAAATACTGCGACAAAAGTGGATTCACGCTTTAAAAATAGGCAAAGAAGTATCTCCATTCATGACGGTGTGCAGCAAACAATTTACCTCTGAAGATTTTTTCTCTAACAGAGGTGAGTTTAATCTCTCCATAACAGTTTGCATAACCTTAATTTGTCTCTTTAAAACTTTATAGCGTGTGCTATAGACACAGATTTAAAAAAACTACAATCCCCAGTGTTAATTTACCAGAAGCAACATATCCATAACCTCAAAAGAAACAAACACAAAACGCCCAGAACCGAAACTCAAACGAAATAAAACTTATATTTTGAAACTGCACACAAACCAAAAAACAAAATGTTCCAAAACGAACAAAATAAACTTTACAAAATGATAAAAAGCACTAAACAATCAGATCCGCAACACAACCACTCAATGGGAGTTCCATTGTTTATCCCGTTTACATCATCCATGTTGGTTTTTCGCAGCGCCACCTACATTCAGTTTTCAAGCCCATGAGTTTGTACTTCTGATTTATCATTGCATTAATATTGTCTGGCTGTTGGCGATTTTATTAGACAGATAATTTCCGAAACTACTGGACTGATTGTCATAAAATTTCAGGTGTATTTTAGGAATACATATCTTGTGGATGGTAAAACCGTAACCAAAATTTGTCCCATCATCCATACCAACAGTTTAATGACGTCATCTCAAAATTTTGCAAAGTAAATCTAATTTCAATTTTATAAAATGACAAAAAAAAAACAGATTGTAGGTTTTACAATTTAAGTTAGAAACTACAAAACCAAATGCTCTGAAATCTTGCCAACATTTTAACGTTATCGTAAGCATAAACCACCATTAATTAAAATTTATCTGTTTATCTCCTCAAAAAATTTAATTACGTCATCTCAAAATTTTGCTGGTTACAGTCTAAAATTTGCAAAACATCGTGAGTCTCACTTGTAGTTTAACAATTTATTCATATTTTTTTCGATTGTTTTTTATAATGACTAATGAAAGAAGCAATATATTTTTTGATTAAATCAATTACGCCTTACCCCAATTTAGTGACATTCAGGAAATGCACCAATTTATTAGTATAACAATGTACCAATCGAAATTGATATACTTGTCCCCACTAACAATTTGATGACGTCATCTCAAAATTTCATTAAGAAAAAATGACTGATAACTTTTACCTTAGGCATCCAAATTTTTTTAAGTTTTAAGAGTCGACACACAATAATTCACTTTATTTCCAAAAAATTAATTAAATTTTTCCTTACAAAAAAATGTTTTTCTGTATAGGCACTAATTGTGAATTAAATCTTGAAAGAAAGTTAAAATTTGTATTTTTTGTGACATACTACAAGTACTTTTTAGGCAGCATCAGCATATCTACTATTTTGATGTCACCTGATTGTCGCATAAGCCCGTCATAATAACAGTATACTAAAACAAAATTTGTGACTATCGACGTCAAATCGAAATCCGTTGCAACGTAGAAATTACATTTTTTTGGTGTTCGTACATATATGTATACGTAGACCAAATTAAAAAATAAAGCGACGACAAGCGTCAATTGTTTGTCTTATTTTAACTAAAAAAGAACATTACACGTCATAAATGTGTTACTAGTTTTACGACAACCTTGCATCAGTATGTCGCTTGACATAACGTAAAAACTTAGTATTCCTCAATAATAAGATCCTATGTTTCTCCACCCCTTAGATACAGAAAGTTCAGAACAGGAAATTATGGGAACGATACATTCATCGAAGACAGGAAGTCTCGGAAGAAAACAACAATCAATGCAACGAAAGGATGCTCTTTCACGGCTCCCCTTTCATTAACGCCATAGTACAGAAGGGCTTTGATGAAAGACACGCTTACATCGGAGGAATGTTCGGCGCAGGTATCTATTTCGGGGAGCATTCTTCCAAGAGCAACCAGTACGTCTACGGAATAGGGGGCGGCACCGGATGTCCGACTCACAAAGACCGATCGTGCTATATCTGCCACAGGTAAATCTTAAAAAACCTTAAGGCAATAATTAAACAATGTCTAACCGGCGCTTTCCAGGCATCTACTGCTGTGTCGCGTCACTCTCGGAAAAATGTTTCTTCAATTCAGTGCCATGAAGATGGCCCACGCACCTCCGGGCCACCACTCCGTGGCCGGGCGGCCGTCGACTGGCGGTTTGAACTTCCCCGAGTACGTGGTGTACAGGGGCGAACAGGCCTACCCTGAATACCTAATCACGTACCAGATAGTCAAACCCGAAAATCTGCCGGTGGCTAACGATAGCACTGTTCGGTGATTCAACCAGAAAAAGTTGACTCGAGAAGCGGTCAAGGAGCTGTGGTGCACCGCCGTGTCCACCGCGCTCACTTGCCTGGTCCCGAAAGCGGCTTGTTCATGTAGAAAATCGAGGCAATGACGGACAGGAGTGCGTTTTCCTTTTTAATGTGTTCATTAATCATTGTTATGTATGATAAATAACTCCCGTATTGTGAAACAAGGGGGTGTATGTTCGCTGTGCGCTAAGGACTGAGGTATCTTCGCAAAATGTGATATATATTTTTTGAACGATTATAGTCAAGTCGAATATCGTTTTATTTATGGTGTGGTGTTTTAATCTATTTTTCGTCTTTTTTTGTACTGTAGGATGTTATTAAAACGTATAAAGCGAATCAGTGGTTTTATTACAATCCCCGATCTGATTTTTCCTTTAAAAATGGAAATAGAGAAACTACAATGAAAATAAATGAGTTTTACATCGAAATGTGCAAGCTTTACATCGAATTTTCAACTCCGGCTGAAGCCGTGATTATCGGTGGCGCTGCAGTCGTTTTCATAAAGTCAATCTCAATCTGACAGGTGGTTATCGAGGAAAAATCTTGGATTGTTTGCAACAGGTTGACAATATTTGAATACACTGAATGTCGTTATAATAGAAGTAAGTACAACACATTGTGTTACGCCAGAAATCAGTGACGATTTGCTTCCAGATGGATTATGATTATTTAATCAAATTTCTGGCTCTGGGTGATTCTGGTGTTGGTAAAACAAGTTTCTTGTATCAATACACCGATGGAATGTTCAACTCACGATTTATATCAACAGTGGGAATCGATTTCAGAGAGAAAAGACTGGTCAGTAGGTGTTTCATGTACAGTTTATCGGTTAAATAAGGTGTTTCAGTTGTATCAATCAAAAGGGAGAAATCATAGAATCCATCTACAGCTGTGGGATACAGCAGGACAAGAGAGGTATTTGCGCAGTTTTTCTTTCATAACATGATTTTTGGTTTTGACATTATGGCAGTAACACTAATGTTTTATTATTAGATTTCGTAGTTTAACAACAGCATTTTATCGAGATGCCATGGGCTTTCTTCTGTTGTTTGACCTCACTAACGAGCAATCATTTCTTGAAATTCGTAATTGGGTAGAGCAACTGCGGGTAATAATTAATGTTAACCAATCAATGTTTATTTAATTTGCAATTTGCCTCATGTACTTGGTGTTCCATATTTAAGATTTATAAAAAAAGATTAGAGAAAATACCTGAAAAAAATTGTTCTGTGCGCACTGTTTCAAGTGAAGTTGTATGATTTCCCGGATTCGTTTGGAATTTCCAACACTTTCCACAAAATGTTTCTTGTTTTTAACTGCGAAAAATGTTACAACACTGGATAACGGCACTTGTAATCACAAATATTCAAAATAATCTAAATCTGAAACGTCAACGATTGACATAACAGTTTGGAAGCCTACTATGTTTATTCCGAACTTTTTAATTGGCACTACGACGTCAAGAACAAAGTGATTATAAAACACCTTACATCAAGTTTGCTTTGAAATTTCGTGATTTGCCGCCTCATTGTGATGATTGATGAGTACTCGTCGCCTGTCACAAACGTCAGTTTAAATGATGAATTTGTTATCTATTTCAAAGAAGCGGCAAATTTGTATTAAAAATTCAGTGACAGATTTTCCAAAACTAACTTGATTTAGGATCTTCTATAATCAGTAATCTTTAAAGGGCGGATTTATGTGCAAAAATATTTGCCAAAATATGCACATTTATATGCACAAAACGTCTTCGAAATATGCACAATTTTTGCTAAATATGCACAGTTTTATGCACATCCGGCAATCCATATTTTTATACAAAGCACAAATACCCCATAAACTACACATCCAGTGTTGGATTAAGGACATGGGGGTTCACCGGGAAATTTACAAAGTAGGTATAGAGGGCCTTGTGGTATTGTATACAGGTGTTGTTTGGGTGTTATTATTACTATTATTATTTTCTGTTTTGCTGGCGACATTGGCGTTTTGAAAAAATGATGTTTTTGGAATTTTGATGACGCTACCAAGAAAAACAAAGCTAATAAAAAATTGTGGAAGGTTATTTTGATAGAACTTCCCTCGCCTTTGAAGTATGTTTATGTTTATATTTTGACCGAATTCGACAACTAGCACATCAGCGATTAAAAAAAATGAAATTTCGTTGATTTTGTGTCCTCGACGCAGAGGAAAGAACTGATTGATTAATTCATACTCAATTTTTTTTCCAAAATAAATAAATTTGAAAAAATTCGGCAAAAATGTAAGATGGGCAAATTTTGACCAACGATTTACCATGTTTCAAATAATCTTATGGTATTTCCACGATTTCATGGCAATTTAAAGAACATTTGTTCTGCAGAATTCTAAGATGACATCAATCTTTTTGGGAAGGCCTTGAACGAACAAATTTTTATTAACGATCTGTCCTATAACCTTAAAACTTTTGCAATTTTTCAGTCCATTCGCTTTTGCAATTGCAAAATTAAATTGTAAAATGCTACACAATATTGATTAGTTTTTCCTCAAAAAATTGGATGTCTAGGGTGAAAACTCGACACGGATTCATGAACCACACATGCAGCACTATGCAATCCTATAAAATTAAATAATAAATATATAATACCAAAAAAAGGGACTAAGTAAAGTAAAATGGTACGTTTCACCCCACATTTTGTTTTTTAATTTATTATAAGGTGTCTTCTCATTTTTTAAAAAACAGGACAATTTTAACGTTAAAGTGCATTTTGTAATTTTTTTGTAAAAATTATTGGCAAAAAATCAAAAAATAACCCTAAAATTGGGGCGAAATTTAAAAAAATTCACGACAAAAATTGACTTTTTTTATTTTATAAAATAACTTTTATAAGCAAGCAATAGTTCTGCCCACTCACCGCCTCTTCATTCCAGTTATTACACTTACTATTGTTCAATCATTTACCAAATCAGTCTTAACTTAACAAATACTAGCTCCGCCCACCCGCCCTTATTTTCTTAGAGGGTATGTAATTTGCCATAATCAGTTTTATCTTGGCAAATACTGACCTGACTTGACTTGAAAAATTTGAAAATTCGGGAAATTTTAAATCGAATAAATGAAAAAAGAAAAAACTACATCAGTTAAAATTGAAGAAACAAAAATGATAAAATTGAAACATTGAAAAATCGAATAATTGAAAAAATTAAGAAAATAAAAAACCGAAACGAAAAATTGAAAACTCGAAAAACTCAATACAAAAAATTCAAAATCTAAAAATTGGAAAATAAAAACTCGTGAAATTGCCAATCGAAAAATTCCAAGCAGTTTTAGAAGGTATGTCATTTGCTACGATGTCTTATTTTAGCCCCACCCACCCACCCTTTAATTTCTTAGGGTATGTAATTTACCAAAATCAGTTCTACAGGTATTAGCTCCGCCCACTTGTTCCCATTGTAACTATTTTATTTCTATTGAGTATAAGATGCGGCTTTCATTCTGACCAGATAAAATGAATCACTGAAATAGAGGCGGGGTGGGTGGGAGGAGTTAATTTTAATTTGTAGAATGGGAATGGAACATAGGCTGTTTAAAAAAGACAAAGAAGTGCTAATCTTAATTTTTTGTTATATTATTTGCTATAAGATTTATTTCTTATTTCGGGAGAACAAAATGAGAGAACGGGTGGGTGGGCGGGGCTAAGTTTTACTTTTTCCTGCAGTCTTTTATAAGCAAGCAATAGCCCCGCCTACACACCCACTCTTCATTCCAGTGACTACTCTTAATATTGTTCAGTTCATTTATTAAAGTCAGTCTTATCTTAACAAAAACTAGCCCCACCCACCCACCCTCTATTTTCTTAGAGAGTACGTAATCTGCCACAGTCAGTCTTATCCTAGCAAGTATGATAAAGTACCTTAAACTACATAAGTGAAAAAACAGGTTAAAAAAAGTTTAAATAGGTGAAAAAAAATGTGGGGTGAAAAATACCATTTTACTTTCTACTGATTTCATTTTAGAAATTTCATCTAAAACGTCCAATAAACCAATCCTTAAACCCGAGTCACTCAGATGAGAATTGGATTTGCAATAATAAACAATGCTTTTGGAGTCACCAAAAATTATATTTGGTAAATAAGTATAAAGAAAAATTGATTAAAGATTTACCATGTTTACGATAACCTTAAAACGTTTGCAAAATGTAATTTTGATTTTTTTCTTCAAATATCGGGATGTCTAAGATAAAAATTCAACAGGGGTTCATAAACCACATGTGCAGGAATATCATATTTTTTACGACCACTGGCCTTTTTCAATCTCAAGTTATGGATGAATTAGAAATATTTTGTAAAATTATTCTCCCCATTTTTACCTGCAAATATCAGTTATGAAATACTGTATGCTCAGTCGACATGTACCTAGTTAAACTTTTATGATTCAAGACAAACAACCCTTATAAATTATTCGTCACATTCGTCAAAACTAGATTATACATAAGAAAAGAAGCATACTCAAATTTCATAAGTTTGAAATTATGGACACCTTGTACAGCTTTTTTATTTTGATGCATGTTTAACAGCACTAGCTTTTTTTTTCACATATAATAAACCCTTTTCCTAACAGTCAAAACGTTACAAGATACAGAGGTTTGTTTCAATTAATTAGCCAAAATTGTTTTGTATAATTTGCGCCCTATATAAGTAATTTTGACAGATCAATTGAAACAAAGCGCCTTGTCTGTAAATATGTCTCAGTAAAATTTAAATTCCTTTAGAAAGTTTCCTAAAAACGTGAAATTGTTACTAACTAACAAAAAATTACCACTAATTTCACAAGTCTGCACAAATTTGCAAGGCGTGTGTCCACCTGCTCTAGATCATTGTGACTAACTACTATTTTCCAGTTACATGCATACTGTGAATCCCCCGACGTAGTTCTTTGTGGAAATAAAGCTGACTTAGAAGATCGCAGAGTAATAACAGAATGGCGTGCTCGCGAAATGGCGGAGAAAAACGGGTAAATTAAAAACCGACTTTACATTTACCCCACAACTCAAACCAATACACTCACTTCCAGCTTAGTATATCTCGAAACCAGCGCCGCCACTGGCCAGAACGTTTCCCGATCCGTAGAAACGCTCCTGGAAAAAGTGATGATACGAATGGAAACGGCAGTCGACAGAGCCATGCTTCCTGGACGTAGGGGACGACCAAGAGACTTAAACGACCCAGATCTGAACGCGCCGCCAGCTCACAACTGCACGTGTTAATGTGTTCTAAAGCTAACAATGTTGTTCAGTATTGTCTGTTACTCCCCAGTACTTCCATTAAGCCTATCGTTGAGTAAAATATACAGCCTATTATAATGTTAACGATGAAATTTAATTTTATGACGTGTAGCTTTTTACAGTTGTTGTATAATAAATGGGTATTTTTGAGTGCCTGTGTTCCTCAATTCCGCAATTACGGTCCTGTTGCTTTCATCGATTCGTCGAATGTTTTATCGACGAGTTGATTCGACGTAAGATTTGAGGTTATGTTGTGTTGTGTTGACATGTAGTTAGTTTTTGTTAAAGTTTTGTTGCAAAAATATGTGTTACGGTACTTTCGGACGAATATGTCACTGGGGGCCCTTAACCGCTTTAGGTAAATTAGTTTGTGTGTTTTTTTAAACTTTAGTCGAATTTTCAGGTATCATAAAACTGGTTAGTGGAATGACCATACACTGTAACGGGATGTGGTGGCCCCCTTCGCGTACATTAGGAGGTTTTCTTAACAGTCTTTTATTTATGAGCTTCTCAGGACTCACTCTGTATAATTTTTTATCATCCATGTATCATGGGCCAGGGTATTTATCACTAAATTGGAAACCAGTATGTGTTTTTTGATTCCTTTGTAGAATTTTTAAATGTACTGTTTAAGGCAAAGGAAAGTGACTCTGCTTACTTGCAATGGTGTGGTGTATGTCACGGATACAAAGCGCCACGATCTCATCATTGTCGTAAATGTAGGTCTAATTTTTAAACTTTGTCAGCACATGTATGAATTGAGTATAATTTAGGTGGTCGATGTGTGTTAAAAATGGATCATCATTGCCCCTGGATAAATAATTGTGTTGGTTGGGGAAACCATGCACATTTTACGTCATTCCTGGCTTTTGCCACACTCGGATGTTTCCATGCTGCTATAGTCCTTGGATGTTCACTGTATAGAGCTCTGAATCGCGTACATTATTTGTATTATGGCATGGGGAATGAACCAATTGTCTATTTGGGGCTGTATGGAATCATCCTGTGTGTTCTTGCTTTAGGTTTTACTATTGGTGTTGTAATTGCCGTTGGAATGCTTCTCATCTTTCAGGTAAGGATATTGAGGCTGTTGTAATGACATAGTGTTTTTCGGGTAGTAAGACAAAAATTATGTCCTAGGCCTCCTTTTCCATCAATATGAGATTTTATTAGTATTTTCTGTAACTCCAGGTCAGATTATTGTGAAATTTTTTGATTTGTGTCAAGAATGTCAAAGTTTGTTTACTTAATAACCCCACCAACGAGGTGATGACGTCATCTTAGATTATTATTTAAGTAAATCTTATTTAAAATTGACAAAAACTTCCTATTTTGAACCTTGTCTATGTAGAACTTCCCTGAACTCTGAAGCACGCCCGATGTATATCGGAGCAAATTTAAATACATATATGTCATGTCATGTCATTATCTACACATCGTTTTATGAAATCTTAAAAATGAAAAATACAATTTTCAAATACACTTTTGCTCAGATCAGGGCGATTCTTCGTAACAGGACTGGAATAGAAGACTGGATTCTGGAAAAGGCCAATTTCAGAAGGCGACACACCGATGAAGTTTTTATCTTCCCTTATGATTTAGGCCGGTGGAACAACATCTGGCAAGTGATGAATCTTAGTTGCCAGCCTGTTGGTGACGGCATCCACTGGCCTGTGACTGCCAACTGCGACCAATATACTTTGACAGTACGTTTCTCTGCGTCCTTGACCTCAACACTACGAAACTAATGTTTTTAGAGAGAACAAATAGAGCAGAAGGACGAGAAAAGACAAAGGACTAAGATGTACAAAATTATTCATCCCGCGTCAGGATCGTGGTTCCCGATAACACAGGGTCTGAGAGTTTGTTGTTGTCCTCCGTGCACAGACGAGACGCGAATTAAATTACAAATTGGTGATATGGTTTTAGTAACTAGATGGAGAAAGTTAGTAATGCTGTTGTTGTTTAAACTAATTTAAAAAAACGACGTTTTGTTAGGTATTGGCTGTTTGGAGAAAAAATGCAGGATTTGCCGCAGGACGAAGAATCCTTGCATAGGATACGAGGCTGGTTTCCTCGAAGGTGTGCGGTGGAAGTGGTTGACAGTGCTAGCAACGGCGAACAAAGTGTGAGAGAGAAAAAAATCAAATAAGTATTGTGGAACGTTATGTAAGTGACAAATGTTAGTTAATTATAAAAGAAAAATGAAAAAGACCCCTTCCCTCTGTCTAGTCACAGTAATAGGTTATAAATGTAATAAAGTAATTTTTATAAAAAAAATCAGCTTGTAGTGTGACACAAAATTCCTAACATTAATGGGAGACCCCTGCCTACTGACTAATGAGTTTAAGTTCCTACGTACGTTACAATGAACGGAAAGGAGTGGATATTTAATTTAATTTATTTTTTTTTAATTAAGCCCCTGGTAGGAAGAACAGAGGTCATGATGTCTTCTGTATATATTTATTTATTAACTGTGTCTACAAACCCGAAATTCATGACCAACGAATTTAGAAAATATAACTCCTGAACGAGGTGATGAAAGGTAAGATTAATGTATTGTCGAGTTTTTATTTTCTGACAATAGTTTTATAGCGTAAATAAAATATTTCCATAAATGTATAGTTGGCACGCGAGGCGCATCCGAGGGTTATAAAAAGATTCCGTATTGCGTATCTTTTTGCAAGAAGTGTAGTGGTACAAATATTGCGACAGTAGAAGTAAAAATACTGTAATAAACGTAATTAATTAGAACAGACACAATAGACATTAGTAAAGAAGTTTTTAGGAAATTTGGGATAGTTTAATAACATAAAAACATTAATAACACAAAGAAGCTATAAATTCAGCGAATGATTAGCTGATGCTATACTTTCGGTTTCTTCGGAATTAATTTAAAGTTTTTTTTTTTTTTCAAAAAATGGAGTGTTTTTCCATGTGTTACACATATTACGTACTTGACTGTACAGTAAACTAAAAAAAATTAAGCATAGTAATAACCCAAACATCCCGCCTTAAATTGACATGTGAAAAAAATTGAAAGCCCGCGAAAAATACAAAACTCAAAGGTTTAGCCTTGCCTGTGTTCGTCTAACAAAATGGAACCTACGTTGTGTGTGTGTTTTTTTTTGTGGCGGAATGCGTTCAGATGCAAATGGTGGACGCCAAGGTTGGAAAAGTACCGCTAAAGAAAACACAAAATATATGGAGGACACTAAATGTTTTATTCCTCCACTGTAGTACGAGCTAGAGATGAGCGATATTTGACTACCGGTGATTATTTCACCGTGATCTGTTTGTCACTGTTGGTAACCGTGACTGGTATCGGCAAGTAACGGCGACCGTGATTTTCCCTTTTAAAATTGATTCCGGTAATACGAAACAGTGAATGGTAAATTTTGCTTTTATTTTCTTTTCATACAGTTTGCTATAAAATCTGAGGCGACATCTAGTTATTTGGAGGTAGTTTTTCTTTAATTAATTATGCATTTTATGCATAATGATTTTATGTGCCAATGAATTTACATTTACTATATGATTTGTTGTTATTTATTTGTTCCCAACAATTACTGTTTATTCATTCATCGATATATCGGAATTTTCTGCTGTTCACATGACACACCGTTTCACCGTTCCTCCGCGAAAGAATATTGAAACCGTTCCTGTGATCACCGTCACGGTGACAAGAAAGAACCGTGAAAAGTCGCGGTTCGCGCCGGCGCCGTGATCCTAATATTAAATCACTACTTTCGTCGCTCGCCGTTCCTTGATCACCGTGACAAAATCACCGTTTAAAATCACCGTGATTCAAAAGGAACGGTCGCCGTGATCACCGTGATCGCAAAATCACGGTATCGCTCATCTCTAGTACGAGCGGAGTTTAGCGCTCCTGGTTGTGGCTGTTCTCCCACCTTCGACGGTGATTCTAGTAAGCACTGCACCCTCCCCCCCATTACGAGCAGGCCGTTATGGTCGCAAACTCGTGGTTGGGTCCCGGATATGGGGGAGAAGCCGACAGCGTCATGTCATCTCGATTGCCCGTGACTTCTATTCAAATCTATGTCTTTTGTGCAGATGGCGTGAAAAATGCGCCAGCTCGACTAGGAACCGCGCCCTCCGCTTCTGCCACGTTTTTCTGTGTTATTTAACCTCAATTCCATTTAAATGTTCACTTTCTATAACTCTTACATTAACAACAACTGAACAAGTGTTAAAGTTTCAAAAAGAACAATAAACAATAGTTAAATTCGCCATTCACTCTCGTGAAATTTTTAAACACCAACGAATTCTCATCTGAGATCAAGATTGAAGCATTAATCAACAAAATATTTACAAGAAAAAAAAACTAGCAAAAATCTATAAAAACAAAAAATTGATCTGGTGTGAAATAAAACTTGTGTAGATAAAAGTTACGTGAGAAATTAAAATTGTGAGGTATGAGGTGAAAAATTGCAAAGCTAAGGAAATTACATGAGTTTAATATTGTATGTCCATTCGAGTTATCGGTTAATTTTTAAAAGTGAAAAGCTGCATTGTGGGCCATCGTGTTACATTTCCCCAAACAAAAAAAAAAAAAAATGCAGGCAATCTGAAGGTTCAAAATGACGTCCGACGAATGCGTCGTTCAAAAAAATGCCTCAAAATTATCAGAAATGCGATCAATCCTGTGGCGCTGTGCAAATAATGGTCTAAATCAAATGAATAAAATGCACGTCCCACATGACCCACAATGTTGTTAATTTGTTCAATGAGATTTTACAGTTCAAACATGTGCTCGGTTTGAAAATACTCTGCCAGAACAAAGAATTTACCTGATGGTAAATGATGCCACACTTTATCAACGATTCAGACAAAGAATTTACGTGCTGTGAAATGATGCCTTGATCCAGGTGATTGGTTACTTAAAACAATTAGCTTTGAGAATTTATATCTCCAGCTTATCCCAAACAAAACACATGACAAATAAACAACACAAAATGTATCCAGCGTTGCGAGGTATGTGCGTCTCGGTGATATAGTGTTCAACGTTGCGAGAAAATGTCTCGGTAATGTAATGATCATATGTCTTTTTCCAGAGTGGGGCAACGTTAGGTTAATTTAACTGCCGTTATTGAACTATTAACTATCTTGTGTGAGGAATTAAGAAGTGTTATAATGTAACATTTAAGTATAAGCAGCCAACCTTATTCATAATTAAATAAACAAAGAACGAGTCCAGACTAAGTCAATTTCATGAAATCTCCTAGCGAATACTTTTATTTGAATAAACGTATGACTGTTAAATTGTGTTAGAACTAGATAACGATTAAAATCCTGACATGAACTGTGAATTTACAAACAATAAAACAGATTTACACAATGTGTTACCGTCGGTCGAAAATTCGCCTATTCCCGCTTGGAAAAACCGCAAGAATTAGCTACGCATGTTGGGGCAACTGTGGGATTGTCGTCGTTACGATTAATTGTCGTTAAACAAAGGCCTCTTCTTTATTAACTATTAAACCAACTAAACTTAACCTAGCTTACTTACCCCGTGGTTTCACACACAACAAACAAACCAAAAGTGACCGCCACCTACCCTCTCACTAGATACTACTAAGAAAATCCTTAGGACCTACCAACTACCACAAGAGAACTAAACGTGCGCATGGTTGCCTATGTTTAACGATTTTTCTTGATTAAATTTTTTGCAGCGGGAAATTTTGATTCAAATCTGGTCACCACAGCATATATGCATTGTTTTTTTTTTATTTTGTTGTTTGGAGTGGACTTAAATTAGTTTTGATTAGATTTAATATATGGAAAAAAGCAAAAATTTTGGATTTTTTTTTATTAAAAACTTAATACAGTTTTGGAAAAACTGTTTGGCAGCTTATTTTTAATGCTTATGACGATATCTCAAAATTATGAAATGTGGACTACTAAATAGTTAGTTTTGGATAAAAACCTCTTGAATTGGCAACGTCCAGTTTGCCTGTTCTACTCTAATATCTTCGCTGTTTAAAATGACGAAAGTTTGAAACTTTTCAGTTTTATTTGAGAAAAAAAGTTTATGTCATTTTCGGCAAAACCAGACAGTGAAATGCTAATGGTATTTTCATTTTATAAGCTCATTTGTGTTACCGAATCGTTGAAAAATTAAGAGTGGAATTGATAAACTGGGATACCCGGTCATTTTTGATCTCAACAATCAAGATTCTTGTGAGACAGATAATCTCCGAAATACCGGACCGATCGTTGTCAAATTTTATGTTTGTGAGGAATATCCAAAATTTGCCTAATCCCCACCAACCATGCAATGACATTGCATTAAAATTTTCATAGTATGTAGGATGTAAATTTTATAAAATAACATTCTCCTGTAGTTGTTGCTTATGAATCAGCCTTGAGATTTACAAGGTTTTTCGTAAAATGTTCGCCTTCGGGTTTATATTGCGAAAACCTCACACCTTCCTATGTGTCTTGAGGTCTTTTGTTTCTTCCGCTGTTACTCTTACTACTATTTTTCTAGAAGGGTTAAATAAATACACTTTAATGTTAAGTGTGCTTTTTTTTTTAGAATAAATTTTAATCATAAATTTTAAGCAATATTTACTTTACAAAATTCTGCTGGGGATGATCATACAAATTTTGGTTAACATTTTACTGTCTACATGATATTCTTAAAATGTATATTTAAAATTTCACCACAAATCAATCCAGTAGTTTTGAAGATTATCTGTCTAATAAAATCATCCAAAGACGACATACAACCGGAAGCGGGAGATCTGCTTTTTCATATTTTAGAAGCTATAAAAGGTGAAAAAATGTGAAATGGCTCGTTCTCCTCATGGACTTTCTTACGCTTGCCAAATAAATTTTTACTGAGGAAATATTGTAATAGGGAAAATGTAGTAGTTTTCTCGACGGTTCATGACCCTCAGAATATGCAAAGATTAGTCTCCTGTCCTCCCACTTCCGTCTGTTTGTCTGTCTGTCGAATCGTCTGTGTTGATTTTTATGAAACAGATAATCTCAAAAACTATCGGACCGATTGTTGTCAAATTTTGTCTCTATGCTAGGAATATCCCGCAAGTGGTAAAATTTTGCATAGTAAATTTTATAAAATAACAAACTCCTATACTTGTTGTTTATGAATCCGCCGTGAGTTTTTACCCTAGGCATTAAAATTTTCTCAAAAGAAATCAAAGTCCTATAGATTAAATATGTACTTCGTCCAGCCGGTCTTGGGTGAACGAGTTAAAACGCAAGCTAATAACGCCAACATTGGGGTTTCGATCCACCCATGGACCACTTTTTTTCTTACACTGTGCCTGATATTTATATTTTTTTAACTATTAGGTATTAGCATAAAATAAATAAAATTTCGCAACTTCAACTTTGAGGAAAAAGGTTGATGTTATTTCCGACAAAACTAAAGAAAATGAGATGGTAATGATATTTCCATTTTATAAACTCATTTGTGTTAATCAATCGTTCTGAATTCAAACTTCTAGCGTTTAAAATAACTGAGAATTTAAGAGTGGGACTGGGATACCCGGTATATTAAAAAAAATAGTAGTTTCATAGGATTTTTAGAAAATTATATAAACCATTTTTGGTCTAATCAATCCAGATTTTTATGAGACAAATAATCTCCGAAATACCGGACCGATTGTTGTCAAATTTTGTGTTTGTTAGGAAGAGCCAAAATTTGCGTGATCAACTCTACTACCACACAATGACATTGTCTCAAAATTTTCATAGTACATATGTAGGATTTAAATTTTATATAATAACATTCTCCTGTACTTATTGTTTATGAATCAGCCTTGAAATTTCCGCGAGGCATCCAAACTTTCACAAAAAGATAGAAATAGAGCAGCAAACTTTTATACTAGTATAAGCGAACTTCGTATAAGTGTGTAGTTTTTTATTAAACATATAATGACCAAAACTATCGGACCGATTGTTGTCAAATTATGTATTATGAAAAAAGAAATAAATCTTGTAACAACAGTACAACAAAATAAGTTGCGATCAGAAATTTTGAGTTTTTGAAAAAGTTGTCTAAAAGCCCGCAAAAAATTCTGGGATGTAGATCTCGACGTGCTTATTCGAAAAATATAGGGTGTTTGTGGTCTCGGATCACGATTTTCGAAATAATCGACCTTGGAATTGAATTTTTTTCGAGGGACGATTCCGAAAAAATGGTAAGAGTCATCGAAAAAACGGAGCCAAAAATAACTTGAGTAGAGGTCGAAATCAACAAGAAAATGTGTTTAGGTAATTTTGAGATTTGGAAAAGTTGTCTGAAAATTCGCAAAAAATTCTGGGATGTAGATCTCGACGTGGTTATTCGAAAAATACACATACAAAATACACAGTTTGACATTTAGTAAAATCAACTTTGAGTGGTAGTTCCATTTGATAAGTAAAATATTGTTTTGTTTCTTCTTTTATTTGTTAATTTTTGAATTTTTTTACGTTGGTTATTAAGAGTTTGTTTTTAATAAAATAATTTCATCACCATCGTTTTATCAGATTTGCCGAAGATTCTAATAAAACAATAATATTATCAATATTAACAGTATTAAAAATAGTCACCAGCATGAAGAGGGGGCGGGTGGGCGGGCCTATTGCTTGCCTATAAGACTCTCTAGGAGAAAGCTAAATTTAGCCCCGCCCACCCACCCGTTCTCTCTAATAGTATTTTGTTAACGTAACTCAAAACCAGCATCTATTATTGAAAAATCGATGAAAATTACTTCCCAATACTTCGTACGCGGTACATATGGAGAACAAAAAATAAAACACCCACATACTGCAAAGTTTTATTAAGATAAAAGTGCCTTCATTCGTAATATGAATAATTTACTCATACAAAACTACAAAAGCATCAATATTAGATGAAATACATTAGTAATAAATAATATAATACGATTAAAATATTAAAAACGTGATTGACATCCCAACAGCGCATTCAATACTCGTCTCCTTCGTCGCCCTCGCCTTCGATAGAATCGACAGCCACTTCCTCGTAGTCCTTCTCCAGAGCGGCCAAATCCTCCCGGGCTTCAGAAAACTCGCCTTCCTCCATACCTTCCCCGACGTACCAGTGCACAAACGCCCGCTTGGCGTACATCAAATCGAACTTGTGGTCCAAACGAGCCCAGGCTTCGGCGATGGCTGTGGTGTTGGACAACATGCAAACGGCACGCTGGACCTTTGCCAGGTCGCCGCCTGGGACGACCGTGGGGGGTTGGTAATTAATGCCCACTTTGAACCCAGTAGGGCACCAGTCGACAAATTGGATTGTGCGCTTGGTTTTGATTGTGGCAATGGCGGCGTTCACGTCCTTCGGGACGACGTCTCCCCTAGGAAATCAAACATGTATCCAGGTGTGCAAAATGAAACCGGAACAAAAAATTGGATCAGTTTTAAATTGAATGTTTTTAGTTGTCTAGTAGGCCAATGGAATATAATTATTTGACAGTTATTTTACGATTAATCAATAGATATTTTTTAAACAAAACCAAGTTTAATGACAAGTTGAACGGTGTATTAAAATGCAGTCGCATGGAGTCGGAAGTTTTATAGTAATGACCACTTTTATGATGTAAGAATTATTATTGCCGTTATAACCTTATCAAACACCACACGAAGCATACATTGTTAATGAATCTAAAAATAACGATTCGCTCACAATTAAAAAAAAAATTAAGTAGCTGCATTACTTAGTTATCTTTGGGGGTCATTTCAGCATCTGTTTATAATATTGACTTCAGTGCCTTTTCAAGAATGCATCACAACAATAAAACAACAGTAGGTCACTCAAGTGAATACATTACATAAAAACCAATTAAAATTATCACCTTTCCACCATCTGACTCAACGACCCATTAAGGTGGAACGCTAGGCAAATTTAAATTAGACGCCATTTATTGCCCTAAATACAACCAACAATTCTTTCTAAAATCTACCTGCGCTGAGTAAATTCTTATTTAAATAAATTTTACTAAACAAAATTGTTATACCTCCTCTAGCGATTCCCCTCTACATACCTATACAGCATACAGCACGCCATGTACTTCCCGTGTCTGGGATCGCACTTGACCATCTGATTGGCCGGTTCGAAGCAAGCGTTGGTGATTTCAGCGACCGTCAGTTGTTCATGATAAGCCTTTTCGGCGGAAATGACTGGCGCGTAGGTGGCTAATGGGAAATGGATTCTGGGGTATGGTACCAAGTTGGTCTGGAATTCTGTCAGATCGACGTTTAAGGCACCGTCGAATCGTAATGATGCGGTAATGGACGATACAATCTGCAGAAAAAGGGATCTTAAGTGGCGGAGTGGTTCGGGGAAGCCCCAAGTACCTGTCCGATCAGTCTGTTAAGATTGGTGTAGGTTGGTCTTTCGATATCCAGGTTTCGTCGGCAGATATCGTAAATGGCCTCGTTGTCCACCATGAAAGCGCAGTCGGAATGTTCGAGAGTGGTGTGAGTGGTTAAAATGGAATTGTAGGGTTCAACAACCGCGGTGGAGACCTGTCATTTGGGAGCGAATTAAGTTGGATCAATAGATGAGAGATGGTTGGTATTCGTTAAGTAGTGTAAGGCTTACCTGAGGGGCGGGGTAAATGGAAAACTCGAGTTTGGACTTCTTTCCGTAGTCGACGCTGAGTCTCTCCATGAGGAGACTGGTGAAGCCAGAGCCGGTACCACCGCCGAATGAGTGGAATACCAGGAATCCCTATATAATTTTTTAATATTAATTTAACAGGTTTAGGTATTATTTATAGTACTTTTTGAGATATGACTCCTATTGGCCGTCATAGGGTTTCTGATTGTGCGTAGATGGAAATACTTCGAGAACACACCAATTCGACTCAGTGGACGTAAAAGCATCCGGAAGAGTCGACTTGCGAATTTAGGGGGAGGAAACTGCATCAGAGGCATTGGTTATTGCTCTGTGGTTTAAACAATATATCCAAATATATTTTTTTTAGAATCACCGCAAAGACGCAAAAGATACATCACTAGTCAAAACCTAAACGAAAGATTATAATGACTGTCCAAGTTTTTCTCATAGCATTTTTCATTCTACTTACAATCATCAATTTGACGCCATTTTTAACACTACAATAATTCAAATTTAACTTGAACCACCTCCTATCAAATTTGAAACTTTTTTTTTTTGACGAAAAATTTGGTTTTTAAAAACAAATGAAATCCCAAAACGAGATTTTTTTCAATTGAACTTTTAATTAAAACAAATAGTATTCATTATTGTTAATGTCAACATATCGGTCAGTGCACTGTTTTAGACGATTAAAGAAGAAATATTGATCGAGTTGTTTCCATTAAAAAAGACGTAAAATTGAAATTTAATGGCTTATTGACGGATTACTACTTTCTTATCACATCAGCCGTTTTATGACATAAAGTAACGCACAACCGCCTTATTGTGTTAAAACTACAATTTAATTTTGTAGTGATTTGTTCGTAATTTTTTGTCACAAAAAAATTAAATAAGTTCAATTCCTAAATCGCTGTGTTGTCAGTGACGAAAAATTAACATTTGTTGTGTATTCACTATGTAATTTTCTTGTTGTTTATAAGCAGTTATCTGCAAATTTTTAACAATCAATTTCGTCTAGTCACCATTATTATGGTGTCTCCAGGATTAAGAATAACAACCGTTACGAACGCATAACAAATATTACTGTAAATCTAGGATCACAAGTTTCCAAACAAAGAAAAAAAGTGGTTCCACTTAATTATTTATGATGATGGTTAGGCGATAGCAACGGATATGTGAGCGCTCTCAATGTTGGAAGGAAAACATGCAATTAGTCTTATTATGCTGCATTTCCATATATATTTTTTTTGTTATCTTCATGGACACAGATTTTATAACTTGTACTCGAAACTAGGAGATTAAAATTTCGCTTTACAGGAAATAACTCTGTTATTAGCGTAATAGCCAAGTTTAATGGCAATTTGAGTGTCAGTAAGGGTCTTGGCGGCTGCCGAACTACTATTACATTTTTAATCTCAAATGGAATTATATAGATAGTTTTAAAAGTGATTGCACAGATTTGCAATCATTTTTCAGTTTCAGGAGACATTTTGAAAATTATTCATCAAAAAACCCTTGTATCTACTATCGTTTTTTCTTCTTTAAAAAATATAAATCTGGAAAAATATATAGATGTTTCATTAAAAAAAAAATACATGTAGTATTAGTGGTTTAATATGATTTTACAGACGTAACTTTATATGTTAACTAACCTATTCTCTCTTCACTAGGTTTTCTGACAAATATAGGTGTTACCTTTTGTAACTCAATAATCAAATTTATATTTTATGTTTACGTATGATATATTCACGGGCATTAAGTAAATTTTTGAGATTCTTAAAAATTGAGTTGATTTGTACCCATTTATTAAATTAAGAGTATACAATTAAATATTGGGTGTTCAATTAAAAAAGGTGTCACTGACTATATAATTTTGCGATTTTACAATTTTTCGATTCGCATTTCCTTCTTTTCAATGTTTCAATTTTTTGTTCCTTCAGTTTTTCGATTTGCCATTTTGTGATTTTCCATATTTTGGTTTTGCAATTTTTCGATTTTTCAGTTTTTAATTTTTCGATTTTTCAGTTTTCCGATTTTTCAACTTCTCGAATCAAAAAAATGGAAAAACTGCAAAATTATAAAGCTGAAAAATCAAAATGGAAAAAACGAAAAAATATAAAATAGAAATTTGGAAAATCAAAAAAGTGGAAATCAAGGACTTGAAAAATTGGAGAGGAGAAACGATAAATTGAAAAATCGAAAGATTAAAAATTTAGAAACTTTAAAATTGAAAATGTGCAAAATCGAAAAAACGAAAATATATTGTAAAATTGAAAATTCAAGAAATCGGAAAATCGGATCACTGAAAATCCAAAAAATTTTTTTTCTAGTATCTATTTTTCGTTTTTCAATGTTTAAATTTTTTGTTTCTTCAGTTTTTCGATTTGCCATTTTGTGATTTTCCAAATTTTGGGTTTCGCAATTTTTCGATTTTTCAGTTTTTAATTTTTCGATTTTTCAGTTTTCCAATTTTTCAACTTGTGGAGTCAAAAAAATGGAAACACTGCAAAATTGTAAAGCTGAAAAATCAAAATTGAAAAAACGAAAAAATATAAAATGGAAATTTGGAAAATCAAAAAACTGGAAATCAAGGACTTGAAAAATTGGAGACGAGAAACGATAAATTGAAAAATCGAAAGATTAAAAATTTAGAAACTTAAAAATTGAAAATGTGCAAAATCGAAAAAACGAAAATATATTGTAAAATTGAAAATTCAAGAAATCGGAAAATCGGATTATTAAAAATCCAAAAAAAAATTTTTTCAAGTCTCGATTTTTCGTTTTTCAGTGTTTCAATTTTTTGTTTCTTCAGTTTTTCGATTTGCCACTTCGTGATTTTCCATATTTTGGGTTTCGCAATTTTTCGATTTTTCAGTTTTCCAATTTTTCAACTTGTGGAATCAAAAAAATGGAAAAATGCAAAATTATAAAGTTGAAAAATCAAAATTGAAAAAACGAAAAAATAGAAAATAGAACTTTGGTACTATTGATGTGAAAAATTGGAGAAACGATAACTTGAAAAATCGAAAGATGTAACAAAGTTCGGTTCAACTGCTCCTTTTGGCACGCCCACACATCTGGCACCCCAGCCAGCTGTCTGTTGTCACCCGACAACACGAATGATAACCCCTGCGCCCTCTCGCGCATCCCTGCATTGCGCACCCCGCTAGTTGCCTGTTTTCATCCCGGCGACACGAACAATACTCATAACGCCCTCTAGCGCACCCACGCATCAGGCATCCCCCCAGGCAGTACCATTTACCCTCAGGCACTACCTGAATTCACCCCAAGGCAGCGCTGTCGGCTAACACCCTCGCACTACTTCCGCCCGTCTACCCTATAAAGAAGCTCTTGAAATTATCTGAAATCAACAAGAAGTACATGCTAGAGTAATCTAAAGCTCGATAGCATTTTGTTCATCCCAGCATCGCCTTGCATCCTAGGGGTCTTGGTGGTCGGGAGTAGGGATGGGCAGATTCGGTCATCACCACGAACGGGTCGTTCATCGTTCGGTCCCTACGAAGACCCGGTCGTCAAATGTCGTTCATTTCGTTCATTTCGTTCACTTCGTTCACCGTTCACATCGTTCACCGTTCACTTCGTTCATAATCATTCAAGGCTCAGGGATCTATTGATGAATCATTCGGTCTTTCGGCTCTTCGGTCAATGGTCTTAGTTTCCCTTTTGCTTGAATCCGATCACTGTATAGGGAAGGTCATGCTCAGAACTATCGCATAGGTATTCGAAAAAAAAACCCGGCCCATTGCTGTCTTTTTTTTCGAATACTGCATTGTGTGATACGTCAAATTAAATCGTTTGAAATATACTATGATCTGATTCGAAAAATTAATGATTTAACGTTTATTTGGTTTTGTCTACATTTAATTTTTTTTAATGCCTCCCATTTTTTTAGAGATTCATGTAACGATTTTTTTCTGAATTCTGTGATGTAAAAATAATAATTTAATATTTAAAAAAAGTAACTTGAATTTGTGGACGCAAATAATTGTGTTAATAAATACATCAATAGCACTTTTGACACAAAAATTAAATTCGTTTTTATTACAGCTTCCAAGCAACTTTTGACTAAAAAAAAAATAATTTATTGGATCTTTCGAATCATTCGGTCGTCGCCCTTACGATTAACAATGTAGGAGCAGATTTGTTTTGTTTCCTTTTATACCTTTTCCTTACGTTCTAATGTGATGAAGCCGTGAATAGTCACGTTCATTGACTATATTATACATTACCCATTTTACGTGGCCATAGGGATTTTTTTTATTAATAATCATTACAATAGTAATAATAATTATTTATTTACATTTATTTTTTTAGTTTCTAATGTTCAGACGTTTATGAACATTGTATATTAGTTATCGTCATAAATTGTCATTTTCGTTCCCGGTTCCTAATTTAAATTCATACTACTGGAATTAATCTGTCGGGAAAACTTATGTTCTTAGTTAATTCCATAAATAGCATAGCATGTGCTCCTAGTATTTGATACAGAACATAGAACTGTGCTGGAACCATGGTTCAAAGATCCAACGGAATTAAGATTCAGTCGAGACAATGTGAACGGTGAACGAGTGAACGAGTGAACGAAATGAACGAAAGAACGACCAGTTTGCGTTGGGAACGATTTCGGTCACTCGTTCATTCGAACGACCCGTTCAATTTGATTCGTTCGTTCGCGAACGACACATCTCTAGTCGGGAGTGAACAGCTTCTTGGACGGGTTAAGCATCCAGTGGCGCATCCAGAGGGGTCCCACCGGGTCTACGAATCGCGTTAGTCAAACATCCAGTGGCGCATCCAGAGGGGTCCCACCGGGTCGACGAGTCGCGTTTGTTTAGTGTCGGTGTGCAAAGACTTTTGTGTTCAACGACTACTTTCGTGTTTTCGTGCTCAAGGACTATTTTCGCGTTTAAGGACTTTTCTTGTGTTTAAGGACTATTTTCATGTGCAACGACTTTTGTGTTTACGGATTATTATGTGTACAATAACTTGTTAATAACCCCTGAGATATTGTGTATATATTGTTATCAATAAAAGAGTTTCGGCTCACTGAACCAGCTACAAAGATTAAAAATTTAGAAACTTAAAAATTC